ACAAACACACTCATAAACACGCTCACATGTACTCAGATACACACACTCAGATAAACATATACACATACACTCTCACACACATTCAGATACACACTCACATATATATTCACACACACATACACACACTCACATACACGCTCACTCACACTCAGATACACACACACTCGGATACACACTCAGAAATATACACACTGGCATACATACGCTCATACTCTCACACACATACTCGTATATACATACACACAATTCACACTCAAAAATACATGTACACATAGACGCATACACACAAATACTCATGCACATGTGTACATACACACATATTTACACAATCACACATACACGTACAGATAACCTTTAACAGACTGTTGGGGCAAGTGCTGTTAGCGAGCACCTATGAAGGCCGGCACGGTACACGAGGGGGTGGGTGACCAACACCATGCCCGGCCGCCTTTGTCTCCCTAGAGGCGAAGTGTACACACATCGCACCAGGTACTCATTTGAGGCTGAGTTGACCCAGAGGAGGCCCAGGACCGGTTCAGATAATCGTCACTGGTGTTGTTGGCCGTGAGTGGGAATCAAACCCGGGTCGCCAGGTTCGTAGCGTAGTGCTAACCACAACACCACCGCTCCCCACATACATACACTCACGCAAAGCCACATCCATACACAATCACGAACATACACTAACACACACATACACAAACACATCAACACATACACACTTTAACACGTACATACATATCTATTCGCACGCTTACTTACTAAACACACATGCACTAACACACGTGGACATTCACACAATAACATACTTAAACACCCACAAACACGCACGAGATGAACACACACACTTGTACACACAATACTCACACTAATATGCTGACACAACAATGCACACACTAACAGACACACACACACGATACTAATCGTACACACATACAACTAAACACACACACCGTACTAAAACGTACATACAAAGACAAAGATACCCCCGTATAGCCTGACCAGACTGTTGGGCCAAGTGCATGCTATCGAGCAGCCCCTATGAAGGAGGAGGGGGAAGGGCAACAACAACAACGCCCGACCGCCTTTGTCTCTCCCCGGGTTCTGAATATTTTACACACCGCACCGGCTTCAACCTGGGGGGAGGGTGATGATGTCTCCAGGGCCGTGTATCAAAAACATGTTGCCACTCGTCAATGAATGATGAATGATGAATCGAACTCGATGCACCGCCGGGTTTCGCGTTCCTGTGCGCTCATCAGCTGCGCCACCGCGTGCCCACAAACTGCACCACCACGCGCCCCTATTGGGATTCTCTTCGAAGTTTTCATCATCGATTGTTCAACAGTCGAGAGGAGTCTCTAACCCCAGCGTCGTCCGCCCGCCCCCCCCTCCTCCGGCTGTACGTAACTATAAATTCTGACTCACCGTTGGAATGTTCACATTCCCGTGATGAAGAACAAGTACATCCTCGAATATAAATTATAAAAAAACCTCCACGCTGAGCGGCGTTGCGTTCCACATTCATATGGCAGAGCAGATGCTGTTGTCACAACAAAGCGACAACCGCTGACGAAAGTCTTCAAACGGTGTCAAATCCACGGTTCTATGGCAGGGCCCAGTATCTACATGCGTACAATATAATCCAACCCTACAATAGAAAGCAAATTCGGTATATGTGTGTAATTGAATACGGATGTATACGTACACACAGATACACTGACAATGAGTCCCACTGGAGCCGCACGGGCTGCTGGAATCAGTGTTGTTAGCGAGCACCTATTAAACCCAAAGCGTGACACACGTGTCTCCTATGTGTATATTTATACGTGCGGAGTTTGCGGTGTATTCCCCTCGGCGTGTGGAGGTTTTCTCCGGGTACGCGAGGAAATTGGCCCCCCTACCCAAGGAGGGGGACATTACCTCCTGACAAATGGGTCTCGAGACTCCGCGATGTTTTCCGGGGCTAAACCGTGAAACGGGGGATCGCCTCTGACAAAATTCCCCGCAAGATCTCGGAAGCCAAGCAAGGGGTTGAGCCTGCATGGATGGTGCTTGGATCACTGACCACACCATCTGCCCACGCCGACCAGCGTGGTTGAAGTAGTGCTCAATTAAAACCCTCACTGCCAGCAGAGGCGTGGCGGAGGCCCTCATCCAGCAAGTGGATTCACAAACGGGCCCGAGATATATACACCGGTACACGACCCGTGTAAGTCCCTCTTTATGTGGTCCTCGTCACGGTAACGTGGAATTTCCACCATTGCCAAGTGGACAGAAACGAATGTGATCGATCGCCTTCGCTTGCTTCGACCGAGGTCGACCTGGACTCATCACACATGCGACACAATGACCAGTGCGCGTGGTTATCCTGTGCAGTTACACAAATCATGAACACGATGAACACCCTCACACACGCGCGTTGTACTGCATTGTAGATTGACAACAGCCTATTAAACGACAATACTACTCAACGTTGTGCCAACGTTGGCATGTGGTTGGAACCGTTGGACGAACTTTGGCCCAACGTTGTCAATTGGTTGGAACCGTTGGACGAACGTTGTCTCAACGTTGGTACTTGGTTGGAACCGTTGAACGAACGTTGGCCCAACGTTGGCATTTGGTTGGAACCGTTGGACGAACGTTGGCCCAACGTTGGCATTTGGTTGGAACCGTTGGACAAACGTTGGCCCAACGTTGGCATGTGGTTGGAACCGTTGGACGTTGACCCAACGTTGGCCCAACGTTGGCATTTGGTTGGAACCGTTGGACGAACGTTGGCCCAACGTTGACCCAACGTTGGCATTTGGTTGGAACCGTTGGACAAACGTTGGCCCAACGTTGGCATGTGGTTGGAACCGTTGGACGTTGACCCAACGTTGGCCCAACGTTGGCATTTGGTTGGAACCGTTGGACGAACGTTGGCCCAACGTTGACCCAACGTTGGCATTTGGTTGGAACCGTTGGACGAACGTTGTCTCAACGTTGGCATTTGGTTGGAACCGTTGGACGAACGTTGGACGAACGTTGGCCCAACGTTGGCATGTGGTTGGAACCGTTGGACTAACGTTGGCCTAAAGTTCCATGTTTACTGGGTATATGTGTGTGTATATAATGTTGTATACGTTTGTGTGTTGTGTGTGTATACACATCCGAGTTTATCATGTGTATTGTACGTATATTTGAGTGTTTGTGTATAGTTGTGTGTGTGTGTACGCGTGTGGGTGTACATGCTGTATAGTTGTGTCTGTACGTGTGTTTGGTATGTAAGTGTGGTTGTGTTGTGTGTCGTTATGTGGGTGCACGTGTCAGTTGTGTATTGTCTGTGTCTCTAATTCTCTGTTCCCTTCTTGATACGAGCTGAACGTGTTTCCGTGCAGCGAGTTCGCGCCTAACTCACTCCACAACAACACTCACACAGACACACGGTCACACACACAGACTCTCACACAAACTCACACAGACACACACACTCGCTCACAGACACACGGTCACACACACACTCTCACACAGACTCACACACACTCACACAGACTCACACACAGACTCTCACACAGACACACGGACACACACACACAGACTCTCACACACTCTCACACAGACTCACAAACACACTCTCACACAGACTCACACACACTCACACAGACTCACACACAGACTCTCACACAGACACACGGACACACACACACAGACTCTCACACACTCTCACACAGACTCACACACATACTCTCACACAGACTCACACACAGACTCTCACACAGACACACGGACACACACACAGACTCTCACACACTCTCACACAGACACGCACACACTCTCACAGACTCACACACAGACTCTCACACAGACACACGGACACACACACTCACACTCTCACACAGACTCACACACACACTCTCACACAGACACACGGACGGACACTCACACAGACACACAGACACACACAGACACACTCTCACACAGACACACACACTCTCACATAGACACAGACACAGACTCACAGACACACACTCGCTCACAGAAACAAACTCACAGACGCTCACACACTCTCACACAGACACACACACACGGTCACACACACAGACTCTCACACAGACACACTCTCACACAGACACACACACACAGACACACGCGGTCACACACACACACGCTCGCACACGAAGACAAAGATCCCCCGTATAGCCTGTAACAGACTGTAGGGGCAAGTGCTGTTAGCGAGCACCTATGAAGGCCGGAACGGTACACGAGGAGGTGGGTGGCCAGCACCACGCCCGACCGCCTTTGTCTCCCCAGTGGCGATGTTTACACACCGCACCAGGTACTCATTTGAGGCTGAGTCACACACACTCTCACACACACTCTCACACACAGACACAATCTCATACACACACACACTCCGTGACACACACACACTCACACACACACACGCGTAACACACCACTCCCCCTGGGTCGCTCCCTCTCTTGATAATAACTTTAGCGCACAGTGCGAGTTTAATTATATATAGCTATGATTTACACTGTACACACACACACAAACAATGAGACACAATGTGTCTCTTGGCACACACACACACGGACACGTGCGCACGCGTGTCCGTGTGTCTGTCAGGGTATCATTGTCTGTGTGTCCTAGTCCCACTGGTGGTGTCTGTGTATCTGTGTTGATCTCTACGTGTCTGTGTATCTGTGTGTTATCTCTACGTCTCTCCTACATTGTCCGTCTGTCCCTGTCTGTCCGTCGTTGTCTCTCGGTTTCTGACTCTCTCTCTCTATCCGTCCGTCCCTGCCTCTGCCCATCGTTGTACAGAGATGTTCCACTCTCAATCATCTGCATTGTGTCCGTGAGTTTCTCTTGTAGCGTCTATGTATCTCACCGTGTCTCTCTCTATCTCTCCCCGTGTGTGTGTGTGTCTCTCTGTCTCTCTCCCGAGTCTCACTCCGAGTCTCCAGGTGAAACTTTTTCGACAAAGGGGTAAAGGAAGCGATAATGCCACTCACCTCTGCGCTGCGCGGAGTCACCGACTGTGCCTCTCTCTCTCCCCTCCCCTCCTCTCTCTCCTCCCCGTGTCCCCTCCTCCTTCCACACTCTCTCCACCTCTCCTCCCTCTCTGTCTCTCTCGAAATCTCTCCTCCCTCTTCCGTCCCTCTCTCCCTACCTCTCCTGCCTCTCTCTATCTCTATCTCACCTCTCCTCCCTCCCTCCATGTCTCCTCCCTCGCCCCCCACTCTCTCTCCACCTCCCCTCTCATTTTTTTTCGATCAGAGGGAACAAGAAGATGCTCAGTGTAGTCGGCACTTCGCTTCGTTCATCATTTAGTTTTTTTAATGCTTTGCTTTATGTAACCCCCCCCCCCCCTTTAAATGAAAGATTTCACGTTCTGCTCTCCGTAACCCCTTCAATCTCTCTCTATCCCCCTCTCTACCCCCCCTCTCTACCCCCTATCTCCCTATTCCATGTCTATGTTCCCCCTGTTTTCTATGTCATATCCACGTCTCTCCCTCTCCGTGTCTCCCTCCCCTCCCCCCTCTCTCTTCCACACGTCCATCCCCATGATCCCCACACCTGACCCCTCCTCGTACCTGCGAATATTCAATCTCTAAACTCCTGTCTTTCTATCTCGATTTCTCTCCCCCCCCCCCCCATTCGTCTATTCATACGTTCACACTCCGTCTAACACTCCCTCTAATCCCACACACACAACATTATTATTATTAGACCAAATGTGCACGAGGTGTGGCCAGCATCATACCCGGCCGCCTTCGTCTCCCCAGTACCGCTGCTGCTGCTGCTGCCAGGTACTTAACTCGTGCAAGGCTAAGTCGACCTAGTGGAGTCCCAGAGCAGGTTTTGGATACCACGTGTCCACACCGACGTAGCGCACCGCGCGAGAGAATCGGAACCCAGGTGGCCAAGGACCACGAGATCCACTGCGCCACCACTGCCCACAAAACAAAATAAAGACAAAGATCCCCCGTGTAGCCTTAACAGACTGTGGGGCCAAGTGCTGTTAGCGAGCACCTATGAAGGCCGGCACGGCACACGAGGGGGTGGGTGGCCAGCACCACGCCCGGCCGCCTTTGTCTCCCCAGTGGCGATGTTTACACACCGCACCAGGTACTCATTTGAGGCTGAGTCGACCTACACTCACCCTCCCTCTGACAACTCACCAGCCCTCTCACACAAACACTCTCAACATGCATACAAACAGCCTCCACCAAGTCGCTTGTGCCAGGCTAGGTGCACTTTTAATTCCACGTGAAGTGTGGAAGGCTCCCTGCTGGACTGGCAATATGTCACGAGGAAGACCCAGGCGCTGTGGGTTGACTGACTGAGATGATGACTGACAGACCCTTCACCTGTGCTCCCCACTGCGACAAGTCAAGTGTTTGCGCACACACAAAGACAAAGGCTCCCCCCCCCCCCCCCCCCCATGTAGCCGGAACAAACTGTTCGGGACAAGTTCTGTTAGCGAGCACCTATGGAAATCCGGCACGGCACGTGCGAGAGTGGCTAGCACCACGCCCGACCGCCTTTGTCTCCCCAGTGGCGATGTTGACACACTTGAGGCTGAGTCGCCACGCACACGAACACTCCCCCCCTCCTCTCACTCTCTTGCCTCCACGCCTCTCCCCACCCCCATCTCCCTCACTCTCACTCCGTCCCTCTCCCCGAACTCCCACCACTCGACGCAGCACGCAGCAGTCGCTCGCTCTCCATCTCAACCCTCTCCTCCATCTCCCTCGTGTGTGCGTGTGTGTGGTCGCCTCCTGCTGGCCTCGCGGGGCACAGTCCACGCACACCAGAGGTCGCAAACGGGTTTTGATTCCTTACCTGTACCCGTACCCGGCCGCACCAGGGTCGCAAACGGGTACCTGTACCCGGCCGTACCCGTACCCTACCCGGCCGGGTACGGCAAGGGTACGGGTATCGGGTACCTGATTGCGACCTCTGGGATGAAGCCATGTTGCAGGCGCGGGTGGGTTGATTCTAGGAACTTGAATTGTGAGAAGAGACAAGATGTTGTGTGACAAACAGTTACTCACCAGTGACTCACGGTCTACCCGTACCCGGCCGCACCAAGGTCGCAAACGGGTACGGGTACCCGGCCGGGTACGGGTAGCCGGGTATCGGGTAGGGTACGGGTATCGGGTACCTGGTTGCGACCTCTGACGCACGCTCATAGCCTGGCTCAATGAGCACACGTGGGCGTGCAGACACGCGCGTGTGGACATATATATGTGTCGGAACTTTTTTCGCACCGTACGTAGCCAATCGTACTAATCGGAGGCGCGGGGAAGGACAACAAACGAAAGACAACGAGCAGTTCTCAAGAAGTGAGTTTTCAATCCTGATGATTTCAAAGTCCATAGCGCCAGTGGCGTCCTAATATCGTAAGGGAGAGCGTTCCAGACGGCCGCAGAAGCGCATCTGAAAGCGCGCGACGCAGTTCGATGGCTCAGCCAAAAACCACTGCCGCCGCTGCTGCTGCTGCTGCTACGAGGATGACCGGCGTTTGCGTGATGGTTTATGTTATTTTACGAGATCAGCGAAGTATCGTTCATTTGCGGCACGCAGGTTGTGTGTAAGGGGCCGACCATAAATGACGTCACGCACCTAGGGGGGGGGGGGGGCAGACATTTGTGACGATGTGTGACGAGGGCGGGCGGGGGTTAAGAAATGTGACGTCACTTCAAAATGCGCAACTTTAAATGAATATAGACATGTTCTACTTAATTAAATAGACTTTTTAATTAATGTTTCCTCCTACAACATCAGAGTGCGGCGCCACATTAAATACGCATTACAATGACAATAGTTTAAAGCGATTTGAAGCATCATCATGGGACCTCCTTTGCCAGTACCAAAATATACTAATAGGGGTTTCCCCCCTTTTTCTGGCAACAAAACTGATACCTTTTGCAAGGAATCATGCTTACATTAACCACAATACTTGCAGTCAAATGCAAACAAAAAACAATACTCTGATAATTTATGCATTGTCTTTGAAACTGATTAGTCCACACCAGAGACAGCTTTCTTTGGAGCCTCGTCTCATATGGTGTTCGACCAGATGACGCCATCTGGGCGAACACCCCTATTAGTACGAATTGAAGCATGTTTTATTTTTTGGGGGGGGGGGGGGAATACAAAAGAATAAAATGTGAAAATTGTTCTGCCACAGCCTCACAAATGTTTACTCTAACGTGGTTCAGCAGTGTCTATAACACGGACAGTCGTGGCCATATCTGGCCGCTGGGGTTGCCGATGCTGACTGTTTTGTTTTGGTAACAACTCGCAAAGGGAAATGCAAACATCGTGAGCTACCAAATCGCTCACACCAGGGAGATGTTGTTATTTTTGGTCGGTGCCTTGTCATGAAAACAACTATTTACCAAATTGCCAGAAATATGTAACACATTCCTGCGGAGGGAGCTGGTAGGAACGTTGGGTTGCTCGATCAATGGCCAGGGTCAACGGCAGCGTGGTGTATTCCGCAAATATGCCCGACTGTAAGGCGGGCACAAGCCGGCGTGAGTAGGTTAAACGTTGAGTTTTATAAGGGCACCACGGGGTGACCAGCTCCTCCCCACCCAGCCTCACCCCTCCCACTCAGCCTCTCCCCACCCTCCCCACCCTCCCCTCTCCACCCAGCCCCACCCCTCCCATTTTTGAATGCACGACGGACGGACGGACACAATAATCCCCTGTAGGCTGGTGTAACCAGGAGGTTCCTACCGGTATTATTCTCAGTGCCGACGTCCTCAAACATTCAATGATAGTTGATAACAACAGTAGGAGGCCTTCCTCCCTTATTGGTCTGCAATACATTACAGTATTGCAAATAATGCACAGGTAAGTCCTCGTTAAACACGGTAGACGCGTTCCTGAAAAGTGCCATGTCAAGCGAAAAGAATGTAACGATGCAGTTTGGCGAGATTACCGTACGATGTACTACGCACACACATCACTCTGCTCAGCTGTGCAGCTCAAGAAAGTAGTTAGTCGTCGATCACTCAGAAACCGCGTTGCAACAGGCGTGCGCGTTACGCATTATGAGGAGCGAATTCTGTGCTGTGCGAAGCGTTCCCGAATGGGAGAACCGCGTTATATCGAAAACGCGTTGTATGAACACACATACAGTATTGCAAATAGGCATACCTCGGTATACGACCGCTTTGGAATACGTCGAATTTGGTATACGTCGTGTTTTAACGAGAAAAATGTCTTGGGATACGACGTCTTGCTTGGGATACGACGCGCTTGCTAGAACTTGTATGGGTCGGGATGAGTCACCGCGTACCCACGTAGACCCCGTTCACGCCTCCTCCCCTTCCTCACCACCATCCTCGTAGGCTATCAACTCCTCTCACCAAGGTAAAGTGATGTTAAATTGTATTTTTATTTCAATTTATTTATGCATTTATTTTAATTTATGTATGCATTTTAGTAATAAGTAGTGTCTAAATTATTTGATACAACCCCATTAGTGTATAATATGACATATAAAATATAATTTCTTATACTCTGGAACGGATTATTTCCTTTCCGTTTATTTCTTATGGGAAAAATTCGTTTGGTATACGTCATTTTAGGTATAAGTCCTACCTTCTGGAACGAATTAACAACGTATACCGAGGTACCACTGTAGTAATATCAATTCACACATTAAACATTTACATTTGGTACTTTTACGTGTAAATAACAAGTAACACTTGGCTGCTGTATGAACTCATCACTAGTTACTATTCTATTAAGTACACACTTACAATTCAATTACGCTTAGGATATCGCTAAAGTTTAATTAATCTGCGTCGCCATCAACCGCGAAGCAAAGATGCAGCGAGGGCTGGCTGATGTTCACTGCATGTGTAGTCGGTTTAGATTATCTGATGAATTTTAGAAGTCCACAAACTTGTCGAAACACATCTGGCAGTTTAACACATAATGATGCTAGTTGTAATTACTGGCGAAACGTCGTACTCCGATTGTAAATGTTGTGGATTTACTCTCCAACGCACCTGTGTGCTGTACTAGTACCGAATTGGCATGTTCTGTTTACGTAAAAACCCTTACTAATTGGCTGTGTCGGGTGGTGGCGGGGCTAAAGACACATTTATATTTACGCGATCTAACCCAAAATAAGTAATATTTAAAAATACTTTTTTTTAAACACGCTTTAATGAAATGTACCGTACGAGTAATTGCAGAACTCCACGACTCCATGAAGTGGCCCCGAGGCTTGCCATAACGTAAGGGGCCGTGGTGATTTACAGCCAACGTTAGTTGAGCGTCGACAATTAGAGCCAAGCCGAAACATAACATATAAAAAATAATGTTTAAAAATATGTTATATATTTTTGATGATATAATATAGTAATGTCATCAGTATAACATAAGCATACCAAGTTTGCAGTCGATACCACATTGGGAAGTGGGTTAAAATTTTGTTACAAGATTTGAGGATACGACAACAACAGAGTGCGTTAAATAAAAGCGTGTAATTTAAAAAAACACCTGTATTATGGAAGCTTTGCTAAGTATGGAGATGCGTTTGTCAAAAGCGATACAACACAATGCGTACGTTTCATTGTCTTTGAAAAGTTAGGAAATGTTCCGCTGACAACTGGCAGGGTAACCTCTTGCCATGTAACGTGTTCCATTAGATTTCCATGAGAGGTCTCATCTTAGCTAATCCATGAAAGGCAATACATGTTAAAATCCACACACAAATCGTCATCCTTTGTTGCACATTTATTTATCCCACACACACAAATCGAGACTTTATTTTCGTGATACGGTATACTCCGATGTGTTCACCACGATGGGCTCTGGTTGCGTGCAGGCGATAACCCAGTGCAAGTATGCAACGTTGAGCCACCGTTGGCCCAACTTGGGGCGCCGGCTCTATCCAAATGCCAATTACGGGCCCACCGTTCCATGTTTACTGGATTGTTCCATCGCAGGACCGTGAGAAACGGTGACAACTTGGTGTGGCCTTCATTCGGCAGTGGATCGATCACGACTGATGATATTTGGTGGTGGTTGAATATAAACAGAGCAATAGTCTGTTGGGTGCTTATTAGGAATGTGAACTCGAATGCAAACGTCTACCTTGAATTAACAGCAGTTGGCAGTTTAAACCACTCTAGGGCAATGGTTGGATATACCAACTACCATGCGAATCAATGGTGCCACACATTCAATGGTTATAGTTCACCGTATGCTGCTAATCCACATGTCAATGTTGCCATGAGTTCAATACTTTCTCCTAAAAGCAGTGGTGACATTGTACATCAGTCAACCCTGCCACATCAGCAAGTTTGGCTTTGTGCTGCATCGCTCACAGATTTTTTTTTATTGTAATGATTATTTCAAAGCTTCCCTTTCTGTTGTAATGGCAAAACAAATGTTGGTATTTTATGTCAGTACGACTTGTCTCCTGTTAAGAAGAATTTTTTTTTAAAATCAATAGTACATGAAGAAAACCACATTTAATGGGTAAATGTTCGTCAGAAAAGCACGCAGGTCCAGTTATAGTTTTACAGGTACTTTTTATTTACAAATATTTTTGTAAAAAGATATTTTCACATTTAGGTTTCACACCACGAGTAGGCCTCAGCTCTCCTCCTAGATCTTCTGCCCAATTCAAGTGAGCTCAGAGAAGTGGTTTCTAGGCAAGATGGGAGGATGGGTTCTGCTTTTGAGCCCATTCAGCAAAAAATATTTATGCTCGACACCAGTAAAAAAAGAATTAGTGTTCGTAAATAATTCCTGCCACAAACACCAGAACCACTGGCATTGGTTTAGGCGGCCATGCCTTGCTGACGATGCTCTGTAAAGTAGAAATCGGTCTAATATAGCCTCAATAAATGCTATTGTGCAACATTGATCTGGAAGTAGGCCCATATTCCTGGAGTGATTCATTTCAACCACCCCACCTTCCCAACGTATTTAATTTATTAATGCAATAATTTGCTGAAGCGGCCAAAAGAAGCATTTTTATTGTGAGTGGCTGAGAAAAATAACATATATTCACATTCACATCATGCCTGTGCGTGTTTGTGCATGCGTATGCGCTTGTGTGCATCGGCGTATGTGCGGGCCTATGCATGACTGTGAGCATAGGCGTGTCCGCGTGCGTGCTCGTGTGTACGCGTTTGTGTACACGTGTGAGCCAGTGTATGTGTAAGCATAAGCGCGGTGTTTGCATGCGAGTATTGTATGTATGTGTTATTGTGTAAGGTTATACGGGGGATCTTTGTCTTAGTTGTTATGTGGGGAGCGGTAGTGTCATGTTTAGCTCGCTGTGCTACAAAGCCGGTGACCCGAATTCTGATTCCCGCTCACGGCCAACACCAGTGACGATTATCTGAACTGGTCCTGGGCCTCTCCTTAAGGTCGCGTCAGCCTCAAATGAACACCTGGTGCAATGTGAACATCGCCGTTGGGGAGAAAAGATGGCCGGGTGTGGTGCTAGCCATCCCACCCTCTCATGTACCGTACCGGCCTTCATAGGTCATCTCTAACAGCACTTGCCACTACAGTCTGTAAAGGCTATACAGAGGATCTGTGTCTTTGTCTTTGCGTTAGTACGTGAGTGTGTATGTGTGCGAGTATGTGAGTGAGTGTGTGAGTGAGTATGCGAGTACATGAGTGTGTGTGTTGGTGACCACTAGCTCTCCGCCTTCTCCTCCACTCGCGAGGCCTCGGCCTCCGCTCTCTGTTGCTTCTCGTGCTGCCGCCGCTTCCTCTCGGCCGCCGTAATCGTCATTGGGTGCAGAGGCAGGTACCCCGAGAGGCCTGCGTGAGCGAAGGGGAGCAAACGGGATCGGGGTGAGTGAGAGGAAACCCCCCTTGGTCACAGCAACTCTCACCCTCCCCTGCCCACCACTGCAACCTGCTTTCTTCACAATCAGACTGTCAGTAGAACTTCTGCCCGCAAGCAGAACTCCCAAAATGCTGCATCTATGGAGAAATGCCAGGGCAAGGCGGGAGCAGAATGGGGAGCAGGCACGAGGCCGAAGAGGCTGCGGTGAGAATGTGGAAAGTAGGGGAAGGCATGGAGGAAGCAAGGAAAAACAGCAAGCAGGGGAGATGAGTAAGGGAAGTAAAGGGAGCAGGGAGAACGTTGGGAGTGCGAATCTTGGAGTAAAGACAGGAAAGGTGAGGAGAAAGCAGTTGAAGAGGGAGGGAATACTTGGAGCAGGGAACAGCAAAGAAGAGGCAGGGGGGATTATAATGAGTGGGCAGGCAGGGAGGCAGAGGGAACGTAGAGCGTAAAGATCGCAGGGAGAGGAGAGGCAGGGAGTAGCCGGGAGGCAGAGGGAACGGGCAAGAGGAGAACTTGGAGCACGAAGCGCGCGGATGGCTCTGGGGTGGTGGGGGGGGAGGGTGGGGAATGAGAACGCACCGAGCAGCTTGGCGACGGGCGTGGAGAGCTGGGCGCCCGACGCGAGCCAGTAGGAGATGCGCTCCAGGTTCACCCCCACGAGGCGCTGGCCCCACGCGTTGGGCATAGGGTCGTACGTGCCGACCTGCCGCGCCGGAGGAGTGAAGCTCAGCACGGGCGCACGCAGCCGCGGTGTGTGTGTGTGCGTACCCACGCAGGAGATAGCGACGACAGTGCCAACGATGATAGTGTATTTTTTCTTTTGTATGGCAGGGAGTCATGTTGAGGTTGGTGAGCGAGCCCTCGGACAGCATTATGTTGAATATCTGAAATGCTGCCAGCGAATGATAAAATTGTGCCGTGGTGTGACTATGTGGTCCATGCTTTGAATTTACTCACCACAGTCACACTGTGGATTATTTGTGTCCATCAGTGTAAGAGACAGTCGCATCTGGCGTGTGATGTTCTGAATTCATGATGATGGACGTGAAGATGATGGTAATCATGATGGTGGGGATGGTGGAATTGTCAATATTGGTGATGACGGTGGTGATGATAGTGAATATGATATTTATGGCAATGACACTGGTGATGATGTGAATAATGACGATGGAGAACTGAGTGATGGTGGTGGTGGTGACGACCACGACAATGGTGCCGATGTTAATAATGGTGCTGCTGGTGATGGTGGCGTGCTGATGCTGCTTTTCCCATTATGATGTGAGAACCAGTGATGATGCTGGCGATGACGGTGATGGCAGTGTTGATGTTGCTGGCGATGCGGGTACCTGCTCCAGGTAGGGTGCATCACGGGCACGCTTGTTGAACATCGTGACGATGTTGTAAACCGGGCGATTAGTACAGCCGCCCAGCGCCATGCGAATAACGATGTGACCGCTCGCATAGCGACGGCACAGCGCCAAGCCTACACGTCCAGACACCGACCGACCGACACAGCACATCGACACACTCATCCTCAGACCCCCACCAACATACTAAATCGTCACACTCCAACAACAGAGCTCGTCACATTCATCATCACATCCCATCACCACACATAATAAACCTCATCACAACACCTTATTAGCACACTCAATATACCCACACTCAACAGACTCATTAACAAACACATATCATCCCAGGCCAACACTCATTACCAACATACCATAAACACTTAATACACTGAAACCCACTAATAATCAAAACACCACACCTCATCAGCACACGAGATGACATAACCGCTTGTACAAAGACACGTTCACGCAGAACACGGCACACTCGCAATCGCAGCTTAATGAATGCATCTTTGCTCAACGCATTCAAAAACACAATCAATATCCATTACACTCATCACACTCTTCAACGCAGCATATTCACACTCAGCGCCGCAACCTCTTCAACTAACCAGGCAACGGCTGCTCACATAACGCAACAGCGCCACACCTGCACATGCATACAAAGACTAACAAAGACAAAGATTCCCCCCCCCCCCAGCCATTACCAGAATGTTGGGGCAAGTGCTGTTAGCGAGCACCTATGAAGGCCCGCACGGCACATGAGGGGGTGGGTGACCAGCACCATGCCTGAGCGCCTTTGTCTCTCCAATACACACTGCACCAGGTACTCATTTAAAGCTAAGTCGACCGAGGGGAGCTCCAAGACCAGTTCAGATATTCATCAGCAATGTTGGCCGTGAGCGGGAATCAAACAGGGTTCATCAGATTCGTCGGGTAATACGTTAATCATTGCGCCACCGCTCCCCGTGTGAGTGTGCAACTCTTGATGACGTTCATAATCAGGGGCCGGAACAAGTTGATTCCCTAGATTCTATGCATTTTATCTGCATAGAGTGATGATTTTATTCCCAAATCAAATATTTTTTTTCTTCCCATCAGTCAATTAAAAGTTAATCTGATTCGTAATTTATTTTTTGGTTCAGCCACATAATTGAGTGATCTGGCAACATTTTTGTCGCGTAACCCTCTTACCACACGACGCGTGTATAAGCGTTTAACGCGCAAATTATTACCGTTTCAGCTCGCACCGGAAAATGCTAAATACGTCACAACCAAATTTAGTAATGACTTTTGGATATTTTTTTTACATCATTATTATTGAGGATTACATTCACGAGCATATATTTAACACGCAATAATCTCACAGTTCACAACACATGATTCGATCTCTATTTCTCAACACTGCCTCCAGTGGTTGCCGGGATTACACGAACCATGGCATACAACACAGTCGAGTTTTGTGAATCTAATATACAAGACAGCACTCTAATCGATTCTTACATGCGTAATTCCGTGCATGTATCTTTCAAGTGTAAGAATCGCTTTAAACTCGACCTAAAACGTAGGTGCCCATAGCCAATGTAATGATCCTTGCTCAATTTCCGAACTCTCCCACTCCCCAATCCTGAAGGCAGTTCTAGCGAAACACTGTCCCGACACTGATGTCGTTAAGTTTTATGCCACTAGTCAAAAGTCACTACCATTGAAACGTGCGAACCAAATAGTTAAATGTCGTGGATTGCTCTCCAAAACACAGAATGGCGTGCTCAAGTTGTTTTCTCGTGACAACTTAATTAACTTCCTGTGTCAGGTGGTGGAGGGGTTACGACACACATTTAAACTCCCGCAATCTGACCCTAAGAAATAGGTTACGAATCATATTGGTCGCGAAATCCTGCGTGTTACATTTTTTTTCTAATTCAGCCACGAAAAGTCTGAAGCCACTGGTGACCAGGAAGCTTCATTGGTCACAACTTGATTATCACATTGGCACGTAGAAATAATATCTTTGTGAACGTGGCAATCTTGTCGGGTGGTGGAGGGTTAATGAAAATAATTTTGGAATAATACTACAATGTGGACGAAAACTATGGGAACAAAACATCGGTCAAACGTTTTCAAATTAACTTAAGTTTAACAATCCCTTCATTACGGGCCTATTGAATGACATTTGTTGTTCCGCTGATGATGGATGGTACTCATGTAAATGGCGCTGATAACGAAGATGATGGTGATGGTGTCAATGCTGCTGAAACTGTTGGTGGGAGCGGCAACCCGATTTCAATTCCCGCTCACGGCCACCACCAGCGATGATTATTTGAACCGGTCCTGGGCCTCCCCTAGGTCGACTCAGCCTCAAATGAGTACCTGGTGTGGTGTGTAAACATCACCACTGGGGAGACGAAGGCGGCCGGGCGTGGTGCTGGCCACCCACCCCCTCGTGTGTCGTTCCGGCCTTCATAGGTGCTCGCTAACAGCACTTGCCCCAACAGTCTGTTTAGGCTATACGGGGGATCTTTGTCGTTTTGTGTATATATATCTGAGTGTATATTGAGGAGCGGTGGCGTAGCTGTGAACGTTGCACTCCGCTGTGAACCCGGCTACCCGAGTTCGATTCTCACTCGCGACCATTAACAGTGCTGAATGTCTGAACCCAGTCTCTTGGCCTCCCCAAGGTCGGCCTTCATAGGTGCTCGCTAACAGCACTTGCCCCAACAGTCTGTTTAGGCTATACGGGGGATCTTTGTCTTGGATGAATTCGACTCTCGCCTCCTCCACCACTGAACCCACCACATCCGGGAATCCAACCCAGCTCCTCACCTAGGTGCACCATGGTCACCTTCTTGCTTGTGTCTCTCTCTTTCCACTGCACAGGCCCTGTATAGCAGTAACAACAACAGCAGCAGCAGCAACAGCAATTACACAGTGCCAACAACACTCAGCCTTTCGATTGTAAGCTTTCGGGACTGCAGGGATTAATATTCTTGGTTCTTTCGGTAAATGATGATTGCTTGTGTTGCAATCGAAATGTCGTGAGAATTTGATTGTTTTATTTGTATTATTTGTATTATTTCCCTTCTACGTGACTTTAGCGAAAGAACCAAGAATAACACTCATCCTTTTCCCAAGGGTCGTCTGGCTTGCGTTGTCAGAGTAGGCCCAGGACCGCCCCCCCCCTCTATAGGGGGGCTGTGTAGGGGCACCCTCAAATGGAGGAGGCCCTTTCGCCAGCGGAGGCGTGAAACACCTTTTTAATCAACCCTTAGCGACCTTCACCTATTTACGGAACCGCGGTGGGGTAAAGTGTGAGTACTATCACCCAGCAATGGAAGAGTCGGTAGGCCACCAATACCACCGCCATTCGCCACCACGACGCCTGTGCCAGGCTAGGTGCACGTTGAGGCCATGTGAAGTTGTCGAAGGCTCGCTGACAGGAAAGTTCACGGGACAGACCCAGGTGGTGCCATTGGTTGACTACTGTGCCAGGCTAGGTGCAGGAGGTCACGGGACAGACCCAGGTGGTGCCATTGGTTGACTGCTGTGACAGGCTAGGTGCAGGAGGTCACGGAACAGACCCAGGTGGTGCCATTGGTTGACTGCTGTGCCAGGCTAGGTGCAGGTCACGGGACAGACCCAGGTGGTGCCATCGGTTGACTGCTGTGCCAGGCTAGGTGCAGCAGGTCACGGGACAGACCCAGGTGGTGCCATTGGTTGACTGCTGTGCCAGGCTAGGTGCAGGAGGTCACATGACAGACCCAGGTGGTGCCATTGGTTGACTGCTGTGCCAGGCTAGGTGCAGGAGGTCACGGGACAGACCCAGGTGGTGCCATTGGTTGACTGCTGTGCCAGGCTAGGTGCAGGAGGTCACGGAACAGACCCAGGTGGTGCCATTGGTTGACTGCTGTGCCAGGCTAGGTGCAGGAGGTCACGGGACAGAGCCAGGTGGTGCCATCGGTTGACTGCTGTGCCAGGCTAGGTGCAGCAGGTCACGGGACAGACCCAGGTGGTGCCATTGGTTGACTGCTGTGCCAGGCTAAGTGCAGCAGGTCACGGGACAGACCCAGGTGGTGCCATTGGTTGACTGCTGTGCCAGGCTAGGTGCAGGAGGTCACATGACAGACCCAGGTGGTGCCATTGGTTGACTGCTGTGCCAGGCTAGGTGCAGGAGGTCACGGGACAGACCCAGGTGGTGCCATTGGTTGACTGCTGTGCCAGGCTAGGTGCAGGAGGTCACGGAACAGACCCAGGTGGTGCCATTGGTTGACTGCTGTGCCAGGCTAGGTGCAGGAGGTCACGGGACAGAGCCAGGTGGTGCCATCGGTTGACTGCTGTGCCAGGCTAGGTGCAGCAGGTCACGGGACAGACCCAGGTGGTGCCATTGGTTGACTGCTGTGCCAGGCTAGGTGCAGGAGGTCACGGAACAGACCCAGGTGGTGCCATCGGTTGACTGCTGTGTCAGGCTAGGTGCAGCAGGTCACGGGACAGACCCAGGTGGTGCCATTGGTTGACTGCTGTGCCAGGCTAGGTGCAGGAGGTCACATGACAGACCCAGGTGGTGCCATTGGTTGACTGCTGTGCCAGGCTAGGTGCAGGAGGTCACGGAACAGAAGACCCAGGTGGTGCCGTTGGTTGACTGCTGTGCCAGGCTAGGTGCAGGTCACGGGACAGACCCAGGTGGTGCTATTGTTTGACTGCTGTGCCAGGCTAGGTGCAGGAGGTCACCGGACAGACCCAGCAGGTGCCATGGGTTGACAGAATGACATGACAGGCTGATGCACCAGCTGATCGACCAGCTGTGCCCCCCGACTGTGCCAACTTGCTTTTCATTTTATCCTCCCGGCACTCCGCTCGTTGTTGTGATCGTCGCTGCTGCTACTGCCTAGTAGCAGCAGCAGCGTCCTTCACGAGCCTCCTCCTTCTCCACAGAGGCCGATCTTGACACCCGCGGGGTACCGGTCGTCGGCAGCTCCACTCAGCTCCACGTCCTTGCCGCACCGCATCAGCTCCATCTCTTCCCCGGGGCCCCCTCTTAAGCGGTCAAAACAGAAGCCGCCTGGCCACGCGTGTGGGTGGCCGGGCCAGGCCCTGCCTCGAACAACCCCTCTCGTGTCTCTCTCTCTCTGGACTCCTAAACCCAGAGCTTCCTTCCAAGCAGCGGCGTGAGCACGCAATTCCAGGGGCTGCGCCTTGGCATTTGTGGGGTGGCAGCCGCGTTGGGGGGGGGAGGCCCCACGTGTCTGCCACCCCCTTAGGCCTAAACGCCTCCCCAAGCACCGCACCGGTACAATTGCTCAGCTCAGCAACGAAGAAGGGAAACCCACACACCCACCCACCCTCACCCACCCCACACACCACGTTCAACTATTTAGCTTTAATTAACAGTCTCAATGACAAGGCCCTCACCTCGGAGGACGGAAGAGGCCTCGCGTGCCCGGGCCCAGTCCTCAATGACAGCGGCGGGCGGGTGGGGGGGGAGGGGTGACGGCGATGAATATTCATGAGCGTGACGTCACAAGCCCCTCCCCCTTCCCCCGGGGTTATTGTTAATTATTCATGAGCTCCCCCCCCCCCTTTCTCGACTTGAGGCTTTTGTGATCGCAGGAATTCATATTCTTTTGGTCTTTCGGTAAACATTGACACCATTGGAACCTCCTTTGCCAGTAGCAAAATATGATGATTGTTTTTTTTACCCTTTTATCTGGCAACAAAACTGGCACCTTTTTTTTTACAAGGAGTCATGTTTGCATTGACCACAATACCTATTCTGATGGTGCATTGTCTTTGAGTTGTGCGCCTTTTGGCGTCAACTGGTCCAACACCACGTGAGACTCGGCTCTAAGAAAAGCTGTCTCAGGTGTGGACCAATCAATTTCAAGGACAGTGCATACATTATCAGAGTTATGTTTTTGTTTGCATTCCGACCGCAGGTATTGTGGTCAATGCAAACATGACTCCTTGTAAAAAAGATGTCAGTTTTGTTGCCAGATAAAAGGGTAAAAAAACAAATATCATCTTTCGGTAAAGTCACGTAGATGGGTTCAAAGGACGTTTCGATCGCAACGCCTCTTCCTGATGACGGTTGCGTATGATGACGATGGCATGCGCGAAATCTGAAATGGTTCCAATAAAGCTCGTTATTTAGCCGTGCTTGTTAATCAGCCGCGCGATACCACGGCAAGGAGAGTCGAGTGAAGGATGTCGTGGAAAATAACGATCTGGGGGTTGTCCGTGAGAATCGAGTCCATCGTGTTGCTTAATTCACCACCTGGGTTCCATGCATGTCCACTTCATGGACTCCTTTTCGGAAAAAAAAGTGATTAAAGCCATGCCTCCGTTTGTATGTTGAACTTCTTAGCGTACGTAGCCAGCCGTAGCAAAAACGTAGCCGACCGTGCTAATCGGAGGTGCCTTTGCGAGCAATCTCGAGTCTACAGACAGGCATTCTTCTCTTCCATTCCTCTTGATAAAGAGCTGTGAATTGAAATGAAAGAACGCAGACAGAGGAGAGAAGCAGAGCACAGATAAGACCATCGCTAATGGACCGCAGGTCACTTGGAGTGGCAGTGGTGGCACATAACAGCAAGTTGTTCAACGAGTGCTGCTGCATTTGATTATTTTATAAATATAAACATGCTTCATAGTTTTTTTTTAATACTCTAGGTAACGTCATTAATGATGCATGATCATGATGTAAGACAGCTTGAAAGCCCAGTAATTATTCATAACCCTGGAAGTGTGTCCCAGGGATGATACGAACAGATCCACGGACTCGAAGGCCACGGACTCAAGCCGTGGGTCTAAGGCGCTCATAATGACCGTGTCAGCAGAGGCTGAGCCAGCGCCTCGGTGTTTGGGTTTCGAGCTTGAAGATGGGTTTCACGCCGTCTCGGCTCATAATGGTTGTGTCTTGGACAACGATATTCATAATAATGAGCTTTGTCCATCCAGGAATGCATCACCCGGTCTTGAGACTTTTTCAGGAGTGTTTCTGCATTGCGATGTTTGTTCAATTTCATCAACGAAACTAGTCTCCAAAATTGATTACCAATTTTAAACTTCAATGACTATGATAATCGTCGTTATAATCATGGATATAATTAGCATCAGAACATTGTGCTCGAACTTGCTATTATCTTAATTTATTTCACCTTCATTGTAAATATTTTCATCACCATAATTTCACTTGACTTGTAATCTTGGCAAGATGCAGAGATGACGGTGTTTTTGGCCAAGAGAAAAATTAAATGTGAAACCATCGTCAAGACGTGAATTTGTCCCTTGGGTCTGTGGCTTGGCTCCCCATCACCGAGCCTCTGGGTAAGCCACAGCACTGATCCGTCCCGTCGAGCGTGCAAAAAAAGACCTCCCGAAAGGCTCAATTCACTTAGGATGTTTATTTATTGTACTTCTCAAGACAACATCACTTAAATTTCTGGCGACGCTCACTCATATCTCGTTAATTTAATTACAGAGCCTCCTCTCTACAGACACCTACAACGTGGGCGGTTCGGGACGCAAGGCCGTCGACTCACTCTACCGCACGCGGCACCGACACCTCGTTTCAACATTGCCTACTGAGCCCCGAGCAGGGTAAGGGGGAGGGGGCCTGGAGGAGACGCAGTGCGGCTGGCGGTGACGGCTCACGCAGCTCGCACACGGAAAACGAGGTTGGTGGCGGCTCCGTACGAAAACCACAACAGTTGTCTCCTCGTGCAACAGTTGTGGTCGCTGCCAAACGCTGTCCATCAACAAAACCCAACACCCTATCCCCCAATTCACCCACCCCCCAAACAACGATGCGTCGCTCGCGACGACGTGAACACACACTGGGCAACGACACAGAACGTGGTTCCATCAATTGGTTTGCTGGACAACTTTTAACGCGGTGCCACCCAGACTAGATCTCAGAGATTCACATTCAAATGACATTTGAGTTCCGTTTGTGGAAAAGTCTTCCTCGCGTTGCTAAACACATCACGCGATCCCTTTGCGCAGGGTGCAACATCGTGAAATCGTGACATCATTAGGCCGGGAGAGGTGGTTTGGTGGGTAAGTTACCTTCGGTGAAAAATGAACGCGGAAAGCAGCATAGATTTGTATTTATGCTAACGTGCCACCTCAGATCCACGTCGGAGGGAGGTGATGGATCATAATTATCAGGTGGGCCAGTAGCCTTCACTCGTCAGCCTTCCCCAGCAACAATGCGCTGCCGTTTCTTCAAATGCTCGACGACGACGACAGGAACGAGAAATTACACCATGGGGCAATACGTCATCACATACTGACATCACAAAACAGACGCTGTGTCATGTTTGACGCGGTGTTTTGCTGCCCTCCGGCATCGTGGGACACCTGACACTCATTGCACGCTCGAGCGCAAATGGAAGAGACGCTATATATTTTTTTAAACTCCGCTCGCCAGATATGACTTACGGCGTTTGCATCCAAACTTTTCTGGTTAGTGACTTCCAAGATTGGCAAGAGCTACTGTTGACCACCAGCAGGCTCACATGGCTGCCACGTTGGTGGTCTGCCAGGTTGGTGGCGAGTAATGACGGCTTTGGATGTGGGTTAGTTGCACGTGAATATCAATCACCGTACAACTGGACGTGACGGCGTTTTTTGTTAACTTGGGGATGGACGCGCTACGGGCGCTTTCTCGAGACAGATTGTGCTTGTAAAGGTATAGTTAGATGTGCAAAGTGTTAAGCAGGAAATCCTCATCGAGCCTTTAACATCGTTTAAAATCAAGGGTCAAGTTCTGGGCGTTTGTCTAATTGTGATTTTTGTTTAGGTTTAATGAGTGTCTGGAGAAAAACCGTGCGTACAAAGAACAACCGAGACTTCGATACACAGTCGAATCTTACTTGCTGTACAAGCGGAGGGCACATTTCTGTACTACCTGAACATTGACCAAACCACAGGTGAATATCCCACATCTCATCATGATTAACCGTGGCCCCAATCCCATGCGTAATCCACTGACACCACCATTCACGCCAACAGAGGGCTCACACCAGACAGCATTGTCAATCAGCCAGCCTAGGCCACTGTTAAGACCCCAACCCTAACCATAACCCTGGACGCAGCTCAGGGCATCTGTCGTTCATAGTCACAATCTACCCAACCGTTGATTAAATATTAACCGGCGCTAGGAGCTGAAGAGACCAAGGATTAGAGGTTAGAGCTAGGGTCATACTGGCCATTTACCCAAGTAAACAGAACCTTTGTAAAACATTTATTGAACAACAAAAAACACGTCGTTACGTTTCCGCATTGTGTGATTACCAATGGGTGGGTATTTTACAAAACTCCCAATACAGTCCCCAATGCAGTTTGTTCACTTGGCCAAAATGGAGAAGGCGCACTATTTGGGGCATGCAGTATCGTCGAGTAGTCCACGTGGGTATATTGCATTAATACCCGCAATGCCAGCATCGGTGGTAACTGCTGGTTTATGCATTTGCCATTTCAAATTATTAATACTGTATCTTTTCCTCGATGAGCTTTTAAAAGGTGTATACAAAATATGTGGCTTGTTGGGAAGCTCATACATTTTTTTCAGAGTTCAACATTTATGCAATTGACAGTGTGATCAAGTACAACACAAACATGTGCAGGATTGTTAACATCTGCTGGCGTATTCCTGATTGGGGCATGGGCTGAATTTGTCTTAAAGCCACATTGAAGTGACTGCTTAAATCATGTTTCTGTCGACAACACCATACACAACCTATATAGCCCGAGCGACCAATCCAGATCACAACTCTTCTCGTCAATACTGAAAACCTGACTTGGAACGGTCCCGTCTCCTCCAACAGAGAACCCTCATCTCATCCGATATTTTATCCTCAAATCATCCGATGCAGCACCCTCTCACCACAATCATCTCGACTCATGTGATGCAGAATCTCCATCTTCCATCGATATAGAATCCCCCACCCCCAACTCACCTGATACATAACCGACAGCACATCTCATCTCATACAGCACTTGCTGTATTTAATACTTATCGCCTGACCCCATCCAACATATAACTCTAATGTCACACAATACGGCACACTCAAACAACACAACTGTGCCCCTTACTCTTGCCCAAGACCGAACACAGAATTGTACTGCCCCCTTGTTTCGGCACCAGCCACATGGGTCGGAACCCGACTCGTCGTACTGCCTCCTAAAGGCACCAACTAGATGCCAAGAATACCACGTCTCACACACGTCATCATCATCGCTGCCCGCACCACAACGGGAATCTCGGGAGCGGTCGTTCCCCCCACGAATCCACAAACTCGGCCTCCGAGTGGCCGGGAAGGAGGGGGGGGGGGTCAAATGCGTCCACCCACGGCGCTCACAATCATCCCGCTGCAACAGACTTGGAAGTGCCGCACTCAAGCTCGAGGACGTGAGTTCGGCTCCCAGCGTGGGCTTCTTTGGCCGAACTCGCGTAAATGTCCATAGGATTCCGCGGTGATGAATGCGGTTTGTCCACAATGTATGGGATTCTGAGACAGGTGGAGATGGTGTCAAATAGGTGGGGGGGGGGGGGGGTAAGAGTCAGGTCGAGGGACCCCAACCCGAGGCTAGGGTTTCTCTTTGGCAGCTTCTCTGAACCAGGAGGTTCCATCGCCCACTACCATCGTTGATCCTTTCACATCGACGGTCGATGCGCGTCCTATTCCACAGGCTACTCTTAAGCCTCTTTCCTCCATCAAAGCGCCTCTGCTCCATCTGAAGATGCCTCTATCTCGGTCATCTCTTCTCAATTTGAAGGCCTCGTCTCCCCCCCCCCCCCCCAATTTCCCACAATTGTCAGCGATTGTCCCATCCTGTGTTTCAGTGCTCCCTGTCAGCTCCTCGTCAAGGGTTCCCACTCCCACCTACCGACTTGTGTACAAGATGCAGTCACACACATGATTTAAATTAAATCATGATGGTTATCTCCTGTGTACTGGGCTTCTCTCTATATATCCTTCAAATTGGCCTCTTTTATCGCTCTTCTCCTCCACGGCTCAAAACTCATCATTTACGTAAAATCCCGCTGTGCCAACAATCCCCCTCCTCCCTCCCCGGAAAGACACACAAACACGCGCACACGCACGCGTGTCCCCCTTGATCCTCTCTGCTTACACAACCCCCACCCCTTTACTTGGTCCCCCACAAGCTCCCCCACCCCCCGCAAGACGTCACATGACACCGATAACCGAAAGAGCACAGCATGTAGAAGCACAAAGTATGGACGAACGCTAAATCACGTCGCTGTACAGTTGTGCCGGCCGGGCTTTGTATACGAAGTTTTAGTTAGTTTGTGTAATATATATTTATTCAATGTATATTTATATGTTTTGTGCGAGTGTCGGGTTTTAAAAACGTAGTTACACGCGCAAACGAGAGCTAAAAAAAAGAGATGGAAGAGGTGAGGACGACCGCCACGACAAACCTGGGTGGGGGACGCGAACCCTCAACACGGGTCACTTGCATGAGTGCGACACGGAGGGGAAACACAGCGTGGCCTAGAGTGACACAGCTTGGCCCAGCGTGACACAGCGTGGCCTAGAGTGACCCAGTGACACAGCGTGACCCTGAGTGACAGCGTGGCCCAGCGTGACACAGCGTGACCCTGAGTGGCACAGCGTGACACAGCGTGGCCTAGAGTGACATAGTGTGACACAGAGTGACACAGCGTGACCCAGCGTGGCCCAGCGTGACCCAGCGTGACACAGCGTAACCCAGCGTGGCCCAGCATGACCTAGAGTGACACAGCGTGGCCCAGAGTGACACGCGTGGCCCTGAGTGACAGCGTGGCCCATCGTGGCTCAGAGTGACAAGGCCGGGCCAGTGTGGCCAAGCATGACACAGCGTGGGGTGTCCCGGTTACATGGAGGGCCCGGTGCGAATTAAGTCGAGGTTCCTTTGCGAAAACGAGGGAGAATCATAATGGCCACTGCAAGCGCACGCCTTAAGAACACACGCCATGTCGATTGCTTCCACGCACGTGCATACGCAAACGTAGAGGGTTGCACACGAATGTGTTGACAAGTTCACAGGCAAACATGAATATGCGTGTGCGAATGCAGCGCATGCAAGCGCAGAGGCGAGGGGCCAAGCAGGCGAGTCCAGATGTACTCAACACAACGGATGTTGCTTTGTAAGATGCTTTATATACACACATGAACACAAGCTGCTTGCATATAAATGAAAACACGAACTACACACACATGTATCCTGAATAGACATATACACTATACGTACACACCAACGCACACAAACTCAGGTACAGAATGTGAACACGTGCCCACCTACACAAATACATTACCATGCACAAACTCAAGTACACACACAAATACACTCTAGCACACCGACACAATACACACAAAGTACACACATTCATCGCATACCAACACAAATGAACACGTATGCAAACAAATTAATGCACAAACGCACCCATTATTATCTCCATGTGTGAATTGTACAGCATGCCTAGTCCCGTGTGCATGGACTGAGCTATGTTGACTGTGCTGATTTAGTGTCATTCTCCCCCTCTCTCTGGCCCCCGAGGCTCCGCTGGACAGCGTTGAGTTCTGCTCAAGAGCACGGATTAGTGTTCATACCTCCTGCCAACGCGGTCACATTACCACCTATTTGAACAATCATCGTATCCAAGATAAGCAGTGCGACCTTGCCAATTTCGTTTTACCAACCGACATGAATTTCATTCCCAGCCAGGGCTAACACCAGGGATGGTCGGCAGGCAACACGGCAATTGGTCAGTCGGCACCCAGCCCCTCCACGGGCAGCCCCTTTAACAAATCCACGCTTGCCAGTGCGGTGAAGTATGGTTAAACAGCCCCCCCATGATTGACGCAGTGTGTGGGAAGGCTTCAATTCATGGACTGACAAAAGGGCTGTAATTATTAACGATGACGAGAGTTCGAAGTTTTTTACCCAGGAAAACCTTTAATGAGTCTCAGGACTCCTTTTAGGGAGGGTTGTGCTTGGCGCGCCCAGTGAATGCCTTGTTTAGAATTTTTATTCCAGGCAGTAGGAAACCAGAGGGCCCGCGAGTAACAACACGCATAATACAAAGGGAAGAACAACCCTAAAATCCTTACGTGCAGTTAGGCTGAAAAACTCCTTGCTGTACTGCACTAAAATCGACTGTCTGCCTCATATCATCATCATACAATATAATGGAGCAAGTTTGAGTTTGTTACCGTCTGTCCGTATATATTTTTTTGCCCATTTTTTTAACCGTGTAACACATTGTGAAACAATATTCTTCAATTAAGTATTGATTTTGTGTAGTTTTAAATGTCGGGAAAATAGTCGATTGAAAATTTGGGAAACATTACAACCCATTTACAAAACCGGATGTAATGCAATACACATTTATAATGTGTATACAGTATAAGGCGACCATTTCAACGATTTATCAGAGACAAAACTTCATTTACGACCAAATATTTCGACATGACTGAGCACATTTGAAGGGTGATATTTCGACTGTGCAACGTAGTATAAAGTCGGTGAGGGTTTTTTTCTTCTTTCAAAATGTCAAGTCACTTAAGCACAGCAAGGAAGGTAAGAAAAACATATTTTAAATATTCATAAAAATTTACGTAAATTTCAGTAAACATTTAATGTTCAGTACTGCACTGTACACTTAGCACTCTTGGCCTATCAATTTATAGCACTAAGGGACTGCTTTCTCACATGTTATAGCATTAAGAATGGTTAAAACTTCATATATATTTAACTAAATCACATATTTCTGGACTTTTTTGCGAAAAAAATCGGTTTCTAGCCCGTGCTCAGAGACGTAACCCCCATAACATTGCGTCTATGGCAACCTGGGGTCCGAAAAATGATCTCATTTACGACTGGGTATCCAGCGGCGCATTGTGTGGTAAACGCGGACACCACCTATAGTTCTCTTTCAGTTTGATGAACGTACAATTCGCGGAAAACTCGACATTAACGTCAATATCTGAATTTTCTCACAATCTTGGAATTTTACGGAGACGTCGGAGTTTTTGCGGCAATCTTCGAAAAGATAATTCCCCCGACTTCTAACGGGCAGCTTCTACACTTCAAAACGAGTGGCATTTACCTACTTCCATTTGAGAACCTCCGCTATCTCTGTGATTTTGTCTTTTTTATGGCCTGAAAATTTACTTCAGTGATACCACATGCCTTGCAAACCATGGCAAAATTATCTACAAACTGTTGATTTGATCAATGAAATGACAATTAACTGTTTTCCTGGTGAAGAGTCTACAAAAGTTCCGATACAGTCGACAATGAATTCATCAACTGGCTCAACATCACGTGCTCAAACTGAAGGTTGGCTTCTGCATGATACTCCTTTGGAATTTCGATTCAAGCAATGGAACACGCTACATCTGGACAAGGAACAATCACATAATTGAAGCCTTGGTTGGATGTGGACTTCACAACAAGAAGAAGCCCTCGGATTCCACTGGCTCCTGTTGAAAACACAATTCCATTCTCGATGACAAAAACAAATTCCAATTTATCCTGCTTTTCGGAGTCACTGCCGATAAGAGCCTAGGACAAACACTGCAGAAAATTGGAATTTTCCTCCCTTCTGGCATATTTAATCACGCGCAATATTGCGTGGCAACCTCGCGCGTTGGATCCAACGAAGCCATCAAGATTCTGGCTCAGAAGGCTTCGTATCTGGACACAGATGGAAAATGCACAGATATTGTGGCCTATAAAGAGATTGTGTAAAATTATGTTTGCTTTTGAAATACAAACAAAAAAATCTTGAATGTTGTTCATTTCTTACTTACAGTAGCTTATACTTTACTATTGTATTTAAGTACCTTAGTTTAGCCTTCATAGGTTACAATTGAAGCCCGGAGACCCTTAAGCTCTCTGCAGGGCCGAGGAGATGAACGCCCGTAGGGCCCGAAGTTTTCTATTTTGTTTAATGCGCTGCGATTCTTTGAGATGAGAGGACTGAAAATAGCAAGACGAGGAATGGGCGGTGGAAGAAATAAGCACGCTAGTGCAGGAGCACACAAACGCACGCCAGAGTTACACGAGCATTAACACACACACACGTTTATGGTATTTACACACGTACACAGCCAGGCGCACAGGGTCACGCACGAACGCCAAGCAGGATCACAGTGGACACAGAGAGAGCGGGCACTCGCAGAGCCAGCCTCTGGCTATGAATCGCATGTTGTTAATGCACTGCGAGCAAAGTGCGGGCTGCCCCTGGAAGTCAACCGGTGGTCGCAAGTTAGTGCCTCTCTATGCTCAAGCGTGAATGGGTTAACGCTTCTCTGCTGGAGGTCAGTGGAAAAAATCCACATTCATGTGGCAGGTGTCAGTCCATCCAAGGAACACCCCGATGTCGACTTCTCACCACGTGGCGCTCATGGTGTTGTCCCTGGAACAATGATGATGGCGACGATTGGTCGAGACAGGGATTGAACTTGAAGAGGGCAAGGTTTTGAGTCAGACTCTCTACAACAGTGCCACTCGTACTGTTTCCCCTTCACTATTTATTTGTACATTTGCTCTCTATTATGACTACTCCCGCTCCCCACACTTATGTTCCAGACTCATTTATTTCTGCACCTTTCTGGTGCTCTCCCCTCCACTCTCTCCTCCCACCGGCACCGTTCTTTTTAGAGAACCTCTGCAACAGACGGACACTCTCCTCCCTCCAACTCCCCACAAAAAAAGGCTTAAAAAAACATCGGCAAGTCACCGCGTAAATCTCAATTCCCAGACAGGCAAACGGACGGAGAGACCGACGGCACGCGAAGGACCAGGGTTGACAAGGGTTAAGACTCTCGTGTACAGCACACATACAAAGACACGTGCGCGAGGACGCTACAGGCCAGCATCAATCGGGTAAGTGGCGTGCCTTCTCACGCGACCCGGGCAGCGACCGCGGTGCTGTCTACGGCACCAGGCGACGGTGTAGGGAGGGGCGAGTCGGTGATTGGCCACGGCCGCCACCCACCGCCGCCGCCACCGCCCCACGTCGGCTACACCAGGCTAGACTGGGTGAACGAGCCACTATCTGGGTAACGAGCGGCGTGGTGAGTGGGCGAGCAGGTGGATGGGTGTGCTGGTGGGGCTGGCGGGGCTGGCGGGTAGAGGAGCAAGTTGGTCTCTCACAGCGGCTTCTCGTTCTCTTTCTTCAGTCGGCTGCACACGCAAAGACACGCGCGCACGCACGCACGCGAGCTCAACCCTCGTCTCTACACGTACTGCAGTATTTTCAGTGTCGCTGTATGTCTCGTGTGTGTTTCGGTCCGCCTTCCGTGTGTCCCCATGTCTTCCCTGTCTCGTTCGTGTCCTGTGCTCCGAGCTCCCCTGCATTTGTCTTGTGTCCGTTTGTGTTCCCGTCCGTTCCCCTGCGCATCTCTGTGTCCCAACAGATCCCACTTGTGTCACGTGCGTCCCTGTGCATCCCCACATGTACCAGAATACCCGTGTACATCTCCCTATTCACACCTGCGTACATGCGTTTACACATCTCCCTATAACAATCCCGATTTTACAGTGCGACCCTGTGCATCCCCGTGTGCCCGTCTGTCACTGTGCATTCCTGTGCGTCACTTCACCACGCATCGCTATCAGCCCCCGAGCATCCCTTGCCCAACCCTGAACATCTCCGCGCGTTCCTGTATGCCCGCCCGGTATCTCACCGCCTCCCCCCACCCCCCATCAGCTCTCCCCGCAGTGCGGCCACCTGTAGTAGTCGTCGTGGGCGCTGGCGAGGTGCGCGGCGGCGGCGTGGTGGGCGTGGTGGGCACTCGCATGCAGCCACTGCTGCTGCTCCAGCGCCAGACGCTGCATCTCGGCGCTCTGATGCACCGCCTGCAGCTGGTGCGCCGCAGACATGTGTGGCGGCAGCGGGGGCAGGTCCCGGTAGCCGGGGGCTGCACGCACACGGATGCAAACAAATAAGAAATGAGGGGCCGTCCTAATCTAATTCAGAGGCTGATCCATTTTCTAAGTGAAACTGCTATGCAGCAAGAGGCTTTTTTGGGTTAGGTCGCGAAAATATGTGTCGTTAAACCTGCCACCACCCGACACAGCCAACTAGTAAGGGTTGTCACGTAAACAGAACGTGCCAAATCGTCACTAGTACAGCACACCGGTGTGTTGGAGAGCCAAGCCACAACATTTACAATCTTGAGGACGATGTTTCGCCAGTAATTACAACTAGCTTCATCAGGCGACAGCCAGATTTGTGGAGAAGTCCACCTGTTTCGTTCCTCATATAAAGGAGTCCCTGTATGCCTGCCTTAGTCCCCGCTATGTATTTAGAGTCAGCTGTGGCCAATACAATGAGCCATGTTTGGGTTCAAACTACACAGTTCTAGATTTGAAGCTTTCGTGACTGCAAGGGCTCATACTCTTAGGTTTTTTCGGCAGTCACGTAGGTAAAAATAAATAATAATAATAATAGAAATAATAATATAAATAAAATAATAAATCACGACGTTTCGGAGGCAACGGAGACTTGTGTTGCCTCTGAAACGTTGTGATTTATCATTTTATTTCTATTATTATTTCTATTAATGTTATTATTTATTTTTACGCACGTGACTTTACCTAAGAGTACAAACTACATAGCTCTAATAGAGCATAAAAAGTCAGCTAAAAATATATATATACTAAAAGTTACTTGGTTCAGCAGCGGGTGAGTATACGTTATATTGCCTTCTTTAGGTATTGGATTATCCACCACATGAGTTAGCCAGCGTTTGGTCCTGTACCTACATTCGTGTGAAGAGTTACTGTAACATTACCGCTCTATCTGGTGTCACGGGAATGTGTAAGTTTGAAGATGATTTGCTGTAAAATCTCTCAAAGCTGGCCTAGATTAAGCCAGAATTCGGAGTAAGCCTGTAAGCTCCCTGGAAAAAAACATTCCGACGGGAATCTTGTTCAGCGCATAGTCGGAGGCGTTCGTACGTTTGTACACGAAACATTCTAAAGCAACGTACAAGCACTGAACTTATCTGCTGGAACAGAATTATCTGCCGATTTTGCGTTGGCAGTGGTGCACAAGTAGAAGAGAACAACTCAACAGTTTCATCAATAACACTGCCTTCACATGCCATGAAGAGAGGGCCATTGCCAAAAAGGTCGCCTATTATATACTTTGCCTTTTAAGGCCACAGTTGTCATTGAGGAATGTGTTGAGGTTTTTTGTTTTGATGTTGTGTAGAATTCGGGAATCCGTTACCTTGGATGCCCCAGCTCTGTTCGTGCTCCCTCTAGTTTTGTTTACATTTATTTTTTGCGTTTATTTGACAAATAAGAGTAAATGCATCAAGCGCATTGCAAAATCTTTTCAGCCTCCACCCTCGGACTCACGTTAGCGGTGAGCGATTAAAACTGTCTAGAAGTGATCTGTTGTTAAATTGTAAATATTGCATTGTTATTCAGTGTTAATGAAATGTTTAAGATGTTAATACCATATAAACATAATTAAAATGAATTGCCATGTGATATCAATAGTTTTTCAAGTTAGGCCACGTAATCATGTAGCCAAATTTGTGCCGTGAAACTCTCCACCACAATTCTCACAGCCAAAGTTCGCAAACTATTTTTTTTTCGACTTACCTGTGAGCCAAACAGAGTAACTTATAAAATTAAACACTTGTAAAGGTGAACAATGAATTTGTACGTCTGGCGGTGGTTGGGATTCACGACAAGAAAAAAATTGGGCCAGATTCATTACGTGGCCTAACATAAAAAAACATCAATTATGAAGTATATTAGCTGTATTAGGTTTACGTGTGCACAGTGAGTGAGGGCGCGTGTGCACATTACCGAAGAGCGGATGCCGAAGGAGCTCATGCTCGGGTCCGGTGGGAGGTGGCGGCCCCATGAGGGGCGAGGCGAGGGGCCCTGGTGGGTACGGGAAGCGTCCAACGTGAGGGACGAGGGGATCCATCAGTGGATGCACGCCTGAGCCTGCAGTGGGGACACGCGAGGACATGTGGGAGTTTTACAGAGGGGACACGACACACGCACACGGGGTCACAGGAACGAGGTCGTGCTTACATACACATGCGCACGACACAAGAGGTAAGACACGGAGAATAATACCACAGAACACCGGCAAACACATACGGATTACCGTTCGCACCAGAAACATGACAGAGACAAACGTGGAGGGTATATGGACAAAGATCTCCCGTATAGCCTTGAACAAACTTTTGCGGCAAGTACCCATTTAAGTCAACCTCGGGGAGGCCCAAGACTGGTTCAAGAATTTGGTCAATTGTCTTGAGCAGGAATCGAACTCGGTCGCAAGCTTTATAGCGCTTCGTAGCGCAATGCGCGAATCACTACATAACCACTCCCAATATGTGCACACACACACATACATGGACAAGGCAGTGTTAAAATACGCCTCTGAAAACAGACACATGCGCCGTCAAATGCACAGACTGGGGGCTCGTCCGGGCTGGCGTGCGGTCGTACCTGGATGGATCGAGTCCGGCTGGTGCAGATGCAGGTGCGAGTGGATGTGCGAGTGCTGGTGGTGGTGCGGCGTCACGTTGTACATCTGCAGACGCGCCGCTGCGATCGGGTCGTTGGCCGCGAGCGAGGCCAGCCGCTCTGCGTGAAGCCTCTCGGCGTACGCCATCTCCTGCCGCGATTGAGCAACGCCGCCCGGCACCACGCCCAGCCGTTCCGCAGCACCCCCGCCTCCCGAGCCGCCTCCTCCGCCGCCGCCGCCGCCCCCTCCTCCGGCGCCGCCCGCGCCACCGCCCCCCCCTCCGCCTCCGCCGTGGCCGTGCCCGCGCTCCCCCGCGGGGAACGCGGCGAAGTGGTGCGGGTTCACGCCGAGCGAGGCGTGCGCGCCGGCGCGCTGCAGCGCAAAAGGGTCCAGCGACCCCGCCGGGTTGAAGTGCAGCGCCAGCGCGCTCGCCATCGACGCGCCGCCCTGCGTGCTGGGCCCCGCTGGCGCAGAGCCCCCGCCGCCTGCGCCGTCCATCTCTGGTGGCTTCATCTCGTAGCCCGGCTTGAAACGCATCTCTCGCAGGTCCCGCTCGCTCGACTGCTGCTGCTGCTGCTGCTGCACGGAGGCCGCCTGCTGCTGCGCCTGCTGCTGGGCCTGCTGCTGCGCCTGCTGCTGGCTGATCTGCTGGCTGATCTGCTGGCTGATCTGCTGCTGCTGTTGCTGCGAGTACATGTGTGCCGCCGCCGCCATATTGTGCGGGTGGTAGAAGATGGTGGCCACGTCGCTGCTGGGGATGGCGAAGAATGGATGGTGGTGGTGGTGTGGGTGGTGGTGCGGGTGGTGGTGCGGATGGTGGTGCGCTGCCTGGTGGTGGTGCGGGGGACCATGCCCGGCTGCGGCGGCGGCCGCAGCCGCAGCTGCCGCGGCCGCCACCCCCGCCACCCCTGAGCGCACGAGGGCGCTGCCAGAGGTGGGGGAGAGCACGTGTGGGCGCGCATACTCGCTGAGCGTGCGCAGCGCTGGCGTGTCGGGGCCCAGGTACGGGTGGACGGCCGCCACGGCCGCAGCCGACTGTGGAGCGTCGTAGGGGGTCCCGCGTAGGTGGTGTGGAGGGGGGCCCGGCGGACCCGGCGGGGGGCCCGGGGGGGGTGGTCCGCCGGATGGGGGGCCGTCCAGACCAGAGCCCAAGGACGAGCGCTGTGCGTGTTTGTGCGAACGGAGTTTAGCGCGTGCATGTACGTGTGTGTTTATTTGGGTATGTGTGTTCACAGTTGTGTGAATGGTAGTTTGCATATGAAAGATTCATGTTTGCATGCAATTGATTTTTGTTTATGTGGACATGTGATGGAATATTCATGCGTGGGAGTACACACGCAAGTGTGTGTGTGAATGTTAAGTAATGGGGAGAGAAATGCAATGTGTTAATGCCATCTTGCCAAACACAACCCCATACATTTAGTCTTCATTACTGTCGAAGAAATAATAACAGGCTACACTGTGGTGACAACTTATAACGATGGTAAAACCTGTATGTAGTTTGTCATATATGATAACATGCATATTCTTTGGGTCTTTCGGTAAAGTCACGTAGATAGGTTCAAAGAAAATAACAAAAAACTACGACGTTTCGATCGCAACACAAGCGGTCGCCTTCAGGAAAGACGACCGCTTGTGTTGCGATTGAAACGTCGTAGTTTTTAAAATATTTTCTTTGAACCCATCTACGTGACTTTACCTAAAGACCCAAAGAATATGAATTCCTGCAGTCACGAAAGCTTTACGTTACGATAATATGCACTTGTTAAATAAAGGTGGTTTTAAGGCTTTCTATCGAAGCATGTAGTCAACCTATGATCAGCAAGGAGTTGCTCATTTTCCTTTGTTGCCCCAGTCATCTGGAACACTTCCCTCTGCCATTTGTGCTGTCGACTACATGCCCCTGTTCAGTTCTAGGCCGATCCATGACTGATTGCCTCAGTCTACAGAGAAAAGATGCCCAGTTTCTTTACAGCATCTTGAGTTGCGTCCACATTCAGACACAAATTCACACCGTATTTTATTGACATTGAAGGAACGATGTTGTACCTGGCCAACTCGTGCTATTTTAAGAGGGCTCGGGTTCGACTCACAAGTATAAGACTGCAAGTTCAAATCCTGGTCAGGGATCACCTCAGCCCATAATTCTCATCACCATCCTTTGGGGCAACAATGGTTGTCCAACGGAGAAACTGGCTCATGCAAATGGGACGTAGAATATTGACTACCAACTCTGGGCCACCACTTTACAACCTAAAATTTGGCAGCGGCCTGTCTTTCTTTCAGGCAATAAGACCCCTGGATAGATAAAAGCAGCTATGGTGCTCTTGGCATCATGGGGTGCCACGGTGGCAAGATATTAACTACCTCGCCCGGTATACAGGAGATCATACGTTCAATCCCGACCCTGATGCCTGGATGATTGGAGTTTACATGTTCTCCCTGTGGTCGCATGGATTTTTCTCAAGGTCCTCCGGTTTTTCCCTCCATATTTAGAAACATGTGCTTAAAGTACTTGGCTGCTATAGATTTCCACGTGATAAGCCACTTCGTTAAGCCATCTGAAAAGGAGCTGTATCGCTCAGTGGACCATACCTGGTAAAATAATAAAAATTAGGAAAACAATTGTATAGTTTAGACTCACGTCGCGCTCGCGCGCCTCCCTCTCGCGTCCGTCGCGTTCCCTCTCCTCCCGCTCGCGCCGCAGACGCTCTGCGCCGTCCTCGCGCTTCTTGGCGAGCTTGGAGCCCGCAAGGGGCTCGAAGCACAGGTCAGTGCGCGCACACGAGTTGTAGCCGCGGTCCAGGTGCTTGGTGAAACTGCGCGAGTGGGGGCGAGGGAGGGGTCGGTGACAGATAGACGCATGTTAAAGTGGTCGTCTCTCTCTCCCAATACAAAGACTGGGATTCCCCCTCCCGCCCCTCTTTAGCCTAACAGACTGTTGGGATCTAAGTGATGTTAGCGAGAACCTTTGAAGGCCAACAAAGCACACGAGGGAGCGGTGTGGCTGGCACCACTCCTGGCTGCCTTTGTCTCCCCGGTGCGGATACTTAGGCACTGCACCGCGCCAGGTACAGCACCGCACCAGGTACTCATTTAAGGCTGAATCGACCAAGAAGAGGCCCAGTACCGGTTCAAATATTGCTCACCTATGTTCACCAAGTGGAAATCCAATTCGGGTTTCCGGGTTTGGAGCATGGCATGCTACCCATCACAATACCGCTTCTCACAACATTCATAGACCTCAACATTAAGTGATAAACAATCTAATGATGTTCTAGAAGAGCTTGCAAGCTGAAACTTAGCAAAAACATAGAATATATGTATACAAATCTGAAAAAGATTTGGCAACAAATATTTTGGAGCTAGTGAAAGTTTGTACTTTGAGGCTTAGAAGAATGAAGATATATTTTAAAATTATTTCAAAATCCAAAAACATGAGATGGGGAGAGGTATCGACACCATCCTTACTAAGGTCGATTAAATAAGCACCACTCTGTATCTCGTGAGCAAGTGGTTATACTTTTGGGAAACTAGTGCCTGCCATGGAAATGTACAAAATTTAACCATCGAATCAGGGCTGCCCCACGCCCGGACTTGACTAAAAACAAATGTTACATGACAGCCAGAGCAGACAGAGAAAGTGAAAGGTGCTGTACCGTGCGCTGGCGCTGACGTGGCTCGGCGTGTCCACAACGATGGGCTCTGGGGAGGGGGTACGTCGCACGGGAGGCGGGGGACTTCCGGGGGATCCCGGCGACTCCTCCGCCGCCATGGCAACTGCCGCCCCCACTGCCCCCGTAGCCGATACCGATCCCCCTCCCTCCTCCTTCACCGTGCCGAATCCGGGCGGGACGGCCGAAGGGAGGGCGGACGGCGCCGATGAGGAAGAGGACGAAGCCGTCGCGGACGGTGGCGGCAGAGATGATGCGGACAGGTTCGCCGGGGCGCAGCTAAGCGACGACGACGAGACGGACGCCACCGACGCCGTGAGGGACAGGGCGGCCGCCCCCGCCGACCCCATCATCGAGGCCGATGACACGGCGCCCATCCCGCCCACATTCGACATCAGCCCGGGATTGGCGGCCAGGAACGGCGGGATCCCACCTGCTCCTCCGCCGCCGCTGCCGGAACCACCTCCGCTCCCGCCCTGTGGCTTCCCGCCGTAAGCCAAAGCCTGAGGGTCGCCCAGCGAGTGCGGGCCGGACTGGGTGAGGGCGGGCGGGTGCGCTGGCCCCATCATGGATCCCCCGCCGCCGCCGCCGAGTGGGCCCGGGTAGGCCGAAGCGAGGGACTCGCCCAGCGTGGCAGGGCCGCCCTGCTGGCCCGCGGCACCGCCCTGCGTGAGCGCCGGTGGCGGGTGTGCCTGCATCTGCAGTGGGGGCGGCAGCTGAGGTAAACCCTGACCCGGGCCCATGCCCTGCGTCGGCCCCCCGCCGCCGACGCCGCCGCCGCCTCCCTGCGCAAGAGCCGACAGCGGCTTCAGGGCTGGCGGCGGCGGCAAGTTCAGGTTGGGTGGGGGCAGCTGCCCCCCAAAGTGGCCCGCGAGGGCGCCGCCGCCACCGCCGCCGCCTCCGCCGCCACCACCGCCGCAAGCTCCACCCGACTGACCACTTGAGTTCGATTGCTTTGGTGGCAGAGGTGGGATGGGAGTCGTGGGCGGGGGAATCGGAACGCCCGAGTTGGCAGCCATGTTTGAGGGCAGGTTCTGCTGCTGCTGTTGTTGTTGCATGTTTGCCGGCAGGCAAGACGGGAGGCCCTGCATCGGGGCACCGTGCCCTCCCTGTGGCGGTGGAGGCACAGGCGGTGCCTGGCCCTGCGAGTGCACGCTCATCGGGTGCTTGTGCATCGCACCACCGCCACCGCCGCCGCCACCGCCTCCACCGCCACTCAAGTGTGGCGCCATCAAATTTGGGGGCCCCCCCACTCCGCTGCCGCCGCCGCCACCAGCACATATCGACATGCCGCCACCCGGCTTGTCGTAGGCCGAGCCTTGCCCCATTGCGGCCAGATTTATTTTGGATGAGCCAAAGACAGACGCCGCCGAAGAAGGAGGCAGTGGCAGAAGCTGAGCTGGCATCACTCCAGCCAGAGGCGGCGATGGTGCGTGGACCCTGGCCTGCTCCACATGGTGCTGCTGGTGCTGGTGGTGATGGTGATGCCCACCGAAGTGCGCAGAGGCGTGGTGATGCTGCTGCTGCTGTTGGTGGTGGTGTTGGTGCGGGCCGCGCTGGTGGTGTTGCTGCTGTAGCTGGTGCAACTGGTGGTGCTGGTGCTGATGCTGGTGGTGGTGGTGGTGCTGGTGCTGGTGGTGCTGCTGGCTCAGGTGCGGCAGATGGAGCGACGACGACGAGGACGACGACGACATTGACGACGAAAACGTCTGGGACATCATAAGGCCGCTGCCGACACCGCTGACGCCGCCGACGCCTCCACCGCCATAGACACCGCCGATGGCCTGGGTATGCAGCGACAGCGACGAGGAGAGGGATGACCCCGAAGAGGAGGACGAGGACGACGCCGACACCACGCTCATGCTCGCCGCGCCGCCCGCGCCACCGCCGCCCACGACGGACACCGATTGCTGCATGGAGCTTACACTGCCACCAGACACCACCGAGTGAAACGCCTGCGCCACCGCGCAGCTGCCCATGGGGGCCACGTTCATCTGCGCCACCGCTGCTGCCGCCGCCGCAGCGGCAGCAGCGGACGGCGGTCCGCATGGCCCCACGTTCGCCACCGCGAGCGGAGGCCCCCCCCCGGCTGCGCCGCCGCCACCGCTGCTTATGGCCACCTGGCTCAGGCTGGATCCCAGACCTCCCATCAAGGTCGGCATGTTCAGACCGGCGCTGCCACCGCTGCCACCACTGCTACCACTACCGCCACCTCCGCCGCCGCTGCCGCCGCTGCCACCGCCACCACCAGACAGGAGGCTACTGCTGATGGAGGTTGAGGTGCCGCCGGGAGGTATGGCGGTGTTGGAGCCGAGTCCACCGTTTGTGGCCGGGCTGCCGGGCATGAGGCCGCTGATGGGGGCCATGAGGCAGCCGCCCTGGTTGGGGCCATTCGCAGCGGCGGGGGCTGGCGGCGTGACGGTGGAGGAGATGGTGGGCATGATAGTGGCATCGGCGTTGTGGGTGGAGCAGTCCGAGTCGGACTCGGGCTCGGGTGGGCTCGGCAGGCTGGGTGAGGTGCTGCGGTTGTCCTGGTCGATGTCCTTGAGGTCGTTGATGAGGTCGTCGTTAAGGCTGGGGGCGTCCGAGCTGTCGCCCTCCGAGGGAGATCCCGGCGGAGACGTGCTCTGTGGTGGGCGGACACACACGCACACACACAGGGATGTCACGTACACAATGTACACACATATCCGTCATATATTCACCACGTCTGCATGCACACATCATATATACACACAATGCATGTAACTATGGATTAATTCATACATAAATGCACCAACACAGAAGTACAGACACTGATACCCCTCTCCACTCATATGAGCTGTGGTTGTCAACTCGAGGCTGCAGGGTTCAAAGCGCAGTGCAAAAACCATGCATACATACATACACATACAACAGCATAGAGACCACGGTGAATAATGCGCATTCATACACATGCCCATCTTCTACACAAGTGGAAGAAAAAAAGACAGCGCCACCTGCAAATGCGGAGCAGAACAATCGATGGAACACACGGTCAACCGCTGCCCACCAAGACTACTGAACGGTGGCACCAAAGCGATTCATCGACTCACAACCAATGCCAGTGAACAGATAGAGAAGCTAGAAAAATCAGTCGCTTATCTCTCTCCGCAAGACACCGCACTACGGCGTCCGAGCCGAGCCAGGTAAGGTGCATTGCCGCTACATGGTCTCAGCCTGGATGCCCACTTTACACAACCAGGTGAGAGCCTTGCTATGCCTCAAGCGTCTTTGTCACGTCACAGAGCCGCGGCTAGAGGCCCTGAGCCCTGTGTGCGAACAGCTGTGCGTGCGACGCCTCTGCCACGGGGAGAGGCGGAGACCGCTCGTTGGCGCCGGGCCAGAGGGCACAAACTCACGGGCGTTTTGGGCTTCTTGGGCTTCTCAGCGTCCTCGCCATCAGAGAGGCTCTTGTCACGCAAGCGCTTGCCGGCATGGGGAGGTGGCGTCTCCGCCTCCGGGGCCTTCTGTGGCATATGCACACAAGCATACAAAGATCCCCTCCCGATCCCGTGTAGCCTTGATCAGACTGTTGGGGCATGTGCTGTTATAGCGAGTAGCACCTATGAATTCCCGCATGGCACACTAAGGGGGTGGGTGGCCAGCACCACCACACCCGGGCTTGCCTTTGCCTCCCCAGTGGCGATGTTTGCACACCGCACCAGGTCTGAGTGATGATGGTAGCGAGGATGACAATTGTAAGATTTTTTTTAAATAAAGGTTGCTAAGCACAGGGACAGAGGCTCAATTCGGCAATCGGTCAAGAACTAACAGCACTATTGACAGTGTAATAGTTAATGTGTTTCTTGAATTGAGAAAGGTTATAAGAAGTTGTGAAAAGAGACAATGAAGAGACAGCATGAGAAGAAATAGATTTTTCCAAGACGGAGGTACTCTGCAAACCGACCGACTACCTTCAGAGATTTGTGCATGAAGCCATCCAGATAAATAAACGCAGACAAAACTTCAACCGAGATGATGGGTACAAACTGATCAATCATTGAAAGGACGTTATTAACCAGGTAAAGTCTTAACTGACTGTGAAGTTTCCATCCTACCTGCCTATGTCAGCTGTTATTTCCGACTCTCTGTGTGTGTCTTTATCTCTAAACCTCTCTTAGATCTCTCATGCTCACATGCCCTTTGGGATTGCACCTCTCAGGCTCACATGCCTTTTGGATTGCACTCTCATGCTCACGTCCTTTGGATTGCATTCTAATGGTGCTAATCTCTCATTAACACTGCTGTTGTGAGCATATGCGGGCATGATACTCTTATGCGGCGACAGAAGCTCATTCATGCTAATCTCCCTCCCTAACACCTCTCTCCCTAATCTCCCCCATTAACACAACTGACGTGCTTATGTCCGTGGATGGATTTCCTTTCCAGCTCAGACCCCGCTTGCTTGCCCATCGCCACGTATATAACCTTGTTGTAACAGCTCTCTTCGCTGGTTCAGCAGTTCCACTGCTGGATTATATTTTTTCCGCCTGAGGACGACCGCTTGTGTTGCAATCGAAACGTCGTGATTTATTTTACCTCGTATACCTACATGACTTTCCCGAAAGAACCAAAGAGTATGGATTTCTGCAGTCACGAAAGCTTCAAATCAAGATAGAATGAGAAGAGTTTTGAGCTGCAGTGTGGTGGTCGAACACAGTATGGTCGATGGGATGGCGACGTTAAGGGATGAAGACGATAATGACACTGCCGATAGTGTCACTGATGACGATGCCGCCGCCGTCCACGCCGATGCTGTTGCTGACGCCGATGAAGATGATGACGACGAAGGTGATGGTAGCGGCTGTGCCATCACCTTGCTGTGTTTGTCGAGGTCCGTGCTGTCCGTGCTGGTCGCCCCAGGCGATGTGCGGCCACACGCGCGGGAGTCGTCCGCTGTTGGCTCCCCAGCCTGAGCACGGGCGGACTAACATGCGGAGACGCACGGGGAGGCACGAGGAGGCACGGGGAGGCACGGGGAAGTGTGGGGATACGAGGAGAGGCACCATGACACGTAGAAGGTCATCGGCACAGGCAGTCATATATAAGAACACAAGTAGTACAGGAAGGCACGGGGAGGAGCAGGGAGTTACAAGGAGGACCAGGGATATGCAGGGAGGTGCAGAGGTGCATGAAGTGACATGGAGAGACACCGTTAAACATGGGGATGCAAGGATATTTACAGAAAAGGACGAGGAGGGATGCAGACAAATGGAAGCACAGACAAAAGGGGATGTATGCACACACTAGTACACACATTTCAAAGACAAAACCCCCCCTGTGTAGCCTATATAGACTGTTTGGGCAAGTGCTCTTAGCAAGCACCTATGCTCACGAACACAGTCATCACACATTTAGGTACACACGTGAACATTTGCATACAAACTTGTATAACAACAAAGACAACCGCCATTCGCCACTAAGTGGCTATGACGTCACCACGACGCTTGTGCCAAGCTATGTGCACGTTGAGGCCACGTGAAGTGTCGAACACCCACTGGCACGAGGTCACGGGACATACCCAGGTGCCACGGGTCGATTGACTGAGATGAGTGACTGATGTACCACCTGTGCCCCCTACTGTGCCAACTTGCTGTGCTTTAGCCACCCGGTGCTCCGCTCATTTTGTGAGCTGTTTAGGCATGCGGTGACTGGGCATGCAGGCTACATGACCCAGCCAACGCAGCCTTGCCTGCCGTAGAAACTCACCGATGCGACTTTGTCCAGATTTTTCAAATATTTGTGAGCTCACATAATACAGCCTGGTTATACCCAGGATGGATCGTAGGCAGGCCAGCCTAAATGTTTCTAGCCGGGAGGCAATGACTGTGGCCGAGAAGACCTGAAGCTTCGTGTGGAGCGACAGACCAGGTAGCTTCCACACAACGTTACGCAACCGATGAAAATATGCCGCTCGACAGATTTGGAGTGAGACCTCTGCTGTCAAACCAGAGCCGGTCATGAGCACACTGCCCAGGTATGAGAAACACTCCACCCTCTCCACAACTGCCCCATCACCAATTGGGAGTTGTGGGGTGGAGTGTCCAAAGGTACAAAATACCCAGGCAGGTGCTTAGTTTTGGTGGGGCTGCTGGTAAGGCCCCACCTCTTAGTGGCAAACTCCAGGTTCAACAGCAGCGCCTCCAACTCCTCCTCTGAGTGAGTAGCAATTACCAGATCATCGGCATACATAACATGGTTGAGCAATAGGGAGCCATCCCTTGACCACACCCAGGCATCGATCAGCCTCACCATTGTATCTGTACCAGATGGAAATTCCTCCGGTACAGCGATTGAAGGATTCACGAACTACGTGGTCAAAATAGATGTTAAATCATGTGGGAGCCAGAGGACATCCCTGTCGCACCCCAAGGTGTACAGGGAATGACTGACTCCCGGCCAAGTAGTTTAACATCATGAAGGTCCTTAATGATCGTGAGCAAGAGGGTCAGGGACTCCGAAAGCTCGAAGAACAACCCAGAGTCCAGGCCTACTAATGGTATCATAGGCCTTGACTAAATTTGTATACACACTTACACACACATACACACACATGCTCGTCATGCTTGTCACTCTCGCACGTGCACATTACTGTGTCCCCCATGTCTGTACTCACTGTTCGGCTGCGTCGAGTTCGCATGCTGTGTTTTCCAACGGGAGGAGTCGCAGCGCCTCCGCCTGCAACAACCACAACCCGAGTCAACCACCTGCAGTCACCGTCATCACCAACCACCCATACCCAAACACTCGTGCAAACACAAAATCGCATACAACAGCCACCAGTAACAATCTTAATCAATGTCACTAACACACACAGTGATGACTGTGCGGGTTTTTTTTTACTATTTTTTATTTTACCAGGTAAGGCCCACTGAGCTATATCGCTATTTTTCTGAAGGAACCTGGCCACAAATGAAAGCTCGACAAAGTGGCTTATCACGTAGAAATTTATAGCAACCATGGGAAGAACATTCAAATATATGGGATTGAACTCATGACCTCCTGCATACAAGGCGAGGGAGTTAACATCTCGCCACCATGGTGTGTGTTAGTGAGATGGAAGGTGGGCAAGGAGTGTCTAAATAGCTAAGCAGGTGGGTGAGTGAATGATTTAGTGATGGTGAGGAAGTGGGTGAGTGAATATGAAGGAGAGTTGAACGAGTGAGACAGGAAGTGAACCGAGTGAATAACAAGGCGAGCGAGTGAAGACTTAACAAGTGTGAAAAAGCAGATGAGCAAGCAACCAATTGTGAGAATGAATGAACCAATGATGCACGCGTGCGAGTGAGTTGCATGAGGGACCAAGCTATTGAGGCGAGCGAGTGAATGAAGAAATGAAAGCGCTTACAAGCGGGTGGCGGCAAGATAGATTACGTGAGAAAACTGGCGAACAAACGAGTGAGTGAGTGAGTGGGCGGGCAAGTGAGTGATAAGACAGGAGACAACGGTGAGCGTTTCATTAAAATTCACGCACAGAGGGGAGCGAGCAAGCATGCGATTGAGATGCAGCCATGGGCTTGAACTCTGACCTGCACTGCCGGGCACCCCGGGCCCCTGGTTGTTAGGGGCGGTGGCGTCGTCGTCCCGCACGGGCTTGAACATGAACGGCGGCGGTGGTGCCTGGTGCTGAATGGGCGGCATCTCCCCGTACTTCTTGAAGTACAAGCGGCAGTCGTAGCACAACAGCAGGCGGTCGCGCCCGCCGTGATGCCAATCGCGCGACGCTGTACAAGACAAAGATCCCCCGTATAGCCTTAACAGACTTTTGGGGCAAGTGCGATTCGGGAGCACCTACGATTGCTGGCATGGCACATGCCTGGCCACCTTTGTCTCCCGAGCGGCGATGATGACACATCGCACCAGGTACTCATATGAGGCTGATACGACCAAGAGGTGGCCCGGGACTGGTTGAGATAATCGTCACTGTGTTGGCCGATTACAATTATCTGGTAGCCGGGTTCATAGCTCAACACGCCTATATTATCGCTCCAAACAAAAAGATCCCCATATATCCTTAACAGACGTCTGGGGCAAGTGATATTAGTGAGCACCTATGAAATGTCGGCACAGCACACGAGGCGGTGGGTGCCCAGTACCATGCCGGGCCACCAGTTCAAATCACCATCGCTGGTGTTGGCCGTGAGCAGGAATTTAGCTCAGTTATCTGGGTTCAAAGCGCAGGATGCTAACCGCAACACCACCCTCCCCACGACCTCACACACAAGCATGTACATGATTGCAAAGGCACACACCCATTCGTACGCGGAAATACAAACGTGCTCATTATTCAGGTTGTTGTGGCTGTTTACGTTTCTGTACATTGTGGTTGATGGTGATTGTTGTGGCTGTTGCTGTCCTGAGGTTGTTTGCAATGGTTGTTTGGTTTGCCGAGATTGTGGTTGTGTTCACCAAGGTTGTGTGTTTTTATGTTGTGCTTTAATAGTGGTGTGGTTCTGGTGAGGTTGTTGGTCGTGGTTGCTGTTGTTGTGGATGTTGTGGTTGCAGCTGCCATGGTTATGGCTGTAGTTTCTGTTGTTAGTGTTGCTGTGGTTATAGTTGTTATGGTTGTTGTTACAATGTTTGTAATTGAAGTTATGGTTGTGGCTGCTGTAGTTGTATGGTTGCTGTGATTGTAATTGCTGAGGTGGCTGTTGGTATGGTTGTTGTGTTTGAAGTTAACTTAAGATGTGGCTTATATGGCTGCAGATGTTGTTGTTGTGGTTGCTGTGATAGTGATTGTAATTGCTGTAGTTGTAGCTGCTGTAGTTGCCATGGTTGCAGTGATTGTGGTTAAATATGCTGCAGTTGTAGTTGCTGTGGTTGTGGTTCTAGCTGCCAGGGTTGTAGTTGCGGTTTCTGTGGTTGCAGCTGCTGTCGCTGTGGTTGCAGCTGCCATGGATGTGGCTGTTGTTGTTGCTGCCGCCGCTCTCACTGGTGGTGAAGCAATGTCTGCAGGCGTAACCACGCAGCTCCTGGTCACTGTCTTCACTATCAAAGTCGTCCTCACTCGCAGAGCTCAGATCCACTGCAGGGAGACATGGGAGACGCGAAGACACGACGACAGAGAGACATGGGGGGGGGGTACACAGGGATACGGAGTCACGGGGACGCAAAGACACAGTGGGGGACACAGGTATGTGTGACAATTACCATTATCTTGATTAGCAAACAGGGCAAGTGGGCTCAAGATTCCCACAGCAACCTTACAAAGGCAAGCGAGCTCTCAACGGGCTGCGTGGCCCACTTTTCTAAGAGAGATGCACATTTTTAGCAGAGCGGCCTGTGACGAAATGTGCTTGAAAATGTTGGCTCCGAATTATAAAATATATGGAGGTTTATTTTCTTTGTATACCTGAGATATATATGTGCGTGTGTTGCTGGGAAGAACTTTTTACGGGGTTTTTACAACTCCTTTTTGAATAATAAAGTGGATAAATAGCAGGTCGTAAAGGATGTTTGCCCAAATAATTAACAAGGGTTATGGGTCCTTTGAAAGCAAGGTGGGAGGGGGGAACCAGCCCAAGAATCAGAGGGAGGAGGCAACGGTTACACAATAGGTTTTGTTTATGGCGTGGTGCCTTACACTGCCATAGTTGCGTGCTGCAAATTGGGCCTCTTGCATAGGGCAACTTTTTTTTTCATAAAAAAACTAAAGAAGTGTACGTTTTATACCTTGCCAAAAAATATTCGGGGGGGAAAAAAGTTTCACAATCGCATCCCTCCTGCTGTAGCGGGAAGGGAGGAGAAACGTAGCCAAAACCCACAGACAAGATGAAAGAATGAGCGATGCTGTAGACCGCTCAAGGTGCGGCCTGGCATGGGCGCCGATTCTCAGTAGCCGTGAAAGCGCAGCAATTTAAGAATAAACTAAACGAAAACGAGCGGCAGCTCACTGCTTTTCTAAACGACAGCTGTGGAAGAACGCCGCCATATTTACTCTGGCCAATCGCCTGCCATTACAACAGCAAAGTTGAGAACAGAAAAACACGTCACATGAGCACCGGGGTCATGCTACAGCCACGATGCAAATGTTGACTAAAATTACACAGACTCGAAAAATAGAAATCTGAAAACACTCTTGTAGTATCCACGATAGTTATGGGGCCTTCGGCGTGAAATCTGAACATCGTGAGATCTAATTCCAGGTAAGGGATCAACTCGGCCAATCATCTCTCCACCACTTTTACAGAAAGTCGAGGGATTGATCATTATGGTGTACATATATATCTGTAGCCTGTTGCCAATCCACTGCTAGTTGGTCTCGCTATACAATGTCAGTCATGGTGGTTGTTTGACCATACTTCACCATAATGGTTGGTAAGTGTCGGTTCGTGAAGGAGGATATAGCCCAGGACCGGTTTTGGTTAGCGCCCGCCACCAATGTTAGCCGAGGTCAGGAAACAATCTCAGGTCACCAGTTTCGTAGCACAGTTCTCTAACCACTGCGCCACCGCTCTACCCAATTACACTGCGCATTAACAGGGCACACGACGATGAGGCATGAGCTGTGTGCACATGCGTACAGAACTCGCTGGAGGGCGGCCGTGATTGGCTCGCTGGGGGCGTTGCCGTGGGGATGGTGCGGGTCTTGATGCGGCGGAACACGGCCTGGCGGCGGTGACGGCGGTGCGGGCGCGAGTGTGACGCCTCGGGTGTCTTCTTCCAGTAATAGTAGAATGTGACGAGTTCGCCCTGCACAGTGCAAGTTGGCAATTGTTGGACGCGACCTCTCAGAGCGTCAAACGCTTCAAGACTCAACCACGGACGACGAGAACATTCCACCGCTTTCCCACTGGACACATCAGAGCCACGCCAGCATTGGTCCCTCGCGGTACGGGCGGTGGTTGTACCAGATATTTGGCGTGCTGAGCCAGAACCAAACAGTGTAACTCTTGCATCACAATACTTCTGGCTCAGGGCCAAGCAGAGCCAGGTTAATGATTTCCGTCATAAATAGCATCGGTCATTTTACTTGATGGTGTAAAGCTGATTTCACAAGTTCAATGACTATGTCAGCGACACAGTTCGGATTCTGCAGTTAAAAAAACAACCTGTCAACTCCTGGATCACTCAGGGCCGGCTCGGTACGGTCCTGGAATGGCTCAGTTGTACAATGGAAAAGTCAAACACAACATTCTGGAAACACTCACACCGCTGATGAGATCTCTCCCGTTTAAAATGTTTCCCAATCGCCATCACATCATGAGATGAAAGATCCATTCAGATGTCTAGCAGAGCAGCGCACCCCTTTGTGTTAGACAATGGCCGACAGAAGCGGATATCAAAGAACTACTATCCCTCTGAGATTCCTTCAAGACACTGGCACTTGACTTAAGAGTCAATCACAAATTTTGTGAACAAGCAAGACAAAGACACACCAGACAACACAAGAGATACAACCACAGGTTTCTCGAGACAGCAGATAACATGAAAGTCGGAACCAGTGAAAATGTGTTCACTGGAAACACAACCAATGATGATTGTCGTGGTAGTCTCATCAGGCCCTCCCCGTTGTTTTGACTGTAATTGTGAGTCGTGATAGTGGTGGCGGCTATTTGCAGTGCTCTTGTCCCACCGTGTCCTTGCTATCATTTGTGTAGTGTATCCAATATTTAGTTGCTGTTACAGTTAAATTAGTTATGGTGTGTATATAAAATGAAATGTGTTATTTTATACAGCGATGTTCATGCAAATTGCATCACACAACGCTGTACATTTTCTAACGCGCGTAGTTTTTTAACACGGGAAAGCACAGACAAGCCAGAAGGCAGCCAGAATCGGCGCCGTTAACAATTGCCCAATCTTTGCCATCTGCCAATAGGAGGCGAAACTTGTCATATATAATCCAAATTTATTCATTTGCAGGTCAAATTTTGGACCATTATGCTGGAACACAAATGGTCTACTCTTGCGAAAGACGTCGCATGATCTTTGACGTTCACTACGAAGCGCACGATGCGTAGTATTATCATGATCGTTACACCAGCAAAAATAACTAGGGAGCTTTGTGGTTGTAAGAGTCGTAGCGGTGGTGGTGATGGTGGTGTTTGTGACAGGTGCGTTAACTATTGCTTTGTGCATCTCTCACCGTTTCTTTGTGAGGCAGCAGCTCTTTGCGGATGCGGAAAAAGTTTTTCCCAAACTGCCTGAGCCCACGCACAAAACGTTTCTGTGGAAGCAAGCAGGACATGGGTTAGAATATGTAGAGAGCATGTGGTTACATATATATTCGCATGTATGTTAATTTGTATTAATTATGTAGGTAGCAGAGTGTGTGTTGTGCAAATATGTGTGCCCTGCTGGCCTTAATGGATGCTTGCTGATAGTACTTTCCTCAAACGGTCTGTAAAAGGGTTATGTTGTGTATCACATAGACACGTGTGTGTGTGGGTATGTACAGTCTCATCGTCACTCCAGCGCTTGTCCACGGAGCGAGGGAATGGCTTGAGCAGCAGTGTTTGCAAGGCCTTGCCCCGGTCATAGCCGCTTGCATGCAGCTGCACACACAGGACACAGCGAAACACACGTAATGCAGGAAAAAAGTCAGTCATACAGACACAAAGACACACATATGGAATGCATTGACCCGCAGATACAGATACCGATATACATACACATACAGAACGCTGGGACAGATGCGGATATACATAGACAAACAAAGACAAAGATCCCCATATAGCTTTAACAGACTGTTGGGGAAAGTGCTGTCAGCGAGTCGCATCTATCAAGGCCAGAATGGTACACGAAGTGGATGACCAGCACCACGCCTGGCCGCCTTTGTCTCCCAAGTGCCGATGTTGACACACCGTACCAGGTACTCATTTGAGGCTGAGTAAACCTAGGGGAGGCTCAGAACCGGTTCAGATAATCATCATTGGTGTTGGCCGTGAGTGGAAATCGAACCCCGGTCGCCAGGGTTTGTAGCGCGGCACGCTAACCGCTACACAACCGCTCCCCTTAAATACATAGACACACACACGGAACGCAGTAACAGATAGGGATACACACATGCAGATACACACACGTGGAACGCAGTGCCAGATACATACGGAACGCAGAAACAGATACACGCACACATGAAGATATGCACACGTACGGAAAGCAGCGACAGATACAGCACGTCTCGTTATCACATGGCTCAATAAAGCGTGGCTCCTTATAGCACGGCGCCCATTATCACGCAGCTCATTATAATGCGTCTCATTACAGCACGGCCCGTCATCCCATGGCTCATTATAACACGGATCGTTCGTGGATCGTTTGGGGCCATACCACGTCCAGAGCGTTGATAGTCGTGTCATCCCTCGAGGCAGCGAGGCATCCGTCCTCTGTGAGGCCCCCGTCGCACATCCCCGCATAGGCAGCCATGCTCCTGCAAACAAAGACCCCCCGTATAGCCTTATTAGACTGTTGGGGCAAGTGCTGTTAATGAACACCTACGAAGGCTGGTATGGCACACAAGGGGGTGGGCGGCCAATACCACTCGAGGCCGTCTTTGCCTCTCCGGTGGTACTCATTTGAGGCTGAATCGACCTAGGGGAGGCCCAGGACCGGTTCAAATAACCGTCACCGGTGTTAGCAGTGAACGGGAACCGAACTCGGGTTGCCGGGTTCGTAGCGCAGCGCTGTAACTGCTGCGCTACCGCAGGAGCATGTGTGTGTGCTTGCTCCTGCACACACATACACATCATGGGCCAAGGTCTATCCACTGCTGGATAAAGGCCTACCTACGCTCAAACCATTCACCATGGTTCTGCCATGCCACTATCCACCTCATCCGATTTCCTCTCATTGAATTGAACTGCTTATCTCAGAAAATCTGGGATGCTTCATATTTTTGCCATTTATTTAATTGCCCTTTGGTAGCCTACATTTTGGAAACTATCTTTTCATGTTGTTGTGAACAGCCTTGAGAGCACATCTTCTTGTGGACAGCCCTTGAGAGTGCATTTTCTAGGTGAGATCGCATCTTATAGTCTGAATCATCTTCATATTTGTATTTTGTTGTTCTTTGAGCAATCCCAAAGCAGCAGGTCTTGTTTTGTAAGTTTTATTGGTGCCGTGTTTTTAATTAAACTTGTTGGCACAGAAAAGCTTCACCGAGTCTCATGACTCTTTCAGCAGGGTCCTGCCAATATTTCTCAATTCGTACATTTCTATATTTAAAAAAATAATATTCTTACAAAAAAAAATCCTTTCTGGTGTCTCTATAAAAAGGGGCATTGCCTGAAACGTTGCCTCAAATAAACTTTTTCTAATACGGTCTAATTGATGAATGCGTCAAGTCTTTTTGTTATATTATTTTAATGCCTTGGTGTGCAAAAGCTTGGATGACTGCTTACAAATCCCATTACGGAATCAATAAAAGCTAACCATGACAGTATTTGATACTCATTTGGATCGGACTGATGGTTTGTAAGTGGTCATCGGTGGAAAAAACTTTTCCTAAATGCAGCATGTGCACTTGATCGGCAGGCCTCTAAAATATCAGTCCATTTCTATATACATCTCATAGGATAATTACATACAATTTACCTCCAAGCAAGCACATATACCGTACATACACAGACATGTGCACAAATGCCTACGAGCACATACTGCAGATTATACAGATCATAAATCTCGCTGCAGTTGGAAGATGACACATGACCTACAAGGTTTTCTCTTGCTCTCTCCTCGTGAATATTCAGTTTTAGGCCTAAACCAAAAAGCATCATATGCATTCACACATGTATATATACACATCAATATTCAGAGATAAATAATCATCCATCAGACTATTGGGGCAAATTATGTTAGCGAGCACCTATTAAGGCCGACATGACACGTGAGGGAGTGGTTTGGCCAACACCACACCCGGTTGCCTTTGGCTTCTCAGTGCTGATGTTTATGCACAGTATCAGGTACTCATTTAAGGCTGAGATGACATGGGGGAGGCCCAGGCTCTGTCAAATATTCACAACTGTTGTTGGCCATGAGCAAGAATCGAACTCAGGTTGCCAGGTTTATAGCTGTGCATTCACTACTACACTACTGCTCTCCACAAATACAAAGAGGCACACACACATGCAAAATTAAATAATACGGGAAAGGTATTCTACACAATAGTTTGTCGTGTGCGGTCATTGGTAACCGGGCTGAGACAATCAACGAGTTGCGCATGAGAACTCAGTTTAATGAGAACTCAGGTGGCTGAAACCCCGACTCGAACCCGGGACCCTCAAGCGATTTGACTGGGTACCTCAACACGTTCATTATGAGCCACCACCTCATTTAGATTAAATAATGCCCTTCGGGTGGGAAAAGGCACCCAGACTCCTCAGTCAGGTCAGGACATTAAGTGGCTCGGCAGCAGCAGCAAAGAGCGCCTCTTTTTTTTTGCTTCCATTTCCCCTGCAGACAGCGGCTCGCAGAGTGGAGTTATGACATCAGTAGTGGATCGATATGAGAGCCTGCGCCGTGTGCAGACAAATGAGATTAATTCGTAGCAGGAGGCAGTAATGCTATGGTGGGTGCGTGTGTCTGTGTATGTGTGTAAGGGAGCTGTGTCTCAAATATTGGAAGAAGTCACCCCCTGTGACTGTCTGGCTGAGGTGCCATCTGTTGAGGAAAGGCGATCCAGAGTCTGAGACCAGTAAAGGCACCGGGCAGAGATGATCTCCCAAGCGAAATGCTGAGAGAGGATGGCGTTTGTGCAGAGGCTGCCCTACATGACATCATAACAACAGTCTGGACCACTGGATGGGTTCCGCAGGATTGGAAGGATGCCCTGGTGGTCCCCCTCTTTAAGAAGGGGGACCACACAGACTGTAACAACTACAGGAGCATCTCACTCCTCACTGTGCCGGGAAAGGTCCTGGCAAGGATTATTCAACATCGCCTTGCTAGGCACGCTGAGGGGAGTCTTGCGAAGCCCCAATGCAGTTTCAGGAAAGGGCGGTCCTGCACAGATGCCATATTTTCTGTCTGTCTGCTAAAGCAGAGGTGTAGGGAATTCCAACAAAACCTACATCTCTGCTTTAAGACCTGGTCAAGGCCTATGATACCATCAGTAGGCATAGGCTCTGGGTTACTCTTCGTGCTTTCGGAGTCCCTGATCCTCTGCTCACGATCATTAAGGACTTTGATGATGGTGAACGGGCCCGGGTAAAACTACGTGGCCGGGAGTCGGAGCCATTCCCTGTTCCCCTTGGGGTGCGACAGGGGTGTCCCTCTGGCTCCCACATTATTTAACATCTTTCTCGACCAAGTAGTTCGTGAAGCGGCGATGTTTACACATCGCACCAGGTACTGATTTGAGGCTGAGTCGACCTAGGGTAGGCCCAGGACCGGTTCAGATAATCGTCACTGGTGTTCGCCGTGAGTGGGAATCGAACCCGGGTCGCCAGGTTCGTAGCGCAGCGCGCTAACCCTGACACTACCGCTCCCCACTTACAACACACACAGACACACGGAAACATACGCGTGCACGCATGGGTATGCGTGAATGTTAATATCCCTGCGTCTCACCGCGCCGCTCGCAGGTACATGATGAGGTCGCAGTCGGAGATGCCGGGGATCCAGACGCGCTCCTCGAACGCAGTGCCCTCGCCGCCACTTTCAGAGTCCGGCACCAGTGAACCCGGGGGAACCAGCAGCTCCGGCAGCTTCGCCTGCACACGCACGCGCACACACACACACACACAATGCTCCCCCTATAAAGCCATAACAAACTTTTGGGGCAATTGCTGTGGGTGGCCAGCACCACACCCGCCCGACTTTGTCTCCCGAGTCGCGATGCTTACATATCGCAGCAGATACTGATTTGAGGCTGAGACCACCTAGGTAAGGCCCAGGACCTGATTGGATAATCATCACTGGTGTTGGCCTACCACATGCAAGCAAACACATGGTTGGCATCGTACTATTAAAAAGAATTTCAACATACATGAATACATGTAACTTTCAAAACTGTTAGGGTGCTGGGGCCAGGACTCAAACTGAGGTCGCCAGGTTCATAACGCAGTGTGTTAACTAGCTAAGTATACTCACACACTAATCAACAAAAGCAGACACACACAGAAATGTTGTCACCATAGCACCTGTGCCAGGCTAGGTTCACTCCGAGGCTACAATGCGTGGTCTTTACCTGGTGGCTTGGTCCAACTCTGATCTCTCCCTGGGTGCTGTTCAGCCTCCTGTAGCAGGACAACACATCATCACAGCATCACCACACGACATCGCAATCACGCGAAACCCACGCACACGCATGGCAAACATCGCGTTATCACCATCACCGCCGCCTTTGCCAACTCACAGTCTCCACCGCACCAGCAACGTCAGTGGGTTGCTTTCTGCCGGGCTGTCACGCACCGTGCGCTGCTAAATGCGTCTTGAAACTGAATGTGAGGCCAAGTGACCTACAAACCCTTTGTCCTAAAAATAGCAGCATGTGATTAAATCCCTGGTGGTGCCATAATGAAATGAGTTACTCTTTGAGTCTGGTTGCAAGTAGCCAAAGCAGACAGTGCAAGTGAATGACATTTGTCACGCGCAGGACAACGGCACACGTCCGACTTGTCGGGGACTAGAATATAGGCAGATATGTGAAAAGGTGAGTTAAGTGAAACATTTGTTGAAAATGACAGTTGGCAAATGAAACCGTAAAGCACAAAGAGGTGAATGGACAAATAAAAAACGGCAAGCTGCTTTAAAAGCACAGGGAAGAGCGTTGCCGTGCTTCGAAAGTTAGCGATGTACACCAAAGTTGAGAAGGCATTCCTGTTTGTTAAAAAGTTGGGTTTGTGAACATCTATCGAAAATAACAGTTCCTCCATCACGCACAAGTGCTACGCTGGATGTGGGTGGTTAATTTGCTGAGGGCGGATATGTAGCGGTCAGATAACCAACATTGTACTGTACACCGACCCGCATACCTCCCTACAGCTCTTGCAACTATTATAAAAAATGGTAAAACACATTTCACACTCCTGAAGATGTAGATCCCACAAGTGTGCTTGCCTAAAGACTAACTCAATTTCCTCGGAATTAGACGTGCAAGAAACCACGGAGAAGTGCCAACAATCGCCCACACTCAGGATGTCTGGAATACAGATGTACATCTATTACTACCAACACAAACATCATCAGAGTGATTAGCCCGAGATCATCAACATCCACCGTACCTATAACCCTACATCCTTATACCACCAATAGGAGATCTGGAGCCAGAGTTTCCTCACCTCGTCTCAGGGTTGTATCCGAGGATGTAAAAGAATGTGTCGGACTTTGCTTTGAAATCCTTTGCAGCAAAGATGTCCGAAAAGTGCGACACGCCACACTTACCCCTACAAAAAAACACAAAAAACAACAGCTGACATTCACCACTCCAGTCCTGTGCCCAGGCTAAGCGCACTTCGAGGCCAACTGAAGTCTCAAAGGGTCTCTGGCAGGAGGTCACAGGGTAGACCCAGGTGTCATGAATTAACTGAATTAGATGATTAGCAGATGCACCACAGTAAATTCTGGTGTCAAGGAAATTAGTTCATGTTCGCTGTTCCGCCACTACAAAGACCAACAGATGTTTTTGCTTGGACCCAGAATGCATCCAAGGTGTTGTGTGGATGCGCCAGTGGTGGCACAACGTCTTGGTGATTACAAGCCCACGGACTGCATGAAAGTCTTTTAGCCTCCTAATGTCATTACTAAGCTGACTTGGCCCATGTCTTCCAATCCAAGCGATGGCGTCATGACCCGCTTTGGAATTAGGGTCACCTAATAAGAGGACTCTCTGCCGAGAGACTATTTTAGCCAACATACAAGACAGGTCAAAGAAAGCTTTTGACCCATCAGCTTTGCCTGCTCCCCTAAACAGATATTCACCTTCAATAAGGGTTCAGGCAAACACCACCACAATTCCCCAACTCCTGTTGACAGGTAGGCGAGACCACAGCAGCTGCCTGAGACTTATAACCTACCACACATCACCACCATGCTCCAACAGCCCCCTTCATTCATAAAATGCAATCAGATGAAAAGCCACTTCAGAATAAAAGCCAGTTATTTGATGTTATTCTGCCTTGGTTATAGGACTGTTCACCCCTTGTGGTGACAGGAGCACAAACCAGTCCACTGGACCTCCTGAATTACACAGATGTCGAGGCAGGACTGGTCCAGTTCCCGAAAGAAGAATGGTAGCCCCTTTACATTCCACCCCCCACCCAGTGAATGTTTTGACATTCCAAGTGGCTAGCGACAGTGATTGTCTGTTGATTGTGGAGGCTCCTGAAGTAAAGGGGATTCTGTTCTCTGGGTCTATCTAACAGTGCTTGGCCGTCATAAACGTATTTCATTCAGAGACATCGGGAAAATTCCTGCATCGGTTTTAATGACTGTGGATATATGGTAAGAGAATAACCTAATGTCCACAAAAACACATAACCAAACTCAGACGCACATACTAATACATAAATACGTATAGGTATACACACAGGCACACGATGAGCTGAAGAAATCTCTGCATGGTGTGTTATGGACAGAGCTGTTTGGCATGCTAGAGGTGGACAGCTGTTGAGTGTATGCAAATGGATATGGGACATGCCGTATTAATAGACGGCTGAAGGGCATGTTGTATGGATAGACGGCTGTAGGGGGTGCTGTGTGGATTGACGGATATACGGCACGCTGTACGAAAAGTCGGCTGTAGGATATTCTGTATGGATAGGTGGCTTATAGGAGGAGTGTTGTGTGGATAGACGGCTGGTGTTCTGTAGACAGCTGTAGGTTATGCTGTATGGATAGACTATAGGGGTGATGTGTGGATAGATGGCTGTGAATGGACTAGAGACAGCTGTAGGACACGCTGTATAGATAGACAGCTTTAGGAGGTGCTGTGTGATGGATAGACGGCTGCAGAGTGTAGTTTCGAGGTAGGTGTAGAGTAAACGCAGGCAGCTGTGGGGCGTGCTGTGCGGTGCGAGCGTCGTACCGGAGTGCCGACGCGTGGTACGTGTCAATGCAGTCCGATATGAAGAGTTCCCGGCTCCTGATGACGGGGTCCACAATCACTAGGTCCCGGCCAGAATCTAAACAATAACACCAGCAGCAGCAGCGACTGTCATTCACCCCTGTATGTATAACTTCTTTCGCACCATACATAGCCAACCGTGCTAATCGGCGGTGCGGGGGAAGGACAACAAACTAAATGCGTAATAATGCATATTGCAATTTTCTGCATAGCTTGAGGTGGCGCAACAGAAATTAACAAAGAGTCGTCAATTGGCCCTCGAGAGTGCTGATGGCAATCCCACAGCAGCCGTACCAGGCTAGGTTCACTTTTGAGACCACCTGGAGTAGGTAGGTAGGTGAAGGTTTGCTAACGGCAAGCGATGGCTCGCTGATATGGAGGCCACGGGATCGACTGAGGAGTTACGCGCTCAAGGACTGTGGTGACGAGAAGATGCACCATTGCACCCGTTTAGGCCGAGGTGACCCAGTGGATGACCAGAGCAGATTGAAATATCGGATACCATTGTTGATGTGTCATGGCAAGGGATTTAACTTGAACATTCAGGCTCGTAGTGCTGTGACATCGCTACCGATATTACTCTTTGCACTCCGATCGTTTTTTGTATTGTTTGTTGTTCTAAATTTATGACTCGCCCCTGCTGGACATCTGTGAAACAGAGCTTCATAGCTCATCAGATCTCTCCAGGACAAATAAAGATTCCGATTCTTAAAAGTGAACACAAGTGTGGCACCCATATATGCATGCGAACATGCACACCACAAACACGATCAGTTTACAACACAAAGATCCGAAAAAGCCAACATACTGTCAGGGCAAGTGCTGTTAGCGAGCACCTATCAAGGTCGGCACGGGGCACAAAACGGTGGTGTCGTTCGACCGCCTTTATCTCTCGAGTGTTGGTATATACACACCACGCCAGGCAATAATGTAAGGCTAAGTCGACCTAGGATCACTTCAGATATCTCTCACCGCTGATTTTCACCGTGACCACGAATCAAAAGTATGCCGCCAAATTCCTAGAAACATGCACACTAACCACTGCGCCGCCGCTCCCCAGGACAAAAGAAAAGACGCACAAAAACACACGCACATGACACACGTGTGCATGGGAGTATACCGTTCTCATTGTGCCGGTCTTGGACTAGTAGTTGGTAGACTGAGTCCGGCACCTCGGACTGCCGGTAGTACCACTTGACGTTCATCATGAGGTGGTCCCTCTTGCTCTGCAAAACCCCACCCCCACATTCCTTAGACCTTGCACAAAACACTGTCGTCATGCAGAACTTTTAGCGAGGGAGTGCGTAACTATGGCATATCCCACATTAACCACAATAATTTGTTGATGGCATGGGGAAAAGGGGAATATTGAATGCGAATAATTGCCTTCATCAAGACGAGACAACATCAACAATATCATCGACAGTCACAAAGGCAAAGACCCCCCTAGACAGCCTTTAACAGACTGTTGGGGCAAGTGCTGTTAGCGAGCAATAATTGAGACTGGGGTGAGTCTGGCACAATGACCGGTGAGGCCAGTACCACGCTTGGCCATAATTTTTCTCCCCAATGCCGATTGCTCATATATCACACCAGGTACTCGTCTAAAACTAAATCAACCTAGGGGAGGATCAGGACCGGTTCAGATATCACTCACCACTGATGTCAGCCGTGGCCGGGAATAGAACTCGGTGTGCTAACCACGGCGCCGCCACTCCCCACAATCAGCACAAACACAATGAAGACCAACAACACCATCGACATAAACAACAAAATTAACATCACCGATCCCATTAACAATATCAACACCATTAACACGAGGAATGTAACGATTAACAGACGAAAATATTTTCTCAACAACAAAGTTCACAAACTCAAATTTGTGCAAATTACATTGGAAATGTTCAGATCTGGCCAGGTAGCCTGGCGGTAGAATGGGCGAGTTAAAATCCTTGTTCGGGGTTGACTCAACCAATCATGCTTTTGGGGAGGGTTGATAAAATTTGTACCAACTTGTCAAGAAATTGTTCTATGGGTAGGCTCACCCCGGCCATAGGAATTTGAAATTTGCAGCAAGGGCCTCAGGGCTATAAACAGAAGACCACCGGCCTCAAAGCTCATTTGAGCAGGAAATCATAATGACAGCAACCTCTCAACTTGCAATGCACCACACAGTATTCGCTTACGCTCTAAGAGAGAACGACTCGGAGACGCGAGGAGGAACGAGAGGCGAGTGGGAAGGGCAGTAGCTAGATGGTGAGCCGGTGCCAAAAATCCCACGCCCCACAAAGCTCTGTCGTCCTCTATATATTAAAATGTTATCGGCCAAATAATAATCGATTACAAAATCACTTGGACTTGTTAGTTTTAGGCTAATGGTACAAAAAGAAGCAACAAATCGAGCAGGCAATAGAATGAGAAAAGAGTAATCAATATTTGCATTGAACTCTGTTAAATTGCACTGATAATAATCGTTACATGCCTTATTGACAACCAAGCCACCGCAATCAAGATAACACAGCGCAGAGAGTTTGAGTACAGTGCTCACAAGTTTGAAGTCTTGGATGCTGCAGATGAAGTAGGGGATGTCTGGCCGTCGCGACTCTATGTACACGCAGTCTGCAACATGCGCACACGCACTCAACAAAGATTCCCTTATATCCTTCATACACTGTTGTGGTAGGTGCTGCTCGCGAGAGCCTATGGAGGCCAGCACAGCACACGAGGAGATGGTGTGGCTACAACCATGGACGGCCACTTAGGTCTCCCCAATGCTGATCTTTATACACCACGTCAGGTACTCTTTTAAGGCTGAGTCGATCTCGGGGAGACCCAGAACTAGTTCAAGTAGTCTCCACTGTTAATGGTCGTTAGCAGGAATAAAACTCGGGTCGTCGAGTTAGTAGCGCAGTGCGCTAACCACCGCACAACTGCTCCCCATCGCACACACACGTAAACACACACAAGGTCCACGCAACGACACACATGTTTGTTAAAAAGCAGGATCAAGAAACAACTTCTCGTATTGTGAATACTGTTCTTCTTATTTACATTTGCTATTGCAGTATCAAATATCCCCCGTATAGCCTTAACAGACTGTTGGGGCAAGTGCTGTTAGCGAGAAACTATGAAGGCCAGAACGGCTCACGAAGGAGGGTGGGTGGCAAGAACTACGCCCTTCCGGCTTTGTCTCCTCAGTGGCGATGATTACGCATCGCACCAGGTACAAATTTGAGGTGAGTCGACCTAGGGGAGGCCCAGGACCAGTTCAAATAATCTTCACTGGTGTTGGCCATGAGCGGGAATCGAACTTGGGCCGCTGGGTTCGTAGCGCAGCGCGCGCTAACCGCTACACTACTGCTCCCCATTACAGTTTCACACACTGTATCAGTATCGTGAAACCACCGAGGTAATTTGGCAGCGCGTGATGTCTCTTGTGGTCTTGCGTCAATTGTGCCGTTGTGGTTATTGCGCGGTTGGTCTAATGGTGGTCATGTGTGTGATGGTAATTTTTTTGTTGCCATGTGGTCGTTAGGTAGTCCTCCGGTCTCCAGGCTGTGGAAACCGTAACTACAGTGCCAAATACAGTGCCAAATACTGGCGTTATTGTTATTTAGATAACAGGACACTGTAATCAGTCTTTGATTGATTTGTCAAAACCATGTGATAAGGTTGACCAACAAATCTTATCGCACAGATAAGGCACCTGTGGCATCAGCAGTAAAGCAGCGGGTTGGTTCACAACTACTTGCTAGATTAGATGAGATGGCCTGAATTTGGCATCAAAGGGTGACCACCTGCGGCTGTTGTGCTCTGCATGATGTGATTATGTTCATGTCTCGACCTGATCCCATCTATGTTTGGGACGAAAGTAAAGCAGGCCCCATACCAATTATCAACACAAAGTAATAATAAACTTCCCTTTGGAAGGCGGCCCTCCTCCTACATTGTGCATCAGTCATGGGGGTTGTTTGATGATACTTCACAACGCTGGTAAGTGCGGATTAGTGCACGAGGGCCCGAAGACCGGTTAGGATATAATACGCCACCGATTCTGGCCGTGGCTAGGAATCAAACTCAGGTCGCTGGGCTCATAGCACAAACCACTGCGCTACTGCTCTACACCCAAAACAATGTATTTAAGACTATCACTGAATAACAGTGAAACTATGCACTTCAGATTTAGAAAACAGATAATCTCTTCGGGAGTCAACCTCCGTGAATTAACAGTGAACACTTAATGTGGATCTACCATCAAAAATGTGATGTGCTCTAAGTAGTTGGCGATCGGTTGGTTAATCGTCGAAACGTTAACCCAACAAATACGCAGACAACATACTTTACCATTCCTGTCTCCCCACAATAAGAAACTACATGTTTTTGTTTCAAATCCGATTGACCACACAACCTCCTTAAAAGTATTTTTTATTATAAACTGCAAAAAAACGTGGAAACCATTATTAAGTTATAAAAAATATATATTTGTGATTGATGTACAGAGGTGTCCACCCAACTCATAATCTCTAATCTAGACCTTTCATGCCAATTACTGAAGATGGTGAAGTGGCCTACAAATCGGCTCATGCTGCAGCCAAAAGAGGCTTCCACTTGGCCCACTTCATCTCTTGAGGACGGTCACTGTACCCATCACTGCGAGCTCTGTTGTCACCGGTAATCTCTCAGTGACAGCAATAAAAGGATATTGGACAGAGTGTATATGGAGGTGTGGTCATGGTAGTAACAACCACCTTCCACGTGCCATTCTGTGCTCTCTGATCTTTGTTACGTTATTTGTGCGTTAACAAACGTAAGTTGATTTAGTTGTTGGGAGCATTTGTACAGTTGGTGTTGTTTGGTTCATGTGTTGTTGTTCTTGTGGAGTCAATACCATCAGGCTGGTACATGGCGGCGGCGTCAGTAATTTATGTGGTGGTAGAGGTTTTAGTTGTTTTGTGCTGCCGTGTAGTTGTTGCTGTGTGTTTCGGCAATGTGGTTGGCGTGTGGTGGTTGCGGAATTGTGCGAGTTATATTTTTGTTGTGTTGCAGTTGCGGCGTCATTCTTGTGTTTTTGTCACCGTGTGGTAGCTGTATTGTGATTGTTGTGCTGTGGTTGTTGTGTGCTCTCATACCCACAGGCATGTAGGTGGTGGTGCTGTCTGTCGTGTGTGTGGTGTCAGCGGGTGATGTGCCGTGTTAGTCGTGCTGTGGTTGTTGTGCTGTGGTAGAGGTGGTTTTGTGTTACCGTACCTCCAGGCTGGTAGATGGTGGCGTCATCCGTCGTGTACGTGGCGATGTCTCCGTTGTCGTTCCTCTGGAATCGAGGTTTCCTCTTCGCCGACTTCCGAGGCTTCGACTTCCGGCCCTCATCAGGGAGGCCTGAGACCGGAAGAGATACGAGATGCGCAATGCTGTAATAACAACAACACACACAGCACAACATACAAACACGCAAAACTACACACCATACACAATGCTTGTTTATAAATGTGGAGGGAAAAACTGAGAAAAATCCACATGACCACAGGGACAACATGCAAACTCCAAATATACAGCAGGCTACAGGGTCAGGATCGAACCCACGACCTCCTGTATACCAGGCGAGGGAGATAACATCTCACCACCATGGTGCTGGAGGGCAGCAGAAGAGTAAGGAGTAACACATGATAATCTGTGCAAAATTTTGCACGTGTGATGCACACGACAAAGTGTAAGTAACAATGAATAAGAAAACTGGTGTAACCATCAACCGCATCAGAACATAAACAGGCGGATATGTACATCTTCTATTCCTCCAAAAGAGGAAGAGCAAAACTACACAAACTCTCTCGTGAAGCCCCCTCATAGCTAGGAGGCCTCAACATTGGCATTTATCTTTTGAACGTATTTCCAAACGCAAAAACAGAATACAAAAAAAACCACGGCGCACTCAAAATGGATAAGACTGTCTCACAACCATAACACACACAACAGCAAGCGCAGCAATCAGCACCCACAGCAATGCTTATGCTGTACACAGCAGCACATAACACACATTCACCTGCCATCTCCTTCTCCATCTCATCCTCGTCCACGCAGTCACTGTCAGCTCCTCCTCCTCCGCCGCTCACTCCGGTCACCACCCCCCCGCCCCCAGCACTGCCACCCCCACCGCCGTCCACCGTGCAGCTCCGCCTTCTGCGCCCGCTACCGCCCCCACAGTGCACCGGGGCCCCCCCACAATGCACGGCGGTGGCGTTGTTGGCAGTGGCGGGCGGGGCGTGCCCGTCACTCGACGACCGTGAGGAGGCCATGATGGTCCACGAGCCTTGCCGGCGGTGCGTGAACGTCGCCGAGCCGCCCCTCTTTCCGCCGGACGAGGCCGACGAGGAGGAGGAGGCGGCGGCCGGAGGGGGCTGCTGCTGCTGCAGTTGCTGCAGTGGCGATGAGGGGGGCTGCCCCCCCCCGCCGGCGGCACGCGCCGAGGGCCCGCTAGCGCGCCGCGATAGGCACACGGTCAACCGAGGGCGGCTCACCGGCGCACCTCCCCCGCTCCCCGCCTCCGCTATTTTTCCTCGATGGCTCGCAATTATTTACCGAGACGGGGCCAAAAACGCACGTGTCGGCGGGCCCTACGGTGCATCCAAAAAGAAGCCAGAAGTACAATGATTTTTCGATCGAGTTTTGAAATCGATAGGGCAAACGAGGGTTTGTCTTCACGTTGAGCTAAAATGCTTAAATGTGTTTGTGACTGTTATGCCTCCGAGTCACATTTGTGCAGAGTTTGTCGCAAGTGAGGTGTAGACTCAGTGCTTAAAACACTTGGCGCTGGAGATGTTTGTAATGGTGGTTTTTGTTTTCAGCCTTTGTTCGTGCAGATTTAGCACCTTATTACAAAACTAATGTTAAAATACTGTCGTGTTATTCAACTGCCATACATCTTATGATCGGCTTGTATAACGATTCCATTTACTTTATATCTTCTTAAAATATTTTTTAAGCCTTCTTAAGCTGTATTAAAAAAAAATTCACGTGATTGTAAGGTCGTATAAATTCAAGTTAACTTTAATGTCATAACAATGAGCTCAACATCTCCAATGTTTCCTTCTGTAAATATTACTTGTCAGCTCCTGTGTGCCCAAGTAAATGCTCTTGGCCCCAGTTCTTGTCGTTGTTGGTATCGTTGTTGCTTTTTGTCGTGTAGTCGGAGCGCTTGTGTCAGTCGGTGTGCCGATTTATCCACAACTCACCCTAGCAGAAGAAACCACAAAACAAACATCAAGAATGAGTCATTACACACGAAACAATGAAACACACAAGATAAAGATCCCCCCAATAGCCTTGTCAGACTGTAGGAGCAAGTGCTGTTAGCGAGCACCTACAAAGGCCAGCAAGGCACACGAGGGGGTTGGGTGGCCAGCACCACACCCGGCTGCCTTTGTCTCCCTAGTGGCGATGTATACACTGCACCAGGTACTCATTTGGGGCTGAGTCGACCTTGGGAAGGCCCAGGACCAGTTCAGATAATCGTCACTGATGTTGGCCGTGAGCGGGAACTGAACCCGCGTCGCCAGGTTTGTAGCGCAGTGTTTAATTTAAGCTAATCTTCTGAATTAACGAGATGGAACATGCGGAGATGAAAAAGACAACACAGTACAGACGAGTCACCGTACAGCTCAGATAATACAGAAACACAGAACAAAGAAAAGACTTTAGACAAGACATACAGTAGACTCAAAAGATGTTACTAATGTGGCAATTAAACTAGAGCGTTAAACAAGGCAGTACCACAAGGTAAACGGCACAGACCTGAGACAATACACATAGAAAATTAGAAAGGCGACAACACGTATAAAACACCAGCACAAACGAGATAGTAGATACAAGACTAAAAAAAAATCTATTCTGGAATCAAATCATAACCCTGGAAATGAGAGAGTTTATCGACTGACGTGAGGAAGGGCCGAATCATTACATACATAGTAGCCAAATCCACACTGTCCCCACAAACACCGCTCTTGAAAGTGCTAAACGACCTAACGATGACTCTGCCAAATGATGCACTGTTGCCGAGATGCACACCGCTTCATTGCAGTCCTGTAACTGACGACCCATCGCATCACTGCCCTTGTGCTACACCTAATCCCACGGTCATTGCTGTTGATTCAGGGCCAGTGAATCTCATTTCACCAAGGCCAGTGCCACCATCATTCAAACACGTTCCTTTTTTTGGCATTTCCCCAATTATTTTACAACTGCGCTCTTGACACTCTTCCGCAAGATGAAAAAATTTCAATTATGAAATCTCACAGAAAGCAGTGTAACATAACCCTATGTTGGAGAATGGCCCTTGGTAGGTGATATCACAGAACTGCTTCTAAGATCCTTTCAATTGGCTCGTATCCACCCGAGGCAATTTATCATTGTACAAGCGCCGCTGCTACAGAGGCGATTGTCCCATGAAAACCAGAGCTAGAAATTTACCGTTAAAATGAAAGAAAAATTGTTTTCAATGGGTTTTTTGTGCAGTCATTGGTAATCAGGCTTAGACCATCGACTGCACATCTGAGAAGCTGGTTTATTAATCACTGGTGGATGAAACCCAGACTTGAACGCATAATCTATGCAGTGCCAGCCCAGCGCTGACATCATATTAGCCCGAGCCAAGTCTGTCACCTCAATTCGACTCTTGTTTTGACCCTTGACATCCAGACAAGCCTGACTCTTCATTTACACTGACATCCTTGTCACCCTGATTTATTATTTATCCCAAGCTTCTCAACAACACAGCTCGCTGCTTGCGTGCGTCTTCATTCATTAAACTCATAATCCGCCGCTGTGTCTGAACATGATTTGACAAGCTAAGATTATCTTCATTTTATTCCTCTCCATCATGATCATATTACTAGAGGTCTAAAGACAACACACTGGCAGACCAGTCTCCGGTGGGCTCATGAGACAATAAACTGACAGACCCAGTCTATGATAATGTTATGAGACAACAAACTGACAAACCAGTTTCTGATAGGGTCCTTAAAAGCATAGTTGAGGATAGCGCTTTCTGACAACAATCTTTAGACATCGGACTGACAAACGAGTGTCTTGTCAGCCCCATTAAAATTAAACCCAACAAGACCTGAAACTGGAACCTTGCTTAATGGGCCCAACCCTGCCAAGCTTGTGACATTAATTCGGGCATCTGGCTCCGGTGAACGTTGTCCACACTCTGCATCGTTAGCAAAACGCAGTGGCATGTAGCACAGCGGCGAAACGCCGTTATAACCGACACTGTTGCAGGCACACATGCGGCAAAGTGTTGCCCTGCAGCAGTTTATCCCGGGACCCAGTTGCTATTTTGAACGCTGTAATTTCAGTAAAAGAGTTGAGAGCACAGCGCTGCGATTGCTAAAGATTGATGCGGCTGAATTTTTGCAGCGTACGTAAAAATGGCCTAACAGGACATGAGGGCTCGTCGTGTTTCAGAGGCAACGTCGTTAATACGGAGGAATAACGGCGCTGTGAGAGTTAATGCTCCGTGGAACCTGGCATCGCAGCATCAACATGACAGAGACATCCCCTGGCGTCACAACAATCATTTTGCAGTAAAACAAACGGCACAACATCAATATTGGAATGTCAAAAGCGCATTACCACCATCACAGCGACAGTCGACGTCTACGTATAAAAAAAAAATGCAATCACCATGTTAACATCGCCACCAACATTCTCATGCTGAACATCGTCATCACCAAACTATCATAACCACGCAATCAACATTGCGTGGTTACATTAACATCACGAACATCAAAATTGTTTTGATTTAAAGCTTTCGTGACTGCAGGGATTCATATTCTTGGTTCTTTCGGTAAAGTCACGTAGAAGGGAAATAATAAAATAATAAAAATACAAACCAATAAAAATTCTCACGACGTTTCGACTGCAACACAAGCAATCGTCATCAGGTGTGACATCCACAGCAAGAAAATTTGAATTTGTTTAGTTTTATATTTTTCTTATTGTATTATTTCCCTTCTACGTGACTTTACCAAAAGAACCAAGAATATAAAAAAATTTGCTAGCATGAAACTCTTGTTGGCATGACGCCCGGCCACCTTTATTTCCCCAATGTTCATGTATACACACAGCAGCAGGTCAACATAGGCGAGGTCGCGAGGATCGCCTCGCATATCATTCCCCATTAATGTTAGCCATGGCGGAGACTCAAACTCAGGTCTCTGGGTTTGTAGCCGTAGTTGTGTCTGTGAATAACTCGACACCCCCCCCACCCTGCTGGCCCCCGCCCCACCAATGCACCCCGTGCAGCTGACACATTTACAGCCGCATGCATCAGCACACACGCGCATTAAGGAGCACTGGACCAACTAATGCCCGCAGTAACTGTATTATCCCCACAGGTTTGCATATTTGCCCAAACAAAGTCCACGGTGAACCATTTCTGCTCCCTTAGCGCTCCCTGCCAGCCACCCGTTTCCCTAACTCCCCTTTAACACCCAGTTGGTTGTTGTACGGATGCCTCGATTCAGAAATTAATATCGATCCGTAAGCTCACGACACGTGCATGATTCCATGCACATTGTAAGTAATGTGTTCCGAGTGACCCCTGCAGTCACTAGAGGCCGTTACTCTAACCGCAATGCAAAATAACAATCGATTCGTGCCACATCGAATCACGACAATAAATAACAATCACTGCGTGAAGGGAGGTCACTGCTACCTTCTCTGCTGCTCACAATGTCTGGAAACAACACAGCCCCCCCCCCCTCGTCCTTATGTATAATAATCATGTACAGTACTGTACTCAGATGGATTTTCATGTTGGTGACCCCCGTCAAATGAGGCTCTCTCCTCGTCTCTCCGAGTTCTCACCCTGGTTAAATTAAATAAACGTGAAACTTTTTTTCCCACATTTTACCAGGTAAGGAGGCCCACTGACCTATTTTTCAGAAGCGTCATGGCCACACAAATGATAGCTGCTCCACGCAGTGGCTTATCGAATGGAAATGTACATCACCCAAAACTCCAAAACACGTGATATTCATTCTTAATGAGGGGGAAACTGGACGACTCGGAGAAAAATCCACGCGACCACGGGGAGAGAGAGAGAACATGCAAATTCCAAATATACAGGGTCAGAATCGAATCCACAAAACCTCCTACATACGAGACGAACGTGGAGAGGTAGTAGTTAACATCTCACTATCGCGGCACCTCCGATTTTTTGTGAAACCAGGGGAGGGGGTGGAGATGACATTTGGATAACAAGTACAGTATCTTTTTTATAAAGGGTGGGTGGTGGGGGGTCATCATGGTTGGGGGATGTTTGGCCAATAACTTAGAGTGTGTGTGGGAGGTTATCTGAGTAACTCAGCAATACAAACATGCATGAGCTACACGCACGCAATGCATTACACTGAATAAACACGCAGACACTACACATTATAAACTTGGGCTTACACAATACTATACAAACACATACTATAAACATATCGACTGTATTTCTCCAGGATAAATAAAGGTTCTGAGTCTGTATATGCCAGCGTAAGCCACACACACTTAAAACGCACACAGACACTATACACAAACTAAACACACGAATATACAGTATTGTACACACATAATTAAACACGTAAAATATTCTACACACACACAATGAGACACCTAGTACATAATATAAACGTGATAGTACTGTTCTACACACACACATGCTTTAAAAGCCTGCCATACACTATACACAATCTAAACCCATACATTCACTATACACCAGTCATCATTATCATCGTCAGCCATTATCCATCCACTGCTGGATAAGACTCCCAAAGTCGTCGCAGTCTTTTACGATCCAGTGATGGAACAATCCATCAGGCGCCGATACAAATGAGCCGATTTCATCGCTCCATCCACTCTAAATCCCTCATTTGGATGCCACTCCGTCATTACTCTCTCCCACCAGCCATCCTTCCAGCGACGGGCCTTGCCCAAGCCGCACTCCGTTTCCTTAAAAGTCAACATTTTCCTGAACCCGATGTATGTAAAACTAAAAAAGAAGCTATATTTATCTTACAAGATAAGGCGCACTGAGGTTTCTTTCTCAGAAGCGACCTGGCCACAAAATAAAGGTTAACGAAGTGGCTTATTACGTGGAAATAACATTGCAGCCAAATACTCTTAACGTACGTTTCGAAATGTGGAGGGGAAAAGTCCCAGAGAAAAATTCACGGCGACCACGGGGAGAACTTGCAAATACTCCAAGTCTTCAGGTGTCAGGGTCAGGATCGAACCCACAAACAACCTCCTGCATACCAGGCGATGAAGATAACGTCTCGCCACCGCCATCAGGGCGCCACGTGGTGAGATGTTAACCACTTCGCCTGGTATACAGGAGGTCGCGGGTTCGATCCCAACCCCTGACCGCCTGCAGTACATTTGGAGTGTGCACGTCACTCTCCCCCTGTGGTCGCGTGGATTTTCTCTCCGGGCCGTCTGGTTTTTCCTTCCACATTTAGAATCAGCAATGCGCGTTTAGAGTATTTATTTGGCTGCTTTCAATTTCCAGATGATGACGATAAGCCACTTCGTTGAGCTATCATTTGTCGCCAAGGTGCTTTTGAAAAAAGAGCTGTATAGTTTAGTGGGCCTTACCTGGTAAAACATTTTAAAATAGTTCAGTATACATACTTACTGCTGGATGAGGGCCTCCACCCGCCGTGCGGGTTGTGGTGGGGGGTTAATGGACCATACTTCACCACACAGGTCTGTGCGGGTTGGTTCGAACCATAGAGGTATAATACAACCATTGTTTTTGCCGCACTACCCTATACTACCCACCCACCATGCATCTCCACTTATGCATGTGGTGTATACATACAGTATAATATTGTGGGTGGTGAGCAACACGCCCATCCGCCTTCGTCTCCCTCGTGGTGATGTTTACACACCGCACTAGGTACTCATTTGAGGTTGAGTCGACCTAGGGAAGACCCAGGGGACCGGTTCAGATAATCATCACCGGTGTTGGCCGTGCACGGGAATCGAACTCTGGTGGTCCGGTGAGTAACCCATTTAAATACAAAAACACACGCACGCACTTTCACCACAAATAGTGCAGAAAAACACAATCAGTAACAACACATCCACTCGCATACACAAATACAAAGTTAACACTCCTTAAATCAAATCATACCGTATAATACTATACACATATGCACACTTAAGTATACGCCTAAGTATATCCATACCGCACACAATTAAAACAACACGAGAACTCTACACATTTCAGACTTCACGTAAATAACCACAGGCGTGTAAACATAACCAAACACAAACAGTACAGACACACGAAGACATAAATACAGACGCATGTGAATTTTACATTGTGCATGCTATATGCTATACCAATACGTTTAAACAAACACACAGGCATATAGATTTACACACCTATACAAAGTACACACACAGAAATACACATGTATACAAAGACATGATAGATTTTACCCTATAACAGACTGTACAAGGCTAAACGCTCACAGCACGTGTAGGCACACAAAACCACAGACACAACCGCTTATACATAAACACAACCACACACAAACAGACAATAGCACTCACACATGCATACAAACACGTATACATATAAACACACACACATTAACAAGAACATAAACAAACGTGCTAAACCACACACGTTGAAACACAAACAAGCAGTGTAGATTCACTCAGTGTACACGCACATCAAGAACAAAAACTACACACGTAAACATAAACAAACGAAAATATCACACGAACACCACCAGGCTGGTGCCAGACTAGGTACACACATACATGCAAAAACACACATACACGCACAAGCACATTTATAAACAGACAAAAAACACACAATCACAAAAGAAACGCCCACGTATAAACACACGGTACTCTACCGTACAAGGATACACACTGAAGCACACACAAGCACAGAGATGCACACGTGCATATACATTCATCTCACACAGAAAATCAAGACGCAGCACACCACTTCCTGGCATTCGTCAATGCTGGCTCCCCACCAACAACCACCACTCACTGCTCCTTATGATTAACAGTGACACCACAGTAACTAGAACCAACACTGCTCCTTATGATTAACAGTTTCACCACAGTAACTACAACCAACACTGCTCCTTATGATTAACAGTTTCACCACAGTAACTAGAACCAACACTGCTCCTTATGATTAACAGTGACACCACAGTAACTACAACCAACACTGCTCCTTATGATTAACAGTTTCACCACAGTAACTACAACCAACACTGCTCCTTATGATTAACAGTTTCACCACAGTAACTACAACCAACACTGCTCCTTATGATTAACAGTGCTACCACAGTAACTACAATCAACACTGCTCCTTATGATTAACAGTTTCACCACAGTAACTACAACCAACACCGCTTCTTATGATTAACAGTGCTACCACAGTAACTAAAACCACCACTGATCATTATAACTGTGCCACCACAGTAACCCCCATCGCCACCACTTATAAAAGTCTCATCACATTAACCACCCCTGCTCCATACGATTAACAGTGCTTTCACTGTAACCACCATCATCATCACTGTTCCTTATGAATAAGTGCCACCAGTGACGATGACATCGATCCTTATAACAGTTCCAGCCACAGTAATCATCACCACTAAACCTTATAACAGTGCCATCATCACTGTTCCTTATGAATAAGTGCCACCATTGTGACCACCAGCACTGGCCCTTATGACAGTACCACCACAATCACCACCATCACCACCTCGTTATTAGTACCACCAAAGTAACCATCACTGTTTCTTACAATAATAACAGTACCACCAAAATAACCACCATCACCACCTCGTTATTAGTACCACCAAAGTAACCACCACTGTTCCTAACAATAATAACAATAGTACCACCACAATAACCACCATCACAACTCGTTGTTGCAGTACCATCACCGTAACCACCACTGATCCTTACAATGACGACAGTACCACCGCAATAACCACCATCACCACCTCGTTATTACAGTACCACCACCGTAACCACCACTGTTCCTTACAATGATAACAGTACCACAATAACCACCATCACCACCTCGTTATTAGTGCCACCACAATAACCACCATCACCAACTCGTTATTAGTGCCACCACAATAACCAGCACTGTTCCTTAAAATTAAAGTTCCACCACAGGAACTACCGCCACCAGCATTGTGCCTTAAGTGCCACCCCAGTAACCACAACTGCTCCTTATAATAATACAACCGGAGTAACCACCACTACTTGTTATAACAAGAGTATCACCACAGTAACCACCACTACTTGTTATAACAAGAGTATCACCACAGTAACCACCACTACTTGTTATAACAAGAGTATCACCACAGTAACCACCACTACTTGTTATAACAAGAGTATCACCACAGTAACCACCACTACTTGTTATAACAAGAGTATCACCACAGTAACCACCACTACTTGTTATAACAAGAGTATCATCACAGTAACCACTACTTGTTATAACAAGAGTATTATCACAATAACCACCACTACTTGTTATAACAAGAGTATCACCACAGTAACCACCACTACTTGTTATAACAAGAGTATCACCACAGTAACCACCACTACTTGTTATAACAAGAGTATCACCACAGTAACCACCACTACTTGTTATAACAAGAGTATCATCACAATAACCACCACTACTTGTTATAACAAGAGTACCACCACAATAACCACCACTACAGTACTTGTTATAACAAGAGTATCACCACAATAACCACCACTATTTGTTATAACAAGAGTATCACCATAGTAACCACCACTACTTGTTATAACAAGAGAACCACCACAATAACCATCACTACTTGTTATAACAAGAGTATCACCACAATAACCACCACCACTGCTCATTATAACAACAGCACCACCACTGTAATCACCACCCAACGCTGTGCTCCTTACAAATAACACGTGTCACCACCAGTAACCACCACCATCATCATCATGACCACCTTAACATCCAACAACAAGAGGGACAACAAACCACAGCGGCGGCACCAGCAATCACAACAAATCACCACCATCATCACCACCACCATCACCACGCCGAGGTAGTTTCACGGCACGGGTCACCCCAGCACCCCAAAGACCGCCCGCGTCTTCCGCACGCTGCCAAACACAACGAGGAGAAAACAATCATTACAATGCATCTCTCACCGGCGGCTCCGTCGCCGCCACCGTGGCCTCCTCCTTCCTCCCTCCCCACCACCACCCCCCTCGTCTCGACGCGCACGTCGGCTCGGCCAAAAACACGCGCCCGCCGCCGCCGCCGCCTCTCTCTCCAGCCGTCCGTCGAGTGACGACCCCCCCCCCCCGCCTCCGATCTCTGTGCAAATCTCCCCGCCGCCGATAATCGCCGAGCGACCCCCGGCCAAACAGCGGCGGTGGAGGTAGCGGCAAAGGCAGCAAAACGGCAGCAACAGCAGCAGCGGCGGCGGCCACTCGCCCCTGAGAACAAAGGCGACTGCTGCTGCCCTCCACGGCAGAGCCACAGCTTCCGGTGGCGAGCTACCGGAAGCCGGTAGACGTCTTCCGGAAGAACCTTCCACTTCCGGAAGACGGTAGACTACTTCCGAAAGGATCTTCCACTTCCGGAAGACGCGAAAGTCTGTTGGGCGCGCAGGCGTTTGAGGGCACGCGATCGTTTTTTTGGAGGGGAGAGTGGGGGGCGGGGCGTTGTTTTGTCATCTTCCGGAAGACGTCTTCCGTCTTCTGTCGTTCACCGTCGAACGCCCCCCCCACTCCTCCACTTCCCCCGCCCCGCCCCCCTCCCTCGCCCCGCCCCCCTCCCTCGCCCCGCCCCCCTCCCTCGCCCCGCCCCCCTCCTAAAGAAATCAACGGTGGAGTCAAGATGGCCGACGCGCTGCTGGTGGGAGTTCTTCCTCTTCCGGAAGACGAGCACGGGTGCTTGTGTTTTTTTAGTCTTCCGGTAGAAGGATTATTCCGTATTGATGATGTGAAATGATGATGATGGTGGTGGTGTAAATAAATACTCTGAGGTTGTTTCGGTGAAGTCACGTAGGTAAAATATTGTAAATGGTGTAAAAGCGCTTCATAGCTCATCGGATTTCTCCAGCATAAATAAAGATGTTGATATATTTGATTTGAAGCTTTCGTGACTGCAGGAATTAATACTCTTTGGCTCTTCCGGTAAAGCCACGTAAGATAGAAAAAATAAGAAAAAATCGCACGACGTTTCGATGACAACACAAGCAATCGTCATCAGGTGAAAAAAAAATAGCTCGAGAGCTGCTTAGGCAGGATGTTATTTAGATCTAAATCTAGATTGATGTTATCAAGGTTTGTGATGGGTGGAGCCCAAGGGTCATAAGCGAAGTGGGCGGGGCTAGTGAATAAATTTGCATGTCAATGTCAGATCGGAGAGCTGAGCTACCTCCACTACGACAAAGCTACAGAGGAGACAAAGACAAAGATCCCCCGTATAGCCTTGACAGACTGTAGGGGCAAGTGCTGTTAGCGAGCACCTATGAAGGCCGGAACGGTACAGGAGGGGGTGGGTGGCAGCACCACGCCCGACCGCCTTTGTCTCCCCAGTGGCGATGTTTACACACCGCACCGGGTACTCATTTGAGGCTGAGTCGACCTAGGGGAGGCCTAGGACCGGTTCAGATAATCGTCACCGCACACGCATATAAAATGCACATTGGACGAAATGTTCTCGCTTACAATCAAAGTTGACGAACGATTGTGTTGCAATTGAAACGTCGTTTTTTTGTTATTTACTTTGAACCTATCTACGTGACTTTACTGAAAGACCCAAAGAATATGAATTCCTACAGTCATGAAAGCTTTAATTCAAAATTTAGCAATGATCAGACAAGATAATTGCTAACTTTGGTTGTGAGCTGAAAGAATAACAATTGGCGTGAAAACGCTTGTGCGCGTGATAATTCAATGTGTATGGCTGTCCCTTGTGGCGGAGGGTCAGATGATTTGCGTGGCCTCACACAAAAATCAATAACGAATGAATCCTCCCCAACATCGGCAGCAAAAACCTACCTGTTGAGTTGGCCTCGAGAACATGTCATCGTCTAACAATAGTCTACACCAGTGTTTTTCACTAATTTTCAGAGGGAGCCACATTCACCGTTAAGACGTCAGTGTTGAGGGCTGCCACACATTTTCAGAGGGGGCCACATTCACCGTTAAGACATCAGTGTTGAGGGCTGCCACACATTTTCAGAGGGGGCCACATTCACCGTTAAGACGTCAGTGTTGAGGGCTGTGACACATTTTCAGAGGGGGCCACATTGGTCGTTAAGACATCAGTGTTGAGGGCTGCCACACATTTTCAGAGGAGGCCACATTCGCCGTTAAGACGTCAGTGTTGAGGGCTGCCACACATTTTCAGAGGGGGCCACATTCGCCGTTAAGACATCAGTGTTGAGGGCTGCTACACATTTTCAGAGGAGGCCACATTCGCCGTTAAGACGTCAGTGTTGAGGGCTGCCACACATTTTCAGAGGGAGCCACGTTCGCCGTTAAGACATCAGTGTTGAGGGCTGCCACACACTTTCAGAGGGGGCCACATTCGCCGTTAATATGTCAGTGTTGAGGGCTGCCACACATTTTCAGAGGGGGCCACATTCGCCGTTAAGTCGTCAGTGTTGAGGGCTGCCACACATTTTCAGAGGGAGCCACGTTCGCCGTTAAGACGTCAGTGTTGAGGGCTGCCGCACATTTTCAGAGGGGGCCACATTCGCCGTGAAGACATCAGTGTTGAGGGCTGCCACACATTTTCAGAGAGGGCCACATTCACCGTTAAGACATCAGTGTTGAGGGCTGCCACACATTTGAAACCGTTGCGTCAGAAGCCACACTAAAAGCCACCAGGGGACGCCAGTGGCCCGCGGGCCTTGCAATGACGAATGCTGGTCGACACCGTTGCAGAATCGTCAATCTCCACAAAAAGTAACACATTATCACCGAGTGGAATTAATTTGCAGCTCGGGGTGTGTTAAGGGTCTGATGGGCGAGGAGGGTGAACACAATACCAACAATCTCATCTAATTTCTTAAAAACAAATCATGAAGCACAAATCAAGGACAACAATTTAACATGAAGACTAAAGCTAGACAGCACATCAGCACTCCGGTTTTGCACACTCCGCTGTAAGTCCACGCAGAGGTCCAGGAGGGATACAACTTCCTTGGAAGCTTCACTTCTTCGAGCACTTTCTTCTGTGACCAGAAAGTAGTGGCAACGACAGCCGTACGGGCAGGAGTGGAATGGGTATCTTGGGTCGTCCCGAAGACGAGCAGGAAGTCCGATGGCCCTCTCCCTGTCAATCGTGGAATCACTCTTCAAGTCTTCTCGCACGGCCTGACGACTTCGGATAACGTTCTCAGCAGTTACCACCAACCTCATCCACCACCTCCCATTATAGCTTCTGCTCCACATAGCGTGTCTGGGACAATGAGTAACACTGCTCGTCACTAATAGTTTATCCATAACACGCGTTAAATACTCTTTTATCGTCAACTCGGCACGTGCTCGTTCGGTTCCAAACCCCCTGGGGTTCAAGGTGTGATTTGCTCATGCAACTGGCTTGAGATGAGTAGGCTTCTTTTCCCTATCACGGTTGCCAAGTACAGAAACATCACGATTGAAAGTAATATTTAAGGGTGAATATGGTGTCTTGAATTGAGCAAAGCTACCGTAAGAATTCGTGAAAAAGAGACGATGGGAGGGAATTCCAAAGTGCAGCAGCGCTCGGGAAGAAGCAGAAAGAGACGTGTGATATGTCGTGTGGTGATTGAACACAGCGTGGATGAGACGAAACTGTCAGCCAAATAGATCTGGTTCATGGGAACAATAACCTTGGTCATCGCAACATCAGAGTGATAAGGAGACTGATCACCGGAGAACGAGTGAATCACCCAGTAACACATTCCTGCTGAGGGAGCTGGTAGGAACGTTGGGTTGCTCGGTCAATGGCCAGGGTCGACAGCGGCGTGGTGTATTCCGCAAATATGCCCGACTGTGAGGACAGGCACAAGCCGGCGTGAGTAGGTTTAACGTTGAGTTTTATAAGGGCACCACGGGGTGACCAGCCCCACCTTCCCCATCCAGCCCCACCCTCCCCACCCAGCCCCTCCCTGCACGACGGACACAATAATCCCCTGTGGGCTGGTGTAACCAGTATAAATGTTGCCTACCTTAATAGGTGCTTGTAAACTGCACTTGACCCTCAAACGTCATAGGGGTATTACATAAAACTACGGCGCGAACAATTTAAACACTTGTGCCATGCACATGCACAGCCGTTGAGTCAATTAACTGCTGGATGAGGGCTTCCCCACGCTGTGTGTGGCCGCGGAGGTTATCTGACCAAACTTCACGAAGCTGGTCAGTGCGGGTTGATGGCCAGGCACATATAACTACAGTACAACAATGTATTTTAGTCCACTGTCATCTGCTACAAACCACATAGTCCAATCTCGTCAGATATCGGATGCGAAGCATGGTTGAGGCTGGATGGGCGATCTGCATGCATGAAACACGTGCTAGACTAGCTAGAGGCTGCTGCGGCGCTAGTGTCAGCAGAGGGCAGTGCAGCTGTTGCACAATAGCGACACTCCCCACCTGCGTCAACCCGCACTGACCAGCAGCACCGTCCATAGGGAGGTGCAGGGCCTCCCCTCGATGCCTGCAAACTAAACCGGAAGTATTATATCTGACACCACAACGTCCAAGCGCGGGGCCTCCCAAAGTGCGGGGCCCGGGGCAGTCGCCCGGATTCTCCATACCCTAAGTATGCCTCTGCCGTGTCAAATAACCCATGTGACCTGCTCGGCGGGGGAGGCCCTCATCCAGCAGCGGATTGACAAAAAGGCTGTGCATGTACACGGGCTTCCATTATCATTGCTCCACAGTATCATTTGTTGATTGAGCAAGGGAGCTTGCACCTTGTCCAGTTTTCCTGGGTGGGTCTCATCAGTAAGTGACGAACCTGGAGGTTGTAAAGCAGACACTGGAGATTACGCTGTCAAATCGTTGTAAATACATACCGTCTTTAATTCTGTAATCTTAGATACACTATACAAACACAATTTAAGCCAACAACAGTTAAATCTGAAAACGCATGATGCAACAAAACAAGCGGCGCTCATGGTCGCAAAATACTTTCATTCGTTGGTAAATAAAACAATCGACAATCCTCGAAATAACCATAAAATCGCAATACACACATGCAGCGTTGCGTGCTGTACATGCGCACAGTCGTGCTCACATACGTGGTTTGCTCGTATTGAGTGCATGTGCCGTCATAGGTGGTTCTGGGGGTTGTACGGGGGAGAATGAGAAAATATATGCAATACTATGAAATACATTCTTTGAGAGAATGAAGCCTCAAAACGAAAGGGCATGGTTCATAGTGCAAAAGTTCACCATGAAAACTACTCCTGGTGACCTCGTGCCGTCTCGTTATCGGACATTGTCTCGACTAATAAAATGTGTTCGCCGATTACATTAGCCAACTACAATACTCTCCTAGTATTGACCTTGCACTCGGTCCCCCGCTGCGTCAGGCTTCAACAAGCTTGCAGAATTGTCTGCATGCGAATCCCAGTTGTTAGACATAACCACCCACTGCCTATAATATATCCGTGCATCTCAGTGTGTCTGTGTATCGCAGTATGTCCTCGGGAGTGCTGCAGTCTCCCTGTGTCTCCGTATTTCTCCATGTGTTCTTGTGTCCTTGTGTATCCCAATGTCTTCCTATTAGTTGCAGTGTATAGTCATGCATCGGTACCCATAGCATGACTTTATTAACCATGTAATGTTTCGCCTTCCTCGCAATTCCGTGAGCTTTAATGGTCAGGGATTTTGATTCAGTAAAAAATATTGTCAATAAAGTCAAAAAAATGCTAAAAGTCCTTTCTTTATCTTAGATCCATGACAGATTTAGGCCATTTTGGTCTAAGAAAACATGTAACCTCCTAATCTGCAAATTTACCGTAGATTAAATTAGCCACTTGCGCATTTACCCTGTAATCTGCTAATTATTTGTAGATTAATCGCGTGGCTCTTTTCCCCAAGATTCGTGGCACACTGCGCCGGTGCGAAAATAACTCGTGCATTATTTGCTCTAGCCTCTGCAGTGTGCCGCAAATTACAGGATGCTCATTGATATGGTCCCCCCCCCCCCTTCCCAACATCAACGTAGATGACTGGATTTCTGCTTTACATTCGGTGTCTCGGAATTAAGGGGAAGCGGTGGTTCACGTATAATGCTATGAACGCGTAGACCGGAGTTCGATTCACAGACATGGCTGTCATCAGTGGCGAGTGATATCTAAACCGGTCCTTGATGCACCTTCCCATTACCCAACTCGAACTGAGCAGTGTGGTGAAATATGATCAAACAACCCCTTTTGGCATCCTCTGGTCTAGCACCATTTGAGACGAAAGAAAGCTGTCTCTGGTGTGGACCAATCAGTTTCAAAGACAATGCATAAATGATCAGACTGTGGTTTTTTTTTTTATTCTGACCACAAGTATTGTGGTTAATGCAAACATGATTCCTTGTAAAAAGGTTTCATTTTTGTTGCCAGAAAAAAGGGGGAAAACCTATTCTTATAACCCCATGGTTGACATGGCGCGAGGATGCCATCATCCAGCAGAGGATTGGCTAAAGTCTTTAAACTATTTTTTTTGAAAGAAAAAAAAACAATTCCTATACAGTAGATGCAATTCAATGAATTGATCGTGATTTTAATTGATAAGTTGCATGCCCAATCTTTATGAAATCAATTGAGTCCATTTGTGCCACTGCAAGTCCCACTCCATCCTTCAATTGTCTCTGCTAGTTCTCTATTCAAGTTAAGTTTTTGCATGTCCCAATGTGAACCAGTGTCGAGACTCAGTGTGTCCACGTGTCTGTGTATGCCCATGGCTCGCCGCACATTTCTGCACGAGCCTGTGCATCCCTCTGCATCTCTACATGTCCCAGTTCGTCCCTGTGCATCCCTGCATGTCCCCCCCGTTCATCCGTGTCTTGCCGCGCCTTCCTGCGTGTCCCAGTGTGTCTACACCCCACTTGGCTCGGCAGCATTTGTGTCAGTTGTGCTCGTCTCGACCACGGTCGTCTCGACCACGGTCGTCTCGACCACGCTCGTCTCGACGCCGCTCGACTCTGTGCCGCCCGACTCTGCCGATCTCGGCTCAGCCGTGTTGGCCGCGCGCAGTTTTTTCTTGGCCCGAATGTCGTTCATGGCCTCTTCGATGGAGCGCTTGTCTAGCTTGTTCACCGTGGGCACTGCAGGAGGGGGGAAGTGGTACGAACCCAATCATTACAATGCATCTTGCATTTACAAAACGTCTAAATGCCACCGTAATTTCAAGTTGGTGCACAGTATGCACTGCCACAGAGTGACGAATGCTGGATGTTGCTTATATGTGTGGAGTGATGGTGCAGTGGTCAGTGCACTGCGCTACAAATCCTACCCGCCGAGTTCCATTGCCGGCTTTGGCTAACATCAGTGGCGAGTGATATCCAAACCGGTTTGAGCCACTCCTAGGTGAACTTCGCTTTAAAAAGAGTACCTAGTACGGTGTGTACACATCGGCACTGGGGAGACAAAGGCGGCTGGGAATGATGTTAGCCACACCACATCCTCATGTGCCATGTTGGCCTTCATAGGTGCTTGCCAACAGCACTTGCCCCAACAGTCTGTTAAGGCTATATGGGGGATATGTCTTTGCTGTGCAAATGAGACAATCACCACAGCCGTAGGCGACGTTAGCGTGCAGCGTGTGTGCCGCCTGCTCGGCTGACTCCGTGCCGATCAGGTGCCGGTATTTGTCTCGGTAGTTGAGCTGCGGCTCCGGAGCTGCCGTCCCTGGCCCCTCGGCTTTCCCTGCCGCCTCCTCCTCCTCCAGCCGCTTTCGTTCCTGTACACAGACACAACCCCCCCCCCCCATATTGTTATCAACAGACTGTTGAAGTAAATGTTCTTAGCAAGCACTTGTTAAGACAGGCACAGTGCACGAGGGGTTGGGTGGACAGCATCAAGTCCGGTTTCTTTGCACACCGTGCCAGGTACTCATTTGAGGTTGAGTCGACCTAGGGGAGGCCCAGAACCAGTTCAGATATCCGTCACCAATGATGGCCATGATTGGGAATCGAACTTTCGTCTTTTGGTTCATATCAAAGCGCGCCAACTGCTGCACTACCGCTCCCCACATAACAAGCGCACCAAGACATGCCCCTGGTCACACACGCACTCGCACAATCATGAGTTTTCACCCTCATGTGCTGCTAGTCCCGCATCTCCCCAAGACGACCCCTTCTGACTTGCCACCACAGGGCGGCAATCATCTTTTATCCATTGAGGGACGATGACGATTCTAAGAAAGATGACGATCATGAAGGTCACGATGATGACGATGGGTTGTTGACCCACAACTAGGATTTGCGACCTCCGGGTTGCGAGTCAAGTGATCTAACCACAGAGACATGGCGGACATGTGGGTTGACGGTGCGGGAAGTGAAGGGAGACCTGCAGCTTGAGCTGGTGCAACAGAGGGTCCCATTCTTCTCCCCGTCTGTACGCCTCCAGCTCATCATCACATGGCGCAAACTCCTACAGAAACATCACGATCACCACCATTAACATCACGATCACCATTAACGTCACCACCATCAACATCATTATTTATACCATTTACCAACATCAACACACGATAAGCCACTTCGCTAAGCTAACATTTGTGGCCAGGTCACTTCGGAAAAAGAACTATACAGCTCAGTAGACCTTACCTGGTAAAATAAAAAAGTTTAGTTGAGAACATTCCACCAAGCTCCTGCACACAAGCCAATCTCTTCACTCCATCTCTGTGGTACATGTACTCTCATGCACGTTCCCTCCTTTGCTGCCACTCTATGTTTGAGTGTCATTAACCAGCCATCATTTCTTCGAGCAACATATCCTCACCAAGCTAATTTAAATTTCGATTTAAAGCTTTCGTGACTGCAGGGATTCATCTTCTTGGTTCTTTCGGTAAAGTTGTAATAGTGTTCCAGGAGACTTGGACGCCGGGGTTGGAGGCACACGTATTTATTATGTGTCGGTACAGCACAACACTGACATACAACACTGAAGGGGGTATCGGCCCCCTCACCCGTCTAACTGGGGATACACTCTCTAGCTACGCCTAGCCTACCTCTGGGTCCTCCACTAACGGGCTAGGGGGGGGCTAGCTAGCCCGACACTGGTAAGTCGGGCTCACGGTACCCGGAGTCCCAGACCAGCTCTTACAAGAGCACCGGCTCTGGCTCTCGGGACCACGCCGCTGGCTCGATCCTGTTTGGCCCTGATAAGGGCGGCGATCCAGGGGAGTCCAGGGCTCTATCTACGACGATCTTCAGTCTTCACTGGTTAGCTTCAACATCTCTCTCTGAGCCCTCCGGCTCATCCCCTTTTATACCAAAACCCCCGCTGAGGGGTGGGGCCCCGGGGGATCCCAGCTCCGAGTCAGCCCCCCAGGCTGCCCGATGCGGACGTCGCTGGGAGCACCTTCCCGTGCACCGACATAGCCACGCCCACTGTTTCTTTCCCATCTGATCCCATTGTATAACAGCCCCTCCGTAACACCCCTACAAAGTCACGTAGAAGGGAAATAATAAAATAATAAAAAATTACCATAATAAAATACAATTCTAACGACGTTTCGGCCACAACGCAAGCAGCCGTCCTCAGGTGAAGAACAGGGCTGTCGGAAAGACAGCGTCTGAATGAACACCACCAAGCTTGGCAGCGTATATTTAAGCTGGGTTAGAGGAGGAGAGCGCCTTGACAAAGGAATTTACATGTGACTTTACCGAAAGAACCAAGAAGACAAGCTCACTTACTCTTCTTTACACTCAATATGGACCGTAAGATCAGCACACAATGGACTACTCTTGCAATTGACGTCACATGATCTTTAACGTGTATTGTGAAGCAGACGGCGTTTACTTTTCTAACAGTTGATACACGAGGAGTAATAAACAGGACGGCCACTGGATTTGAATCATGAACCTCTGCCAAAAGTGGCAAACGTGCTACCGCTGGGCCATGTAACCACTATAATCATAATCACCACCACAATCACAAGTGAAGTCAACATCACCAACACTGCCACCATCATCAGCAGCATTACCACCATCAGTGGGAGTAGCCTGGTTGGCATGGGCCCTTGTGCAAGGCATTAAAAGAGGCCTTTCGTTCAATTTCCCCCTCTTCGTAGGCTGGCATCTGGGCCCCTCTGGTCCGTGGGACCCAGTGCAATTGCACCGCCTGCACACCTTCGATTAGCACGGTTGCCTACGTATGGTGCAAAGAAGTTCAACATAGCCATGCCACTGGCCACTGCTATGGATGTCGCCACACTCGCGCCACACCTTCTTGAAGACCATGACGTGCCGGCTTTCCTCGTCATCGCCAAATGAGAATGAAGCCAGCCCCGCAACCTCCGCCACATCGTGCCTGCATGTGCAGGGAGACGAGAAGATATTTGATGATACGTGGGGATGTATGAAGACGTGCAGGAAAACATGAAAGACACGGGGACACTTTGGAATGCATGAGAAACACAAGGGAACAGGTGGGAAAGTATGAAATTTTGCGCACGTAAAAAAAAGTAGGTACACGTGAAACACCACTGCGTACAAATGGGACACACGGTCACACTCGGTGACAATCAGAAATGCACGGAGCCAAAGGGGACATTTGATCATGTGTGGAGGGTCATATGGAGACACAACGGGACACACAGGCACAAAGTGGGGATGCACGGGAATTCACAGGGGATAGATAGAGGCACACAGGAATGCACAGGATGTGAAGGAACACAACAATACACAGGAACACACAAGGATATAGAGGGAAACCGGCATACATATGTATGCACGGAGATGCAGGAAAATGCACAGGGATACTCATTGAAATCAGGAGACGAACAAGGATATGTTTTGTGTACGGTGCAATGCGTACAGTATGCTGCGCTCCAGCTTTCCCATTGGCTCAAAGCGTTTCTTCTTCTCAGAGCTGTCCTTTATGAAGGCGGTCACTCGTGCCTCCATCTAACCCAGACAGAGACACAGAAAGAAAAAGGTAAACACACAGACAAGAAGAAACAGAGAAAGGCATGACAATGGAAGGAAGAGACACACAGAGAGGCACAGTCAGAGAGGGTGAGACACTTAACACAAAGGGGCACAACATGAGAGAAGAGTAGACACATCAATAAAAGATGTTGAGAGAAAAGGAAAAATAATTGGATAAGGGGAAAGCACAGGTGGGTCACAGAGGGAGGGACCAACAGTGAGAAAAAGGCACAGGGAAAAAAAATTGAGATAAGGAGAAAGAAACAGGAAGAGAGTGAGAGAGAGAGAGGCAAAGAGAAAGGGAAGGACAGACAGATATGAGTACACAATAATAGTATGGTAATCTAATTAACAGGATGTTGTGTAAGAGACACCAGGCTGGCTCCTCCCACACGTTACGACTAAATAATTGGCCGATAACACCTTAATATACAGGGGACTACAGAAGTTTGGGGGGGGGGGGGGATTTGTCACTGGCCGAATTTACTGGTTGTCTATGTCTTCTTGGTTCTTTCGGTAAAGTCACGTAGAAGGGAAGTAATAAAATAATAAAAATAAAACATAATAAAACAATTCTCACGACGTTTCGGCCACAACGCAAGCAGCCGTCCTCAGGTGAAAACCAGGTCCGTCGAGGCGACAGAGTCTGAATGAAACAGCACACGAGCTTGGAGCATATATATAAGCTGGGCGCATTGACAAAGGAATTTGCATATCAAAAGGAATTTAGTATATTTATGGGAAATGCAGGAATGTGATTAGTACTGCATATGCATGTGCATTATGCAGGATTAACAGCATCAAAGGGAGCTGCAGTTACTGCTGCTGCTGCAGTTGCTGCTGCTGCAGTTTCTGCTGCTGCTGCAGTTGCTGCCGCTGCTGCTGCAGTTGCTGCTGCTGCTGTTACTGCTGCTGCTGCACTTGCTGCTGGTTGTCTATGGTTCCTCACACCTCAGAGTCGTTCTCTCTCTTCGAGAGTGAGCATGTTACAAGTTTAAACGATTATTCAATCAGATCCTCAAGTCTAGTACATTCATGTTATCATCCTGGTCACCAATGACTGCACAAAAAACCCACCATATTAAATTAAAGTTGAACTTAGTCCATTATATTTCAACTCAGAAAATAAAAAAAATGTTTGTTTATTTGATATGCAACTAATACTATTTGTGGGGCATAAAATGGAGCCCCAAGTATGGATAAACCTTTTTCGATGTATGTGTGTTGTCACTATTAGATGAAAATATAGAGCTTATGTGTACTTCTAAATAGCATTTTCATATAACAATTGCACTATTTTAACTTGTGTGTATTTCGTTAACGAAAGTCAAATACTTTGATCGTTAGTTGTGCAATATTCCTTAAGGATCCTGTATTTATTCTCTGTAATATTGAGCTTTTGTTTTTGTTGTTGCTGTGCTCACACATTGCACGATGGATCTCCCTTGTAAAATAGCCAGGAAACTGGTTAAATGGGATTACCTGTGTAACACATTACAATAAACTTAAAGCTTAAGAGGCGATTCAGAAGTAATTCGGGGTAATCTTCCAGAGCTAATCTCCGACACAACATAGTAACACTGTGAGAATACCTTCATCTCAGGAAATGTTATAGATAGAGAAATTGGAATTTTACTGGCATGAAAAGCAACTTAAAAACAAAACATGAAATAGAAATGACCTAATGAGCTCTTATCTATTCGCTGCAAGATGAAGGCCTTCCCACATTCCTTCATTGTCCGCAATGCTACAATACAATTCGCTCCTGCACATGAGCTAATCTCATTTCTCCAACTCCTCGATGGTCGGTTGCCATTCGATCACCAACCTCCACCATCGGCCAGCATCCCTTCAGTGTAAGCTTTCCACAACTATATTCTTGAGAGTCCATATGGATTTCGAAAGAACCAAGAAGATGAGTCCATATGGACTCTTATTCTCTTTTGTTCTCTGATCCATGTGTTCCTCTTCTGTCTCTCAGTGCAATTCCAAGCATCCACATCCCCAATGCTTCTTTGCGCACTTTTATCTCACACATGGAAAAATATTGATGAAATATGAGTGGGGCAGTACCACAGTGGTTAGTACACTACGCAATGAATCTGGTGACCTCGGTTAGATTTCCGGCTGACATAAGAGGCAAGTGATAATTATTTGAACTGGTCTTGGGCAATTCCTTCCCCAATCTGCATTGACCAGCGACAGAAAGTATGGTGGTCAAGGTCGAACATAGCAGGGGAGATCTTACTCGAGCAGTTGACTGTCAAAGGGATGTAAATGTGTTTGTCTTAAAGATGCCTGCACAAGCCCCTGCCTGTCTCCCCTCTTCGTATCCTGGTGCATGGGCCCTTCCAGCCCATGGGCCCCAGTGCAATAGCAACCCCTTCGCACTGTTTTATGCCACTATCTGGTGCGCAAGTAAACTAGTACACACACCTGTTTCCTGAACTCTGCCTTGTGTTTCCTCTCCTGATCTTGAAGGGTCTGTAGACGGGCTGCCTGTTCTGCGAACCCAACAAACGGATCACCACCACCGGCACAACAATCACCACGACACGAACCCACAATTACACCACAAACAACAAGACCAACACCACCCCAACCACCACATACAACAATACCAACACAACCAAACCTCCAATGCCCCTAACACAACAAAAGCACCAGAAACACAGAGACACGTGGGATTAAACTTGCAAGACTCAGGACTAACATAACAAATCAGAGTGTGTAAAAGTGTAACTCTGAAAAACGCATTTGAATTTGAAATTATTTGATTTGTTACACGGATGATCCGTTTAAGGCATGTTGCGCACGAGATGAGGTAATTGATTTGGAGTAACCAAAACACCCTCGCCCCCAGTGCCTGACCACCCGTAGCAACAAGTTACAGAACTCTCGACACAGAGACGAATGTGAGAGAAGCGAAACCCGTTCCAACACTCCCCCCACCCCCATCGCTACAATGGTTTTCCCTGCCAGGTCGTGCGCCTCGCCCGGCCGCAGCGTCCAGGCAAGAGCGTAGGCACCGCGGAAAGCTAGGCCGCGCGCACAGCGACCCCGCGAACGCCAGCGCTGAGGAGCGCAGGAGTGGGTGTGGGAGGTGGAGTCCGCCACGGGGAGATACCTCGGGCTTTCTTGCGCGACTCCTTGTCGCCCATACTGGGCGGCTTCTCCATGGAGCTCAGGATGGAGCCGAGCAGATCCATTCTTGCAGGGAGCCCGGGCAGTGGGGGAGGACTGCTCCGCTGAACCTAAGGAACAGAACGTGGATCGATTCCTACTTTTGCGAATCGACGGTGGTCAGTTTCGGTTAGGGAATCGATTCGATTTGGCAGTTTTCAGTTCAGAGTCCGTTATTAAATCTTGATTTGAAGTTTTCGTGGTTCTTTCGGTAAAGTCACGTAGGTATGAAATAAAATAAATTAAATGACGACGTTTCGGGCGAAACACATCAGGTGGGACAACCACAGCAAGAAACAATTGCTGAAGCGGGCACTTGCCCACTGGTGACGGACGCTTCTGATATTTAACTATGTTGAGACTGGATGATTGTATCATACCTGTCAACCCCATACGGTTTACCCCGTATTCTTGTACAGTACCGGTAAATTTAGTGTTTAGGTCCATACGGCGTACAGCCGTTTCAATACGGGCAAAAACAATGTCGGTCTGTTTGTGTTTCTACCTTGTGATGGGACTTTGTAGGGATGAACATTGAGATGTATAAGGGCACGGGGTGACCAATAAGGTATGAATTGGTCTGTAATAAGGTAGGTACTGATGAGAGGTTAACAGGTCTATGATGTATGTATGTTGGACTTATTTCGCACCGTACGTAGCCAATCGTGCTAATTGGAGGTGCGTGGGGAATGACAAACTAAATCCGATGATCTATGAAGCTCTTTTTAAACAGATTGCAAGTAGGGACAGGGCCAACCTCTTACCACGGCAATTCTCTCTCCCACTTCAGCAAAACAAATATTGCTGTGGTTTTCCCACCTGATGATGATTGCTTGTGTTGCAATCGAAACGTCGTGATTTAATTTATTTTATTTTATACCTACGTGCCTTTACCGAAATAACCAAAGAGTATGGATCCCTGCAGTCACGAAAACTTCAAATATAGATGACAAAGACCGATAGGAGTGTAAAATACAAAAGAGGTAAGCGAGTTACTATAAATAACAATACATTGCTGTTGGTTTCTTGCAACCGAGAGAGGAGAACGATCAAGAGGCAAAGTTGAGTCTCGTTTGGAAGAGTGATCTGGAGGTCATCCAAAGGCAAAACAAATGAAGTATCTTTTGATTTAAATCTTTCGTGACTGCAGGGATTCATATTCTTGTGTTTTTTCAGTAAAGTCACGTAGAAGGGAAAAAAAAAATCTTGCTGTGGATTTCACACCTGATGATGATTGCTTGTGTTGCAGTCGAAACGTCGTGAGAATTTGTATTGTTTTATATTTTTATTATTTTATTATTTACCTTCTACGTGACTTTACCGAAAGAACCAAGAAGAATTAAGTATCGTAAAATAAAGCAAAAGCAGACACACTTGAGTAGCAAGAACAACTGCTTTGCATGAAAAATCGTGCACAAAGCGTAAACTTGTTTAACAATACAATTCCCCGCAGCAGAATTCAGCTTGGGCGGATTTTTTTTCAGACGGATCATAATTAAGTTACACAATGAAGGTATGGAAAAGTTGAACAAGATATAGGCGTGACTATCGAATTGATGTGTAAAGAAATAACGATTCGTTGATTCGGTTTGAGTTTAGGTTCACCAGGTGAGAAGAGCGCAAGACCTGGGTCACCAACATGACAAAAGGGATAAAGTGAAAACATGTACATGTACAACGGTGCAGCAAATAAAAATTAGAGCCAAAACAACCAAACAAAAATGAACACGAAACAAAACTCTACACACTCGCCATTAACACCGCTGAAAACGGAGTCTGCGAAATGGCCCTTCTTCATAGCACATATAATTTAGATCAATTATCACTGGTAGAACTCTAACACAATAATTTAAATTTTCGCAAAAAAGTTGCATCATCATATATTTTTTTAAATATAACTGACGCTGTTAGCAGGGATATACATATTAATAGCTATATTTCCGTTCACAATGCATTCACTGAATTATATAGATTAAAATCTATGTTCAGAAATGTTTCGCAATGTATATATTTACAAATGTACAGAGTTGGGGAACATGGATAGAGAACGCGGGCGTCAATGTACAACAGCCGTGCCCGTAGAGGCGGGGCCCGTGTTGGGGGAGTGGCGTGAGAGGGGGCGGGGCTACAGCTGGAGGGGCGTGGCTAGGCCTGAAGGGGGCGGGGCTATGCAGCTGAGCGTCGTCACGTGGGCCGAGAGACTTTTATGTGACGTCACAAACCTAAATTGGTGACGACAACCTGGAGAGCGTTTGGGCCACCACGACGGCTGCGAGCAGCAAAATCGAGTCTCCCAAACTTCAAGAGATTGTTTCTTCTCGACGCAAGGTAATAATATCGTATGTATTTATTTATTAAGGAAAACATAAATCTATGATATATACCAAAAATTACAAGTATCGGACGTTTCGGTCGCAACACAGGCGGCCGTCTTCAGGTGAGAAAAATGTACTGCTGTTGTGGCTTTATATGGGCACGGGAGGGGGGTGACGGAGGAGTTTGGCTGTAGGAGTTAGGCACGGGGGGGGGGGGGGGGAGTTTGGCTGTAGGGGTTAGGCACGGGGGGGGAGGAGGAGTATGGTTGTAGGAGTTAGGCACGGGGGGGGGGGGGAGAGGAGGAGTTTGGCTGTAGGAGTTAGGCACGGGGGGAGGAGGAGTTTGGCTGTAGGAGTTAGGCACGGGGGGGGGGTTAGGAGGAGTTTGGCTGTAGGGGTTAGGCACGGGGGGGGGGGGGAGTTTGGCTGTAGGGGTTAGGCACGGGGGGGGTAGGAGGAGTTTGGCTGTAGGGGTTAGGCACGGGGGGGGGAGGAGGAGTTTGGCTGTAGGGGTTAGGCACGGGGGAGGGGGGAGGAGTTTGGCTGTAGGGGTTAGGCACGGGGGGGGAGGAGGAGTTTGGCTGTAGGGGTTAGGCACGGGGGGGAGGAGGAGTTTGGCTGTAGGAGTTAGGCACCGGGGGGGGGGGGGGGGAGGAGTTTGGCTGTAGGGGTTACGCACGGGGGGGGGGGGGGGGAGGAGTTTGGCTGTAGAAGTTAGGCACGGGGGGGGGGGGAGGAGTTTGGCTGTAGGGGTTAGGCACGGGGGGGGGGGGGGGTTTGGCTGTAGGGGTTAGGCACGGGGGGGGGGAGGAGTTTGGCTGTAGGGGTTAGGCACGGGGGGGGGGGAGGAGGAGTTTGGCTGTAGGGGTTAGGCACGGGGGGGAGGGGGGGGAGGAGGAGTTTGGCTGTAGGGGTTAGGCACGGGGGGGGGGAGTTTGGCTGTAGGGGTTAGGCACGGGGCGGGGGGGGGGAAGAATTTGGCTGTAGGGGTTAGGCACGGGGGGGGGGGGGGAGGAGGAGTTTGGCTGTAGGGGTTAGGCACGGGGGGGGGAGTTTGGCTGTAGGGGTTAGGCACGGGGGGGGGGGGAGTTTGGCTGTAGGGGTTAGACACGGGGGGGGGGGGTGGAGTTTGGCTGTAGGGGTTAGGCACGGGAGGGGGGGGGTTTGGCTGTAGGAGTTAGGCACGGGGGGGGGGAGGGAGGAGTTTGGCTGTAGGGGTTAGACACGGGGGGGGGGGGAGGAGTTTGGCTGTAGGGGTTAGGCACGGGGGGGGGAGGGAGGAGTTTGGCTGTAGGGGTTAGGCACGGGGGGGGGAGGGAGGAGTTTGGCTGTAGGGGTTAGGCACGGGAGGGGGGGGGGTTTGGCTGTAGGAGTTAGGCACGGGGGGGGGGGGAGGGAGGAGTTTGGCTGTAGGGGTTAGGCACGGGAAGGGGGGGGGAGGAGTTTGGCTGTAGGGGTTAGACACGGGGGGGGGAGGAGTTTGGCTGTAGGGGTTAGGCACGGGGGGGGGAGGGAGGAGTTTGGCTGTAGGGGTTAGGCACGGGGGGGGGGGGAGGGAGGAGTTTGGCTGTAGGGGTTAGGCACGGGGGGGGGGAGGTGGAGTTTGGCTGTAGGAGTTAGGCACGGGGGGGGGGGAGGAGGAGTTTGGCTGTAGGGGTTAGACACGGGGGGGGGGGGGAGGAGGAGTTTGGCTGTAGGAGTTAGGCACGGGGGGGGGGAGGTGGAGTTTGGCTGTAGGAGTTAGGCACAGGGGGGGGGGAGGAGGAGTTTGGCTGTAGGGGTTAGACACGGGGGGGGGGGGAGGAGCAGTTTGGCTGTAGGGGTTAGGCACGGGGGGGGGGGGGAGGAGGAGTTTGGCTGTAGGAGTGAGGCACGGGGGGGGGGGGGAGGTGGAGTTTGGCTGTAGGAGTGAGGCACGGGGGGGGGGAGGAGTTTGGCTGTAGGAGTGAGGCACGGGGGGGGGGAGGTGGAGTTTGGCTGTAGGAGTGAGGCACGGGGGGGAGGTGGAGTTTGGCTGTAGGAGTGAGGCACGGGGGGGGGAGGAGTTTGGCTGTAGGAGTGAGGCACGGGGGGGGGAGGAGGAGTTTGGCTGTAGGGGTTAGGCACGGGGGGGGGGAGCCATCCTTCCCCTCCCGTGCCTATATAAAACCACAACAGCAGATTATTTTTCTCACCTGAAGACGGCCACTTGTGTTGCGACCGAAACGTCGTGTTTTCTTTTATTACATTTTATACCTACGTGACTTTACAGAAAGAACAAAAGAGTATGGATTCCTGCAGTCACGAAAGCTTCAAATCAAAGATATCAGAATCTTTATTTATGCTGGAGAAATCCGATGAGCTATGAAGCTCTTTTTCACAGATGTCCAGTAGGGGCGGGTCAGAAAGTTACATCAACACGTGGTGCAAAAACAACGATCGGAGTGCAAAGTATAGGAAAGATAAGAAATCACTCAAAATAAATAAATTAAAACTAAACTAAAGGTTTTTTTTAATGAAAATATGGCAAATTATATAGACCGTAATTTGAAATATGCACGGGCACATACATGCACGGGAGGTCTGCGCTTTGCCAGTAGATAGGAACGCCGGACAGAGTTTGGTTCAGAGACTCGGGGAATTAACTCATCAGTGTGGAGCTTGTAAATGTTATCTCCACGATGTGTTTTTTCTCTCGATTCTCTGGTTTCATTCCAATACGAAGCAAAACTCTCATTCATGGAATTTGCTCAAACATCCCAATGCAGCAGCACAATCCTGAGAAAAAGTCAGTGATGCTTTCCTGGTTGAAATAACTGGGATGGCGAAGAGGGGAAAAGAAAACTGAGGGGTGGAGATGGTGGACAGACGTATTCATGTCCTGTCTGTACTGCATACCTATGCCTGTGCTTTAGCTTCATCACGTATGCATCACACCTACATAGGTGATGCAGTGAGATGAAATTAGACACAAACAAGAGAAAGACATGTCGGGATATGATATGAGATACAGACAAAATTAAGTCGTAAAAATAGATAAACGAGATACAAATAAGATTTAGAGGTGTAAGGATCCTACATACGAGTTGTAGACAAGAGACATAGCATGAATGAGATATATAGGCAATAAATAACTAAAAAGAGAGTTGACAAAATATCCAAACTTAAGATACCTATTTAGCGATATGAGAGAAGTAGATAAGGAAAATAAATGTTGTGTATGCAAGCAGGAAATAAAGGCTATCATCAGACATGATCATGTCACTGGTGGATGAAGGCTTGATAAGCCTTTACCATCTCCCACAAGTCCTTCGATGCAAAAATCCATCTAGTATCTAAAAACGATCTGATTTCATTGCTCCATCTCCACGGATGCCCTCCCTTTGGGTGTATTTAAGTTTCACCCAGCAGTGAAAATGTTACACCACAGGTCATAGTTTGGCAGCATGTTGTGTGTGATGTGGTAGAATGTGGCGACTCCCACCTCTATCAATACGTCTCATTAGCGGGAAAGAGCAGATAGACTACTCGATAGAGATCCCTCCCGTGGAGCCCCTTTCACCATAAGCTATATGAGCAAGCAATTTGCATGGCTGTACTTGCTTACAATTGAAGAGACTGGATGCAACAATTGTTCACCACCATTTGAGCACCTATTTGGCCAATTTGAAGTCATAACCCGTTAATGAGCCTTGATTCAGGTAAATCATACCAAGTGTGTGTTCACAAAAAAACTCACAGACCTCCACTCGTGGCCTTTAGCAAGTGTATTCAAATCCACATTCCTCTGGCCAGGACCAGTATCTCCATGAGACAACCTATGTAGACTGAAAAAGTGGAACCTATTAAATGAACCCAGGGGGCATGCCGGTTTGAGTTAACCCCATGTGGATTTTTAATTGAAACTGATTTCAATCTAAAGAGTAATGAGGGGTTAGGAAGCTACCGTACTGATTGCTCGCACTCTTCTTCACCACTCCCACTTGACCAGATGGCAATAAATCTCCTCAGCAATCGCTATGCGGTTTTGGAAAAACTGGGTGAAGGAACATTTGGCGAGGTTTTCAAATGCTGGGACCACAGGAACTGCAAGGAGATGGCCCTCAAGAAGATTGACATCACATTAAGGTGAGAGAGAGACCAAGTCATGACGTGCTTCACAATCTTCATTGAAAAGTGTTCCTGCAACACAAACTCACGTGTGCCTACCGAGACAAGAGGCAAGAATAATTATATTTTAATGATGATCCTATTTCCGACATTCTCAGAAGTATATTCTTGGTTCTTTCGGTAAAGTCACGTAGAAGGGAAATAATAAAATTTAAAAAAATAAAATTCACAGCAAGAAATTTCCTTGCTGTGGTTTTCACACCTGATGATGATTGCTTGTGTTGCAATGGAAACGTCGTGAGATATTTTTATTTTATTTTATTATTTCCCTTCTACGTGACTTTACCGAAAGAAGAACCAAGAATATGAATCCCTGCAGTCACGAAACCTTTAAATTGAAATTCTCAGAAGTGTTTGTATTTCTTCACGCAGCATCACGGACGAGGAAGCATATAACGAGGCTGGCTTCCTCAAGATGTTGAGACACAATAGTATCCTCCGGCTTGAGGAAAACTTCGTCGTCGGAGATTACCATTATCTCGTGTTGGACTACATCAGGTAAGAACATCAAGTCCATTACAATCGTGGCACGTACAACTACAAGCTTGGAAGCTGCTTAATCTAGATCAGTGCTCAATAAGTAAGCTATGCTATACTGCATTGTTAAGAAACAGCTGCATTAACCATTTCATAACCAGTTTGTAAAAAAAAAGCTATCTGCAGTCAGCACGTATTCCATGCATTGTTACACCTCGAATATCTTACCTCACCTTTAGTGTTCTAGGACTTGCCGTGCATGTGTGGATGTGTTGGTGCCTTTGTGCTTGATGCTGTGTTTAACCATGTTGCACTGTGTGTGTTGTACATTTTCCCTTGTCAGCGCGGGCAGCCTCTTTGACGTTCTGAAAGCGAACGGAGCATTTACTCTGTCCTCCGTCAAGAGATATGCCCAGTCCCTGATGGAAGCGCTGGCCTTCCTGAAGAAGAACGGCGTAGTCCATGGGGACCTCAAACTGGTAAGGGTTTATCATAACATTTATTTTAGAGGAATTAAGCAGGTCTAAGGGACGCTGCCACGGTGTAATGGATAGCACACTAGACGTTAAACCCAGAGGGAATCGATTCAATTTGATCTCCCGGCTTGGCAATTACAACAGTGGACAGGTTCTGAAATCGCAACTCTCCAACCACCCACCCACCACCTCTATACACCCACCGCAGTTCATCACAACGTCAGAAGTGGTGGGGTAAAGTGTGGGTACTCCGACCACTTCCGAGACATTTGGCTGTGTATAAGACCATTTAAGTGAGCAAATAATTGCAGGGCGGTCCGTCTACGGTTATTTTTGAAACAGATCTCGCAGTGTATGCGCCTCATGCACCTGTAGCTCTTTGCCACGTGGTGGCCATTTTAATTCCCATCACAGCTGCCTCATACAGAAGAGCTCTTATCCGTGATCATATTACCTATGACTCCTATTATCCATGGTAACTGTAGAGTCCACAGGAACACCAATTATCCGTGACCCTATTTTCCTTCCTGTACGTAATTATTCAGTTTTTTTGTTACCATTCTGCATTGCGGAACAACTCCAGTTCACGCCGATGAGAAGCGTCGCCATGTCAATTCTTCTCATAATAAGTGTTTCGTTTTCATGAACAGCTTCAGTGCAAGATTTTGTATTGGATCATCTTTATGAGAGTTATTGATCCCCCTGCTTCCGACTCGAGAAACAATGCATTTACACGTATAACGTTAGATGGACAGTGCACAAAATGGACGCCATTCTTCCATACAGACAGTGATCATCTTAATGGACTCTCATTTAGTTAAATACAAAACATGTAAATGCATCCGTTTTCTTAATTCTTTCAGGAAAACATCTTGGTGAAAGATCACCAGACGGCAGCCATCCGATTGGCCGACTTCGGAGGAAGTTTTTTTGAATATGAACTTCGTAAGTTACACTTTATATACATTTATACACATCATCGCATTTCTAAATCTTCCAACAGATCCTGTTATCTGGAATAATTTTGTGTTTTATATTGCGTTGTTCATGCAAATTGCGTGAACGATGCTGATGTGAAGTTAATATAGGAGATATTACAAGAATTCACGCAGTGATGCCTGTGCATGGTAGCTCCACACGAGGTATTAAGAGAATGCTCACAACTCCTTACGACCTCCATTTAACAACCGTGCATTGGGAATGTTCACTTCCGTGTAAAATAACGTCCTGTCACATATCATGCAGGACAGGGTGCGAACACATTGGAGATTCTTTTAGTAAAACTGTGACTCCTACAGGCCACCTAAGCAATATTGTATTTTTATTTTTCTCCAGCCGATCGTTGCTTTGGTACGCCCGGATACAAGGCTCCCGAAGTCTTGCTGGGCCAGCCGTTTGGAACATCAATTGACATGTGGGCTGCCGGGTGCATACTAGCTGAGATATCTGTCGGAAAACGACTGCTGTCAATACGCAGCAAGATTCAGGAGATCCCTGGCATCACAAAGGTAACATAAATTTTCTAATTTTTTATTTATTTAACTGCGATGTAAGTACGGATATCAGTGTTCCGTGTTTGACTGGCTGTTGCTGTTGTATGTTGGTTCGGCAAAAGATTGTGAGTTCAAATCTGGTTGGGGTTTATTCAGCCCTAGAGTGTCGATCAAATGAGTACTACTTTTTAGTGAAGTCGACATTGGTCGTCATAGAGATAGATTCACCGGTGACATGAATGGAGTTTTACCACTGACTCAGGGCTGCAGCCTCGATGCTCATTTGACTTTGAGTACACATACAATTTTAAACAGCTTCATTTTACGTGAATTCAAGTGATTACTCAATAATGAATAATTGAATCAATGGGATATGTATGTAAGTCCGTACAGAAAACGCCTTCCAACTATCCAGTGACATAAGAGCAAATGTATCGTTTATTTTCAGATTGTGGGAACACCACCCTTAGAGATGCTGCACGCTGCACCACATGGTCATCGGTATTTCAGTGAGTATTGCAAATTATATTTTCAATATGCGATTAGGTGTTATAACATCACTCATCTGGCTGCACAATGACGTGAAAGTTGAGTTGTTTCCCCACGTCCTTCACATACTTAATTGTACATCACAGCCTTGTACACATGAATAATATTCTAATGCATGACATCGTTTGCGATTGTACCCACTGCAGACTTCTTTGGGCAACTCACCGAGGAATGTCTGCAGGAGACCCCTCAGTGTTGCCCGCTCAAGGAGTTTCTGAAAACGAGAGACCCATTGTTCCTGGACTTCATCAGCTCCATCCTATGGTGAGTATCCCACTCTTTGAGTTTCTCTCAACTGTAACAAACTCCAGTCAATTTCTAGATCATAAGGGAATATGCATCCCCTTTGCAAAGTATAGCTATCTTGCATCTCTCTGCAGAAGGAACTAGGTCAAGAATGAAAGGGCAAATGCAGTACTGTATCCTCATTTAATGCGCTAGTTGATGCTTTTATGAAAAGTTCTGCATTAATAAAAAAATGCATTTATCGATGAATTACCAGTTTACACATTACAGAGATAAACAAATAAAAATCATGCACATTTGCACATTTTCACAATAAAATTAGCCTGCAGTCATCCCATGGCAAGAAAAAAAAACTGTGAGGGTATGCCACCACCTACTATATCATTATATTATTCCGCGCATATACCTAGAATTCCCATAATGCTCAGCCACGCAGCTGAATAAAGTTGTTTGTCATGAACTGCTCAGAAAGCCCGTTCCCGAATGGAAGAACTGTATTTTAGCGATAACACGTTGTGTAAGCACACTTTGAGCGTGGACTTACCATTCCTAACTTCACTCACCTGCAAACCCTTAGATGCTTTATCAAGTGGATGTACGTTTATTGTATCACTATAATGTGTAATATGTGTACGTATATTTTGCTGATCTTCTCATCGGTACTTGTCTCTTTATTTTCAGCTGGAACCCAGATGACCGCCTGACTCCGGAAAGTGCTCTCAAGCAACCATGGATGAGTGCAGCCCCAGCTCTACCACCTGGATTTCACCAGGCACCAGCATGCAAGATCAACTCCCACCTGGCTCCGTCAACCATGGCCTTTCCGATTCTGGACCTCTGCAACTTCCACTTCCCAACTCTGGACCCCAACAACATCCCTTTCAAGACAATGGACCCCTACAAATTATGCTGGCTGGATTCGAACCCTAATAACTTCTCCATCCCGGCTCCAGCACCTTGCCACCTTCCCTCAATTTCACGACTTCCTTCTCCTGGCCAAATTCCAGTCGCATCATTTTGCAGCAGCTCTTCCGGAGTGGAAATATCCATTTTGGCCACTGAGGTGTCCACTGCCATTTTTCTTCCATCTCCATCTGCCATTCCAGTCCCCTTCATTCAACCAAGGACTGACACCTTCCTGGCTTCTGCTTCTGTTGCATTAAGCATCGGAACCAATTTGGATGTGGAGATGCCTACAGCCACTAGCTCAATATCCACCACAAAATGCAGCATTCAGGTGGAAGATTTGAACACTGCTGTGTCTCATACAGCATCAATTGCTGACCCCCTTCCAGAGTCGGAGACCAGAATTGATGTGGACATCAAGCCTCTGGATTTTGAGGAAATTCTCATTTCAATTGAGGCAATCGATGAGACGACCCAAAATGGAGCCGAGACAAGCATGGGCTCCATATTGTCTCTGCCTATAAACGCAGACGACACTGTTAACCCTATCCTGGAGTCCGAGAGCACGGTTAAGGCAGACTCTAAGCCTCACGATGCTGAACAAAAGCAAGCCATGGTGCAGAGTGACATGGACAGTGCAGAAATAATGCAGGTCCCCAAATTCAAATCACTAACCATCCGCAAGAGATTGCATCGGTTCGGACGCGCTCTTTTTAAGTTGGTCTGTGGTTGTGGGAGAAGTGGTGAGGGGGAGTAAATGTTTTAATATTGTAAAATATATGGGCAGCCCTCAACTTATAAACAGGTTTTATTCCTGGGACCTGTTCATAAGTCGAACGGTTTATCAGTCGGTCGTCAAAAATGTATTATATTTAAATGGACATAACTCATTGCTGTAAAAAAATTTACTGTTTTAAAAAGGAAAATATTGTTAATCTCATAGTACATTGTACATTTGCATGTTATATTGTAATAAATACTATATTGTACATAACATACCAAATAAATGTTGGTAAATAGAAAGAAAAATCAGTTTTAACTTCAATTGCCTTGATTCCCGGTGATGCTGGCTTGCTTGTCGGAAGTCGCATAATGAATCCCAACAATTGCACACACACGAGGGGGCACGCAAGCACACGCACACAAAGACACACACGACAACGATCTCCCGTATAGCCTGCCTTCACAGCGCTTATGAAGGCCGCCTTTGACTCACCAGTAGCGATGATTACACACACTGCACCAGGTACTCATTTGAGGCCGAGTTGACCTAAGGGAGGCCCAGGACCCATTCAGATTATCGTCACTGATGTTGGTTGTGAGTGGGAATTAAATGTTTTAATATTGTTAAGTATGTAGTTGAACGACTCTGGAGACATAAACTGTAGAGGCTTCTCCTTTATTTCCTCACACTCACACGACTACGACTCGGTAGTACGAGATAAAACGCTGACAGTCTAGCTTGATGGCGCCGACTTGACTAGATAGCTGGCTGACTATCTAGCGACGATGACGACGAAGCGATGACAGCGACGACGAAGATAACAGCGACGACGACCAGGACTCCGACCCCCCACGACAGCCCAGAACCCCGTTCCTCGCTCCTTTATATCCTCCCAGCGTGGCCGTGGCTCCGCTCTGGCCACGCCCCCTTTCTCGAACTCTCCAGCTGGTTTTGGGAACTCCCAGATGGATCCCCTCTCTGACCCTTGGCCCAGATATTTCCCCTTGTGGTCGCGCTCTACATCACACCCCCCCCCCCTTATAAAAAAGATAGTCGTCCTGGCTAATACTTTTTTAAAATCAACTATGTGATTAGCGCAGAACAATCCGCAATGAGAGGAGATTATGATCCCGATGTGCTTAGCATAACAACGCACTGCAAGTGATCCAAACCAACCCGATGGATAATGACAATTACCAATACATTGCCGAAGGCATAGCCCGGTGCACATATCACCCACACACAACTCAGCGCGGCGCCGCAAGCTCAACAATGGCACATCCCCTACCTGCAGCCGCCCCCACTTGGCCTGCGTGAGACCCAACATGTTGTCCCCCGGTGTGACCACCTTGGGCGGTTCTGCATCACTCAACATTGCCCCGAGCTTTGGTGGCCCGCGCCCGATGAACATGCACAACGTTCACTCAGCGGCAAGCGGGACAATGCGTCCGCATTAGAGTGCCGCAGACCTTTCCGTCAATTACCCGGAATGAGTACTTTTGGCGTTTTTCCAGCCAGCATGAAAGCTGGCCGGAAGGCTGGTCAACTTTTAGAAAGAACTGGAATACTGCATGGTCCGTGAGGACTACAAAGTCCTTGCCATAAAGATAAAGCCTAAATTGCTGTATAAAGTACACCATGGCCAAAAGTTCCCTACAGGGCACACAGTATCATTGCTATGCAGTGGACAGGACGTGGCTGCCATACGCAACCACTCTTTCCACCCCGTTCTTTAGCTGCGATAGGACAGTCCCTATGCCTGTGTCACTAGCATCTGTGTCCAATATGAATAGCAGGGAGAAATCTGTATAGTCAAGGGGAGGCGCGTTGGAAAGGAGATCATGCAGCACAACGAACGCAGCCTCTTCCTCCTCCCCCCATCTAAACTTTTGGTTCTTAGCGGTCAAAGCACGGAGAGGTTTTGCAATTGTCACAAACTGTGGAATGAACCGTCGGTAATAGGATACAAACTCGACAAAACTGCGCAATTCATCCACCGATTTGAGGGGTTGGCCAATCGCGTACACACGGCGTTTTGTCCGGGACCATGGCTATTCCGGTAGTGCTCACGATGTGACCCAAATATCGTACCGAGATTTGTAGCAAATGGCACTTCGCAGGTTTCAATTTGAGATTAGCTGACCGCACCCTGGAGAACACCGAACGCAACTGCTGTAAATGCTCCTCACAAGTGCATCCAAACACAATTATGTCGTCGAGGTAAATGAGGCGCGAGTCCTATTGCAGGCCCGCCAGGACCAATTCCATAAGTCTCTGGAATGTGGCTGGCGCCGAGTGCAATCCCATGGGGAGACAGTTAAACTTGGTATAGTCCCTGGGGTGTTCGAAATGCAGTCATTGGTTTGGAAGCCTCGTCCAGGGGTAGCTGCCAAAACCCTGATAACAAATTAAGTGTTGAAAAAAAACGTGCACCCGATAACGCGTCCAGCGAATCGTCCATTCATGGAAGCGAATTTGCATCTGCCACTGAAACCTTATTCAACTTCCAAAAATCGATGCAAAACCGCAGGCTTCCATTCTGTTTTTTTAACTAACACTAGGGGGCACCCCAGGGGCTGGTTGAGGGAGAAATAATGTAAGCAGCCAACATCTCCTCCACCGCCTGCTGTCAGAGGCGTAGCTGGGGGGGGGGGGGGGGGCAGGGGGGTACATATGTCCCCGGGCGCCAAGGTAAAGGGGCGCCAAAATGAGGCTTACAACGTTACATTATAACTTATCGCGGCGGGCGCAGCAGCCTGAAACTACTGCACAAATCTACACCTCAACCTAAAAGTTGATATATATTCTGCCACACACAGCCTACATGTCATGTAATTACATTTTGGTATGTGATTAAACGGGGGGGGGGCGCCAATTTTATAGTTCCTAGCTACGCCACTGCCTGCTGTACATGTTATTTTTCCCTTGGACTCATGCGATATCAGTTCTGCCTAATATGCAGTGTTGTAGCAATGAGGTATGGCCAATATAAAATTTACTTTGGCTGAAGATATCAGCAAATTCCCGCAGCAACGCCCCCAACTCGATCTGTTGCTCTCGGGATAAATTAAAATTTTCTGCGAACAATTTTTCCAACTATGTCCCATCAAACTGACCTCCCTGATCCACCGCACCTACGACCTCCCCTTCAGTGAAGTTGACAGCCTCACAATACGCAACCATCGCGTGAGCCATAACCGTACCTGCCTGGACGACAGCTGTTTCCACTCCTATGTTTAAGACCTGTAAAAATGGCTCTTGATCCATTCGGAGGGTTGTTTGAGCACCCACCAGCGTAAGCCCACGGATCGCCATGTTGGATAGTGTTAAGAGGACTCCCGCCTGGAGATCAGCTAACTGCAGCCGTTTGCGGTATCACAACGGGACCAGAATTTGCGTACCAGGCGGAATCTCTAAAGATTATTTCACCAAGGCATGAACATTGAACAGTAACGTTCGCGAATGTCTTCCTGCGCAGAGAATCCAAAAAGAATAAGCGCTGTCCTGATGGCATCTCGACACATTCTTGATAGGTTAAAATTTTTAGGGACATCATGCTCAAGAAATCCGTATCCAAGAGGCAAGGCACCGCCAGTATTTTCGAAATCATAACAGGCCCCGACATTTCGATCTCACATATTCTGATACATGCCTCTATTTACCCCGCAATTGCCATGCTCCTCTCGTTAGCTGCAACACACGCAATCACAACCAGCCTGACACAACGGTTCGTTAATGGTAACAAATTGTAAATCACGTCCGAGATAATAGTAGCCGAGGCACCGTGTCAACCAAGACCCGTACCTCTACCCCCTGGATGGAACCAGCTAATGACGACGAACCTGCCGCAGCTGCTATTACTCGGCGTGCTAATCTCTTCCACTTTGTACCGGAATTTGGCCACCCATATGCAGACTGAACCCCACTGTTGATGAGGTCCATAATATAGTTTTTTTTGGGTTAGATCGTGTAAATATATAAATTTGTCGTTAAAACGACGCGTGTGCGGCGATGGCGCAGCCATCGACCGAGGGCCGAATTCGAACCGTGTTGTGTGATCGGCATCGCGCTCGCTGAAGGTGAATGCCTTCAGGGAAGTCGTGTGTGCTGTATACGCAACTGCGCACAATTCTGTGAGTCACTTATAACCGCTTTGCCGTTACTTATTGCCAATTATGGATTCAGACAATTGTCCTATCATCTCATAGAGTCCCTGGCACGTAATAATATGCTCCACAGTGGCAGTGGCGGTCGCAAAATGCCGATTTATTACTAATAAACCCCAATGATCCGATCGAAATTGGGGATTTCGATCGGATAATTGGGGAGGGGGAGGCACGTGTCACCCCCCCCCCCCCCCCCCACTGACTCCGCCAGTGAGCAAGTTACATGCCTATCTTTGTAAGCAAATCCACTACTCTCTCTCGATCGGGACAGTTTTCCCACCCCTCAAAAATATTTATATTAAGGCCTCGAGCAATAAACAAATAATATATTGACCTTTTTAACTAGACCAACGAAGGGATATTTCATGGTGTAATGTGTGTAGCACACTGGATCTGCAATCCCAGAGGTCACTAGATCAATTCGAGATCCTGGTGTGGCAGATGAAACCATGGGGCAAATGTCTGAAATCCCCCCTCCTGTCCACCTTGCAGAATAAATTGGTCCACCACAGTTAGTTCATAGGTAGATTGTGTGTGGTGGAGTAAGAGTCGGCCATAAGACTGTTGGGGTGAACGACTCACTAAGAAAAACACCCCAGTACAGCCTGAATAGACTGTTGGGGGAAGTGCTGTTAGCGAGCAACTAATAAGGCCAACATGACACACAACAGGGTGGGTCTCCGCACCACGCCCGACCACCTTTGCCTCCCCAAAGCAGATGTTTAAACACCGCACCAGATACACATTTGAGGCTGAGTCGACCGAGGTGAGGCCCAAGACTGTTTAGAATATTCGTCACCGATGTCGGTCCCAAGTGGGCATCGAACTCAGGTTGACTGGTTCGGGGTGTTGCGCGCTAACAGGGCACTGCGACACATTCGACCACGTGACATAGCCAATAGTTTCACATGTAGACTTTCGTGACCAACATCATCCATAATACAGGTTTTTTTTAAATCCTTTATATTAAGTTCGCTTGCTTGCTTGCTTGCGTGCTTGCTTGCTTAGGACCGTGCAAATCTTTCGGTCGTTTTTTAACCCACTTCCCGTGATCCAATCGAGCTGACATTTTCCACACAGACTCGTTGTGTGTGACAATTAATGTTCGTGAAAATTTTTTTCCAAAA